GTTAGTATATATAAGCCATATACACCTCACACAGAGGAGGTAGGACACGGTTGACCTTTGATTAATAATTGCAAAGTTCAATTGCATTCCATTGGTATCACGTGATGCAAAATGGCCAAATTCTTCCACTAGTACCACTTCTAGCAATAATTTAGAGCATCAAGATAGAATCAATAGGACTTTCATTAATTCACTAGAAACTATGATAGTTGCAGTAACTTTTAACATCTTAAACTAGCGAAGATTGATTTATCTGATGAAGTAAAAAAGAGAATCAAAGTTAAGATGCACTGTCTCTTTCTCCTTCTTATATTCATGTCTATAATCAAAGAAGAAATATTCTCCATACAATGAAGATTTTAACAACCGTCAAGGGTCGTCATAGATCTCTCTAGTTTCTGCAGTAGTAGCTAGTTTTGTGATACAATCATCAGAAAGCTGCCATTTTTCATCACGTGATACCAATGGAATGCAATTGAACTTTGCAATTATTGCTCAAAGGTCAACCGCGTCCTACCTCCTCTGCACCTCACAGGTGTGGTATAATGAATTTATTTTCTGATGAAGCCAATCATTGCGCATGCGCAGTAGGTCAAACAGACCGCGTGTGTTTCATTGTCATGGCTGAAGCTGGATCTATGGAAGAGAATCAAGAAAAGGAGAACGTTCCTCCTTCTAACAAAAGAAGGGTATCGTTGTCTTTAAACAAGAAAAGATTCCAGCCATCATCATCAGAGGAAATCGACGAAATGGCCAAGCGTAAAGTCCCGAAAAGACTAGCAAGTGGGCCATGAAGAACCTAGAGGACTGGTTTAAAGAAGAAGGTGCACTATAAAACTATCCACGCAACGTCATAGAATCGCTTCCGGCCTTCCGCCCGTCACCGTATAAAAGGAGGTGCCCTGGGCACAATATGGCGGCCACATTTGAAAATAACAAAATGGCTCCCGCACTGGCACTGTTCTTATCATGGCTAAATCACTGGCAAAACGCATTATAAAAACATTAAAATTAGTAAAGGCGAGAGAGTTAACCTACAAGCACAGGTAGAAAGCATGGCAAGAAGAGAAATGGTATAATTGACTTGAAGTAATAATTTTTTACATTATTATCAAATATTTGTATTGTATATTCTGAAAATCTGTCAACAGCCTAACAAACTTGGTCAATAATGCTATCAAGCAGGTTATAAGTGATAGTGGCAAAGGAATAGCCCTCATTACTACATAAAAAACCAGCCCAGGAACTGCCACCACTGGGACCAGAAGGCCTGGCCGACTACCAATTATCAGCCACCCTCATCAAGTAGAAGTGGTTACAGCAAGAGACCCCCACTTGGTCCTCAATCAGATCCTAGTACTGGTAGCAGTTGCAAAATTTAACGATCCACTGGAAGTAGTAAATACAAAAATTATATTATTCTAAATTATTAAGCATATACAATAACAGAGTTGAATGGATATGGGGATGGTGAGAAGCTTCCTGTAGTTGTGTACATCTTCCCAACTGTACCAAGTAATGCCGATCAAAATATGGCAGTACTGTGATGGTAATATACCAGCACAAGTATATGCTAGTACGAGCCTAAAAAATATTAATGCCAATTAATGTATGATTACTTTACATTACACATTATACTTACTTCTGTATCTGCTACATAATAAACTTGAGTTACGATTACAGGACTCAACTATCATTGAACTGAAATTCAGCACAAATCACATGACTTATACTATAATAATAATAGTAATAATATAAATAAATATAATTTTGATAATAATTATAATAAAATAATAATAATAATAATAATAAATACCTGACTGTAATTGATCACCCTTCGGTCAACCATACGACACTATCACCAACATGTGCATCCCAATAGCCGATCCTATATCTATGCACAAAATGGCTGCTCTTCGTCCCCCATTACCAATACCTTATTTTATATTAATACTAATTTCAAACACATTATAACTACCTGAAGTATTGAGTATAACCAGTATCATGTGATAGAGCCTCTAAATGACCCTCTTTCCCGACTAAATCAGCAAGTAAGTGAGACAGCATTTCCAGCGCCTTCTTTTAGTGCCTAAAGACCCCTTAACTCGATCAAGCCTAACTAGAACTGGTCCTTATCTTCTTTGAGAGTAAAATGTAACTCAATTTGGTACCAAAACCCCTCTCTGCCTGCGTTTTTCCTTGAAGAAGCAACATCATCTAGAGCAGACATTTTTACACGTGAAAAAAAAACGGAAGCCATCATGCCCAGGGCACCGCGTTTTATACCGCACCTTCTCGTTTAAGGACTACAACGAACGGAATCCCGACAAAAAGTGTCCTGATGAGTTTCTCACGGGGCACGGCTGCTCTATTTAATCAGTTTTTTGCTTGTATTTAATCAAATTCATGAATAAAACCACAGACAGGTGTATCAAACATCAAAGTACTATATACAGCTTCCTGTTGCTTTATCACTTATATACTAGTGTCGGTCACTTTCATGATTGGCTTTATTAGGATATAAATATATATATACATATATATATCTCATTAATGAGATTCATACATGAAATATAACATATATAACATGCCGATATGGGTCAATACACCCTCCACCTCAGATACTTTAAATTGATATCACCCTTGGGCCTTCGGCCCTCGGGTGATATCAATTCAAAGTATCCTCGGTCTTGGGGTATCAATTCCCATATAGTCATGGTATATATAACATATATATATATATATATATATATATATATATGTAATTGAGTACTATACTACTGAAAGTATAATCTGGAATGTAAAAATTGTACTAATACTTCCCTCATCAATGAGCACCTATACCATCAGTGCGTACTCATAATTATACAGATCTCCCTTAAGTTAATAGTACAATAACAGTGTTAAGATTTGATGGTGAGTTGCTATCATTGACAGAATGTATCTGAATTGATATCTGTTCTAGTTCCTAGTCCAGTAACTATAGTCTCTCAGTAGATCTATGTAATGTCTCAACCACTGGTACTACAGTGAACTGGACTATTTCTAGTAGTGACAGCTATGTAACATACTACACCATCTCCTATACTCCATCTTGTCCCCATGCAGTTATCATCAGTGAATGAGACAGTCTCTGTTGCTCCTCATCAGTCCACTACAGCATGCAGTTATACAGTAACAGGTCTGTGAAATATACCATCAGAGTTATAGCTGGTAAATAATGTATTAGGATTTAGGAAGATCTAATCAGTCCAAGTTTATTTGAAAAAGATATACTGTCAAAAGCTAGGTACAATCCTTAATTCAATTTATGTATTCTATTTAGTTTCTGGAGTACCTAGACACATGTACTTCTTTGTCTTTGCTACAACCAATTAATAATCTTAATTGTAATCATATTGAATGATCTAGTATTAGGTACTGTGCATATTATCAGTGTAGCAGCTGTCAACTCTGCTGGAAGAGGTCCCTTCAGTGATCTTATTGTAGTACTATTAGGTCTACAGCAATCAGGATCAGGTATTATTTAATTGTAACAGAGACCATAATTTTATAATTCATCAGCAAATAATTCTGGTTAAATAGCTGTTGGCATTCTACCTGGGGAATGGCAAATTTACTAACTACCATTGATGTCTTTCACATGTATGGTAGCTTAACTAATAATAATGTTAACTCTCCTTAAAATCCTTCACAATTGAATTTAGATTGAAAGGTTTTTTTTACTAAAAACACCTGCACAATAGGACTGAAGATATTACAATAAAAATATGTGAACCATATGAAGTTCATAAGACTAATGAAGAGAATGAAAGAAAGAGCCTACAAAGAATGTGAAGCATCACCTGTTGCAATTACTGATGATTCAATTTATGACCTATAAATTACCGTAGATCAGGAAATTAGTGTGGTAGAAAATTTTTGAGTTTTGAAATTGTGCTGTGATTTAATTTTTACTAAATTAGACTGTGTCATGTATTGTTGAATGTGGCATATAATTATATGGGTAATCTAATTTTTTTGCAAAATTCTAATGCAGTAAAATTAAAATCACATTAAAAATTTCCAGATAGACGGTATTATTTTATTTTTATTTTTTATTTATTTAACTTTACAGTGCAACATAAAATAGACAGGAGGAGTGAAAGTACACTTAGTACAGTAGAAACACTGATGGTCTAACATAGAACACTATGTCAGCCAGGGAAAGAAGAGAATACAAGGAAAAAAACACACACAATTGTTCACATAGACAAGCAGACATGAAAAGAAGAAAGACTAAGGGGTGAAAAGAACATAAAATTAACAACACATAAATCAATATTATAAAATTTGTTCTTTTTATTAAATACAAAATATGATGTAGATAAATGAACTCTAGTATAATGTAATACAGTTTTAGCTTTTGTATGCATTGTATCTGCAATTGCTATTACAATTACATGCAAATAAAGATGATGCAATAGATAAATAAAATTACTTATTCTGATTATTCATAAAAAATTATTTACAGTATCCGGAGGTGAACCGAGTGTTACTGAACCCATTACACGTGGTTGTGTCACACTTGCTCTGTGAAAGTGTGCCCTTCAGCTTCTCTCCCTATTCAGTCAACTTTAATGCTCACTGTGAGACAAAGCCCTCGTTTGTCTTGTAGATATATTGCTATTTTATTTGTAGGACTAATAGCAATGCCTACTGTAATGGAGAAAGAACAGGGAGAGAACAGCTCGCCCGGGAAGACTACCGCTCCTGCCAAACAAGCAGTAGACCGCCAAAACTCTCTCTCTCCCTCTGGTTGTCCTTTCCACAGTGGAAGTGCTAGTGAACAAAACGGCGCAGGTTCGAGATATAGTGTGTTTATTTTTTTTGTCTACACAAAAAGTGTTAAGTTTCGAATGTTTTACAATAATTGTTGGCATGGCAATTTGAAAATTGTTATTCTATTCTCATGTTTCAGGTTCTCATTCTGAGCCGCAGCAGAACGGGTCCAAGCCTGCCCCACATGGAAACGTGGCTTCTGTAGGGAGTGCAGGGTCGACCCCACCTCCCACTAACGGGCTCTACTCTCCAACCAGTGAAGTCTCTGATGAACTGAATCTTAAAAATGAGTCAGAGGACTTGGAGACATCACCTAAGGATAGCAAATTACCGGGTCGGGTCGGACCTCCTCGTAAAACCAGACGATCGAAGAAAGGAGGAAATGAAAAAGATGAGAAGGAAGACTTTAGGACGATTTCATTGAAATTATTATTACCAGGACAGACTGATACTATTGATATCATGGTGAGCAAGGGAGGAATGATCATGTAATTGTTGATGTAGTTTTCACTATTTTTCAATTGAAGCTTATGACATGTGCTCTCTCTCTCTCTCTCTCTCTCTCTCTCTCTCTCTCTCTCTCTCTCTCTCTCTCTCTCTCTCTCTCTCTCTCTCTCTATATATATATATATATATATATATATCCTCTCTCTCTCTCTTTTTCTCTAGCATGTTGCTAAAGACACAGTGAATGATTTATTACAGTATGCATTTGAGAAACCTGACTGTTGCTATAGGACATGTCTCTCATTAAGGCTGAGAGGAAGGAAGCTTGACAACTTCTCAGAGATTGGCTCTGTCTCCGGTCTAAAGGATGGTTCAGTCATAGAACTAGTTGAAGGTACAAACAACTGCACATAGTGTGATTCATGTAATGTAATTATTATAAAGTATGGAGTATTTTAAATTAGGGGCAAAAGAAAGAAAGAGAGGGGGGAAGAGAGAGAAAGAGAGAGAGGGTGTTCTTATTTTGATTATTCTTATGTATGTGACATGTTGCAGTTGTATAGTGTGCATTGTCCCTATTGTGTCTCTCAATATGATATTGATGTTGTCTATATTGAATGATACAGTCTAGATCGTAATTATTGCTATTGACACATATACCCACTAATCTTTTCAAAGCCCTCTCTTATCCTTTTTTCTGTTTGCTCCTGTCTCTTATTCTAGAGCCATATACACTAAGAGATGTAATGGTTCACATCCAAAGACTACAAGAGTTGATTGGAGTGGATGTACTTCAGTCGTCATACACGTGTAGCAATGGTCTCTCCCTCTCATTCCTTAATCCAATCATCAGTACCAACCTTGATGCTACACCTACAGGTATTAATCTTTCACTCATTATTCTACCGTATTCTTATTCTGTATTTCTGTGTGGACTGTGGAGAAATTTTAATTTTTATTATTGTACATGTATTCCTGCCAGCTGTCATTGTGAACTATGGAAACATGTCTTATTAAAATACCTATAAAAATTGCTCTCTGTCTTTGTGTGCTTTCAATGGAGTCATTATGCAACTTTCTTTTAGTGCAAGCAAGCATTGAGACATTCACTTGATACATGTGTTACACCTGTGCAATGTACACGTGTATTTGTGTTTCCTTATACTGTAGTGCAAATACAACATGTACTTTGCTTTTGTGCCTCCTTGTTTCTATTTAATGCTGACATGTAATATACATACATGTACATTGTACATGTAGCTGTCTGTGTTCATGCATATACAAGCTATGTTCTATTACTTGTGTTGTCTTTTTATTAAGAACACAAGGCATAGTGTACATTGTTGCATCTACATACTTTACTCAAGATTAGAGTAAAGTACAGTTTTTCAATACTATACATGTTATGTACATGCAGGTACAGTTTCTATAAATTTATAGCCTAAATTCCACCTACATGTAATACCATGAGTTCTTTAACTCATAATGGGATTTCCTTCTTTGTGTAGTAATTAGTTGTGGCTATGTTGCTTATCCAGCTGGCAGGGATATTTTGAATTGGATAATATTGAATAATATTTTTTCTCTTTGAGCATGTGTGGAGATATATTGTACATTGTACATATGCATCTGTGTGTAGTAGTAACTAGCTCAAATTCCCCTTTCATCTCTCTTTCTCTCTCCCCCCTTTCCATTTCTCTCTCTTTTTTAGATTCAAAGTCCTCAGAGCCTTCAGATATTCCATTACCTCCTGACTATATTGCTCCAAGCTCCTCTACTTCTGCCTCTCCTCCTTTCATCTCTAACTTTTATCCTGAAAAATTAGCTCAATACCACCAGGTAAACAGTATTAATACTTATGTACATGTGCAAATTTTAGCAATTTTATGGATTTTTGTGAGCATTTGGAAGAACTTGTCGAAATACCAGGCCATTGGTTAACTTTTATTGATAAGAATTTCGTAATTATATAAATTTTATGCTAGTTTTGAGTGATTCTGATCAATCAGTTTATTTATTGCTGTCATTCATTGCATATCATGCTTGTACATATCAAAATACAGTGTATGATTAATGTACTCAAATTACAAAAGGAATTTCAAAGCTCTCAAATTACATCACAGTTATGGCATATTTAAGATCGCATTGATCTTTTTTTAGAATTACGAGTGTCTCAAGAGACTTTCCTACAGCCAATGGAATCCTCCTACTCCTAACAGGAAATTCAAAGGTGAGTAAAAGTTTGGACACGCCCACAGCTTGTACCACGCCCACATCAATTAACCCACATTAATTATTATTATTATTTAAAGGTGACTTGCTGTATATTGATGTGAAGATGCTGGAGGGCGAGGAGTTTTGTATCACTGCCTGCCCCAGTGGGTTCTATCTAAACAGAAGTGTGCCTGATGTTAGTTTTGATCCTACTCCAAGGAAGGTCGCTCATCATTGTCAGCACTTGGTTACCTTATTACAGCAGGTACAGTGTATGCATTATAGCTACTTGTATTGTCTGAATATTTAAATGCACTTGATGAGTGCAATTACAAATACTGTATAGAGGTTATATTCCACTGGAAATAAATTTTGCCAATTTTACGTTTTCATTAAATTTGCTATATTAAATTGCACAAAGAAGGTGTTGCACACTAGGAAGAATACCAGCAATTGGCAAATCTGGACAAATTTGCAAAATTTTATGCCAACAAAATGAAACCCCTGTATGGTACAGTACATGCACTTTAATTTGTACATGTGCTTTTATACTATGTTTACACTAGCTTCTTTAACTGAGTCAGCCCTGTTTAAAGTGGGCCAGCACAGTTTCATTTGATAGTGTAAACAGTAACCAAACTGAGCTGAAGTTAGCTGGGCCAAACCAGGCCAGGATGGTTAGTACAGCAGGGCCAGCTTAGCCTGGCTCAGCACGGTTTGGCCCAGTTCCGTAGTGTAAACGTAGTATAACATTTATTTGTACTGTTTGTCATTATTGTATAGATTAGTGCTCTCTTTAGAAAGAACTATAGTTTACTGCAGAAGGATGGGTGAGTTGGTGTACATTTTTATTTGCAATTTGCTCTATATTCCTATTATGTATTCAATATGATTATAACCTTGTTATTGTTTTGATTAGAGAAAGGAAGAATGTTTATGAAATCTTTCCAGTTCCTTATCCAGGTGAATTTGTACATGTTCATAATTCACAGTTCACTAAAATTACTACTACATTTAACTCTTTTATATTTTGTTACAGAGAGTATTTCTATAGTAATACATGTAGAGTTTGTGTTTTTTAGTTTTATTTTGTTAACTTAATTGTTATTACTTATTTCATTGTTATTATTATTATTATACATGTAGTGTACCCTTGGTTACTTCCCAAGCAAGATGTAAAGCCCATTACCTTCCGAACGGACGAATGTAAGTCACTAACTCTCCCCTATCACTCCTCTTCATTACATGCTGTTATTGCAAACTGTTATTATTATGCTGTTATTGCAACTGCATACTGTTATTAACTGTAGGCTGTGGGCTCAAAGCAGCAACTGATGAACTACTAGTGGGTCAAGTAAGTCATACCTATTGCATCGCATGATTGTGAGATGATTGTGTATTATAGCTAAGAGATTGGAATGAAGAGCTACAGACCACGAGGGAATTATCATCCAGTACTCTACAGCATCGTGTGTTTAGAGATAGGGCTCTGTTTAAAGTCCAGTCTGATTTTGTACAGGCGGCCATCAGAGGAGCTAAAGCAGCTGTGGATGGACAGTTATACCCACTCAATCCATCAGAACTAGAACGGTAAGAGAGGGAGAGGGGGAAGAAGAAGGATAGAGGGTATCAGTCTACTGTATGTACACAATGTACTTAAGTGTGTTATTGATAAACCGAATTAGGGGAACATTGGCCCAAAGAGTTTGTTGTTGGTAATTTAGTACAGTGACTAGGGTTGCACCGATAATGTGATCGGCTTATCAGATATCGGCTTATCGGCCTTTTTTGAGAATATCGGTTATTGGTTATAAAAAAGCTACTGATTCCGATGTTATAACAGTTAATAGTTAATTAATAATAGTTAATTAATAATAACAGACTCAATAGAGCATAAAATTAGAATTAAGTAAATTTAATGTTTAAAATGTCATCTGTAGTGAACAGGTTGAGAAGATCTTCTGTTGACAAAGTATCCGAGTTTATACAAATTGGATGGTTTTGCGCATGCTCAGTAGGATAATTAGTCACGTGTAATGTTATTATAATAACATGTGGTTTTGCACCAGCTCGGTGAGTCCACCTGCGTAGGCTTAGCTAGCTTATTACTGTGCCAAAGATAGATGTCCAAAAACCATCATGTATATGGGACTATTACAAAACTAGTGAAGACAGTAGATTTGCTACATGTATGTGCAATTCTTGGCAGAAATACTACTTTTAGGTAAAAAGAACTTTGGTTATAATAAATTATGTTATTGATTAAAGTTTATTAATAATTATTTAATAAACTTTAATATCAGTTATTAATATCGGATTGGTTATTGGTATCGGTCTTTATCGGTAAATTTCTGTATCGGTGCAACTCTAACAGTGACATTGGCAAAAAAATTAATAATGATTTCACTAAATTATAGCTCAATTGGTGTTAGCCAAATTACCGTATAGAGCTTTCATTTTGCGGATTAATATTATTAATTATTTGCGGAAATAACTTTTGCAGATTCCATAGATATGTCACACCTTTAATGGCAATTGAATATTTAATGGATCTTTATTTTCACAGTTGCGTGCTAACCCGTGAAAACAGTTAAAGTTTTGCTCCTCAAAATTAAAATGCTATACGGTATATCAGGCTCAAATTCTTTTATACCCTAAAATTTGCATTATGTGCACAATGTACATGTACATGTAAGCATATACATGCATGTACTGTACATGTATTTCTCTGCTTATCTGTATGTCTCTCTCAATCTCTCACTCTTTCTAGCAATCACATGTTCCTTTGGAATAATATTTTCTTCAGTACCGGATTTGATGGGCGTGGCCACTTTAAAGACTTTGGAGGAGATGAAGCCGGACATGCTGCAGCTGTAAGTTTAATTGAAATTATAACAAATTATTTGAATGCTTTTGCAGAACTATGATCTTCAAGGAGTTAGCATTTTAGAAAAACTTGGAATCAAGGTATTCAATGTACATGTATGCATATATGCATGTGTGTGTACATGTAATTTGGAAGAGGAATTTTGATAGCCATAACTACATTTTAAACCATTATGTGCATGCAAAAATAGTCAAATTACATGTACTTGAAAGCCCCCAATAATACTACTATACCAGTTTCACTGTAACTGCTCTTAGGTTACACATTACCTTAGCTACATGTACATGTGTGTATACAATTGTACCTATTTAGTATTTACATGTATTTTATTCATTGATAATTAATACTGTTTTTATTTAGGGCCTACACACATTGGGGGCAGTCCTTATAGATTATCGTGGTTACAGAGTCTTTGCTCAGACGATAGTACCAGGTCTGTTGCAGAGAGAGCAGGACACTTCAATAGTCTATGGGTCAATGGATAATGGAAAGAATTTCACAAGAAATGAGGAATTTGAGAAATTGGTAATTATAGTAAAGTGTTGATTGTCAATTATTTATTATACCTTGAAATATTTAAACACTTACATTATATGTATGTACATGTATGGTGTATCTTTCTCACTTTTCTTTTCTCTTTCTCTCCAATTACAGTTGACCCAATGTGGCAGTAAGCTTCACATAAGACCTCACAAGTAAAGACTTGCATACACTATAAAAAATATGTTAATATACTTGTAATATTGCAGCAATATTTGCTACATTTTAATGCATGAAAGAAATAATTTTATGACATACACTATTGCATCTTTTGATTTCTCCTTTTTTATTTCTTATCTTATTTTATGCTTTTAGAATTCTGACAGAGTCCAATGAAGAGGTTGATATACCAGTATCTGTTGAGGTTAAAGGTATTGATGGAACTGATGGAAGACATTATGTACTTGATTTGTTCAGAATATTACCACCAGATCCAAACTACTCATCTTATAGTAAGTGAAGGAGAGAGAGGAAGGATGGGAGAGGGAGGGAGGGAGAGTACATGTAAATGGAAGATTGTTTGTATTATCTGAGAAATTGATTTACTGTTAGTCTACTATATAGTGTACTTATTGAATTAATGGTACATGATGTATATTGTATACTCTATTTATTGTATTGTTATAATTTTGCTAGGTAATGAAGGAGGAGAAGCAGCATCAGTCACAAGAAACTTAAGACATAAACTTTATGTACTCCGTCCTGAACTAATGGACCATTACTTGTGGTAAGGACAGAGAATAGAGAGAGAGGGGGGAGGGGAACGTAAAGAGCACTGCCATTTTGACAATCATCTCTCTCTCTCTCTCTCCCTCTCTCTCTCTCTCTCTCTCTCTCTCTCTCTCTCTCTCTCTCTCTCTCTCTCTCTCTCTCTCTCTCTCTCTAGTGCTGGTCAAAGGTTAGCAATGGAGCTCCATATGTTTGAGGAGATGAAAAAAGTATATAATAACAATGACTCGTGGCTTAATATTACATTATTTTTTAGACTCTATCACAGCAGCAAAAGTCTGAAGCTGATAAAGGGGGTGAAGCTGATAAAGAGGGTGTGTCTAATAACGAGACCGAAGTCACCAGTGAAGGACAGAATGAGCCTAAAGCTGATTCACCTAGTAAAGGAGGTGTGGTTACTAATGAAGAGGTTCAAGCCAGCCTGTCACCTGATAAAGATATGAACATGATTGCTGAGAATGAATTGGAACAGTTAAATAAAGATATTGATATTTCGCTTAGTTCATTGGGTGATGCTGATGCTGTTTTGAATAATGTCTCTATTGACCACACCCAGTTCCCATCTCTGCAGGTATTTAGGGCTTGAGCCTAGCTTTTGTTTTTATGTATTTTGAATTATAGACTATCTATGCATGTAGTTTTAGCATTTACTTGTTTGATAAGTTACTGTACATGTATAACTCATATTGTGTTCAGAATCAGTTGCTTCATGTTGCTTCTAAATTTGACCAGGGGAAAAGTTATTAAAATTAAGAATTTACTCCTAGTCATTTTTAGGAAAATTTGTACAAGAACTTTGGTTTGATTTTTAGTACCTTTAAAATTTATTAAAAGTTCATTTTATTGGAATCAGCTCAAAAATTCATACAGCATGTGGATTTGTGTGTATGTATTAGAAGAATTATTAAAATGGAAAATTCCCTCCTGGCAATAAAAAAATACCCTGATTTTAAAACCTACCAACAAAAATGTACCTGAGCACTGTGGGGAGCCTTAACACGTATGTACATGTACATGTATACATTTATATAGAAAGTTTGAGTTGGTTCTGATCAAAATGGATATGTGTATTTTTTAAAAATTTTAAGTTAATTGCCCCAAAATTTATTGTTTATTCTTAATTCTTTCTTGTCCAGGCTCTTGAGTCTAGTTCTCCTGCCATTATCATTCTAGCCAATGAAGATGATGCTGGGGTGGAGTTTGAAAAGACCACACCCACTAGTTTTAGCTCATTATTGGGTGGTCAGTCCAATGTAGAGAAACCTGATCTTGATGAAGGGGGTGTGGCCGAAAAGAATGAGCAAGAAGGAAAGACTAACGATAAAACTGACCAATCAAGTTAGTTCATTTATTATCACTTTTCTTATTTCATATTGTTGTCATAGCAACCGAGACCACTCCCACAAAGTTTAAAGGTATGATTAATATTTTTGAATAATTAACTCATTTACTAATTTTATTTATAAATAATTATATTTTATTGTTAATTTTAGATTTTGATGTTTTGTTCAATCCTGATATATTGACTGCTGGTATCACACATGCTGATTCAGCAGAAGTCCTGCATAAAGATAATGTCAATGTCAACGAACTATCAACTTACTTAACAAAGAATGCTCTACCTAAATTTGTAAGTACATGCATGTACATGTACCGTAGGGCTCCTTTTTTAGGGCTGTAAATTTCACAAGTTGGCCTAAAGATCTATTTTGCAGATTTGATTTTTGTGAATTTATACCGTCTCTTACCATCTTGTACCATAATAATTTGATTTTTGCAGAAGTAGTTTTTGTGAATCTTCATAAAGTCTCAAAATCCGCCAAATTTACAGCCATCGAAAAAAGGCGCCGTGCGACATATTAATTTTCTTTTGTTGCATATTTCATACTATTTTTGGTTTACATTATACTTTCTACTTCTTTTAGCATGAAAATTTTTCTGTGAATGCTTTATAATTTGTAGTCTAATTTTAGATATTTTTTATAGTTATTGTATTGTCCTAGGGTCATGCAGAAATTTTGTTTTTTTTTTAAGTATGGAATTAATTTTTGTGCAGGTCCATTACATTTGTGAACATCAATTAAATATTTAAAAAAAATTAAATCACGAATGTTAATTTCAAAGAAAATTTAAACATTAAAAATTTGAGGCCATGATAAACCATACGGCTATACTGTTAACGTACATGTATGTACTAATAATTGGCTTATACCTGTAGGTGAGAGACTGTATATATCTTAATATATCACCAATTGATGGCACCTCATTGAAATCCCTCCTCCACTCAAGGGGTATCAATATTCGTTATATTGGAAAGATTGCAATGCTAGCCAAGACAAGGGAAGATCTGGACCACATACATGTAAGTCAACTAATTCCTAACATATAATGGTACTTGTTTGTGGGTTTAGCAGTTTTGCCAAAATATAATTTTGGCAATTTTTTGGCGATTCTTTAGTTACTGGTACATGTAATAGTAGCTAATTTGGTACAGTACGTCCTCGATTATCCGAACACCTTTGTGCACCTCTATTGGGAGAGATGTTCAGGTAGCTGAATAGTCTGGATAAGTGAAATACAGCGCAGAATACAGTAGACCGACTTATCCTATACTTTTTTGAAAATTAAATGGGCATGACTTTCCTTTCCCTAACTCCCAGAGCATCTCAGGCTTCTCTTTAATGGCCTTCCTCTTGGTTAAGCTCGTGATCTCCTTACTGCAGCAGCCATTTTAACCGGTTATTAATAAATTAACTAGTCTGAGCATGCGCATTAGAGACAGCCATGCGTTTGGATAAACGAGGGTTCAGATAAAAGAGGTACGGATAATCGAGGACGTACTGTATCAGCAATTTCTCCACACGGAGCTGCCATCATTTTACATAATAATGACACTATACTTGTATGTTTGTATATGCATGTACATGTATATTATCTTGTAGAGGATCTGTGTTACTGAGATGATACTAAGAACTGCTAAGAAGAGATTCAGGAAGCTTTTATTAACGACTCCATTGAACCGTGTATCAGCCAATGTGGCTCATTTCCTCAACTGTTTACTAGTAAGATATGCAGTGATAATACTACACTAACAATACATTTGTACATACATTTAGTGTACATGTAACTGTAATGTTGTCATTATTTGACTTTGCTCTTTTTTATTTTCTTAGACTGATACTGAAGAAATTGTTTCTGATGAAGTAAGTACTGTACAGTACTATTGTCTCCTACTCTCCTGTTGTATCATTGGTCCTCTCTCTCTCTCTTTCTCTCTCTTTCTCAGGTTGCTGCTACTACAAAAAAGAAGTCCAAGAAGAAGAAGGGAGGAGGAGGTAGTGGTGGTGGTGCCAGTGGTCCAGTCACTAAAACTACATCTGCTGGAAAAGGTATTGTGCTATATCTCTTACAGCATGTGTGACATACAGAGCATAATGTTGTGCATTCACTCTATGTGAACATGTAATGACTGTATTATGTTACTATTAATGTATGGAGCCATTGCAGTGCATTTATCATGATCAAAGGCCAGTGTATGTTTACTTTACCTTTTCTTTGTACAATAGCTGCAGTGGATTATATGCAACTTGTACATATACATTGATGATATATTTTGTTTAGACTTGTCTCAAGGAAAGTTATGGAAACTTTTAGTGGAAGATGTACTTCAGCATTTCCTGTACACACTGGAATAGTAAGCTAATAAATGAATGAACAATATTAATTTAATGATGTACAATGCATGTACGTTAATGTCTATATATATCTCTCTCTAGTAATTCTGTAACTCACATGTGTACTACTTGTGGTGTTAGTAAAGTCTCTCTTCTCAGGGAATTCTGTAACAAAACAGGTTAGATGGCATCATACCTTATTAATATTCATTGACCACACCCCTTACTTATCAGGAGTACAGATTACATTGAAGGATTACAAGTTTTCCTTGACTGCTCCATTCAGTGAAGATGATATTGCCTGTATTGTACCTGTTGTTAAGCATACTGATTTTAAAGTGAGACAAAACTTCATTTATTACTGCTTTCTAAAATCACTTTTGCTACACAATATAATTTATACTGTAGTTTAGGAAATTTGTGCGGTAGAAAATTTTTTTGTTTTTAAATTGTGCTGTAGTTTAATTTTTACTAAATAAGACTGTGTCATGTATTATTGAATGTGGCATATAATTATACGGGTGATCTAATTTTTTTTGGAATTCTAATCCAGTAAAATTAAAGTCACAATAAAAATTTCCAGATTGACGGTATATTATGTCTTTTACATGTATGTGTACTTCAATCTTTAACAATTTTATTGTCTTTCTAATTTTCTTTTTATCTTCAATTTTCTTTTCCTCAATCCCCCTAGCCTCTTGAAGCCTCTGGTTTGTATGAGTTGGCTCAGGTTCAGTTGCAGTCTGGTAATATTAAAGTTGCTCTTGACTATCTATCGGAAGCCGTCCAATTGTTTGCTCAAGTCTTTGGGCCACTACATGTCAACATAGCAAACTGTTATAAGTGAGTGGTGTCATTTAAGTACTTATATATTCCATTGTATTATTATATATAGAGTTATTGCACGAATTCATCATGCTCTAGGAGACAGTAAACTAGTAAGTGATACATGTATGTGCATGTACATGTACATGTATCGACTGGTTGTACATGTAGTTTAGTTTAAATGACTGATACTGAGTTAAGATGTTATGTATGTTCTAAAGTCTATTCACTTTCACCTGACCCCTGGTTGTAATAGCAGCTGCATTTATTCTAGCTGTTCTAGCTGCATAATTGTGGTCAAAGTTATGTCATTGACTTTATAGAGGGACATCCTAAAAAGGCTAAGGCCTTGTCATTTTGACCCGTTCTTTTTTTTTCTAAAGGATGGGAAGGACGTAGTAATTCTAATGGTAAAAACAAAATTTCTAAATTCCTGGTTTATCAAAAATTATTACGAAAGATCAATACATCAGCTGAAACTGAATAGACTTTAGTTCAAAACAGTTTACAACTTTTTAATATTTTAATTTCTTTACAAGATAGTTATTAATTATTTACTTGAGATTTAATTTTAAATTGATTTGCTACATTTTATTTCTCTCTTTTTTAATCTTCAGGCAATATCATATCAACACAAAACCGTCATTATGTACGAGAGACTGCTAGGAGTGGACCACTCCAGCTCCATATCAGCCTATGTTAGTTGTTAATAACTAGCCACACACACAATAGTAATTTTTATTAATTTATCGCACTATTAGTTTCCCACAAAGCATGCTAAGTGAGCTAAAAGGCATGCTTCATGAGCTGACAAGCCTATTAGTCCTCATTTAGAGTAACTTTGGAATTCATAAAAAAATCCAAATTTGATCAGAATGAGCTCAAACTTTGATACATCATAAGGACATGTATATGTATCAGAAAAATTTCTCTTTGAGCAATTTTTGGCAAAATTTGGTCAAAACCAAAGTCTTTGGTATTTGGCCCCACTTTTAGCAGAATTTAAAAATTAATGAAAATATGATTTTGATCAGATTGAGCTTCAACTTTCTGTACAACATAAGGGCATGTTATCAGAAAATTAGAAGCACAGACAATTCTCTCCTAAGTCATTTTTGGGGAAATTTGGCCAAATACCATGTACCATGTCTTTGGCCTGATTTTAAAGCAAATTTTAAAATTTATAAAAATTTCAATTTTGATTAGAGTCTGCTCAAAATTTTTACACTATATTAGAACTTTTATATGTATCAGAAAGTTTAATAAAAATTTTACCCTTGCAATGTTTGATTAAATTTTGGGAAAATACGTTGCGAGATATTTTATCAGCATTTGGAACAACTTTAAAAATTCACTGAGAGCATAATGCTAAAAATCCTGTGGGAAACCATGATCATGATAATTTCAACAACTAAGCACACCACTGATTTTTCTTTATATAGTTCCATTTGGCTCAGTATTGCTGTGGGGCTGAGAGGAATGTTGTGGCGTTAAGATTGCTGTATAGAGTTAGGTATCTAATAATGTTAACACATGGTGAGGATCATCCTGAAATGTCTAATGTTGATGTAAGTATTGTTTTATCAATGTACTCTTGTTTCATCATACACATGTACATGTATTGTTTAAAAGTATTGTAAATTTTGTACCATAATTGTTATTATTTATTTTTATTTCACTGTGTAGTTTTACATTGGTTTACTACTGAGTAATGCTGGTCATTATGAAGAAAGTCAGGCATATCTGGAAAGTGCTCTTAGATTACAAAACAAGTGAGCTAGTATATTAATCAAGAGAATTAAGGCTGGGCTGTTTATTCTTGTATCTGTTCATTAGGTTTCATGGAAGTCAATCAATAACTGTAGCCACAACGTTAGTAATGACAAGTTACATGTACATCTTATCTTACCCTTTTCTCTTTGTTTTGTCTCCTCTTTCCCTCCCCTCCTCTCTCTCCCTCCCTCTCTTTCTCTAGTCATCATCTTCTTGCCAACTCATTGACTCACATTGGAGCATTTGCTGAAGCTAAACAAAATGAGAGAAAAGCATACAATATCTATAGAACTAAAGTATGCAGTAATGTTAATACCAGGCCATCTAGGTCACTCAACTGTTTTTTCTCACATTTAGTTTGGCCCAGATCATGCACGTACTGTTCAATCTTATAAAGACGTGAGATATATCACTGAGAAGCAAGTCTCTTATGATCAGACTGTAAGTATGGTTTGCTAACTATTGCCAATGATTAGTGAGTTATTTTAGATTGAGCTGGCTCTCCAGGGTATCAATAAAAGTAAAACTTCTGTGAGTTGTTTAATGATTTTTGATGTTGTCATTTATATTACCTTAAGTCTTTTGGTTTTTTGTACTAATTTATAAGCAAGGAATCTTCATGTTGCTGAATTAGAGTGATGCATGATTTAATATTACCGTATAACTGGTAATTAGAAGAAAAATTAACTAATTTGGCATTCTGATGACCGTTTGTCAAAGCAAAAATTTGCCATTGTGAGCCATTATATACATGTACATGCTCAATGGCACATGGCCGCTAATTAACCAAATAAAAACTCACTAATCACCAAACTTAGCAATTTTACTCTCTCCAAAATTACCAGCTATATAGTCTTAATAACATTCAAAACACTTAATTTTGAACGTATTATTCTTTTTAGAAGGGAACAAAACAGTGAATACTTGTCGTATGCTGTGTCAATACCTCCTTAATGGACAACTTAAAGATTATCATTAGTAAATGTGTGTAAAAATAAAATTATGACATTATCATGACTACTGTTATTTATTATTTATTGAGTTAGAGATTATGATTGTTACATATTATTTAATTTTAATAAAAATAATCTCTTGAATTTATAGTCTTCTTACGGAGGAATATCCACTACAATAAAGAAGAGTATCACAATTGATATTAAAGCTATAATGTTTTTATGGTTGGGAGACAAAAGCCCACAGAAATGACATTAATTATTTAGATGCTCAAATAGCACAGAGTTACATTAAAGTTGAAATAAAGCAAATTTGATGTTTGTTGTCATGTCACTAGGTGAGCCCAGTAAAGCCTTCTGTGGCTATTGTCAAAGTTTAAGCACAGTATTTATGCTCAGAGCTATGGTAACTCAAAATTTTGATCAGAATCAACTTTCTAGACAAAATGGACATTCAAATTGCAATAAAAGGGAGATTTTGTGCAGATTTTTGTCGGCAAATAAAAATAGCGATCCCAACCACAAAAAGATACTAATTGATGATAATACTTACTTTTATATGTAGGTTCTGAGATTGGTCCTGCTGACTTGTGTCCTGTCTGGCTCAACTATTTTATTATATAATTATCAAAATTCAATAATACTTTTGTATTGCTTTCTTACATGCTAATTCCAGTAATTTGGAGACAATATTAAAAGAACAGAGATACATATAGAAAAAAAGAAATGGCGCAGTTAGAAGAGATTCCATATCATTAGTTTTCTCTTACTTTTATTATGTCAACCCAATCATGACCTCTTGGTAGCTCCTTTTGTGAGTCTACATGTATGTGTTACACTGGATAAATCAGCTCCTTTCTCTCTCATACATACACACTCACCCTCCCTCCATCTCTACCATACATTTAATTATATCTATGATCTCTAACTACCTACCTCCCTTCAATTTATGTCTACACTCCTCCCTCTCTCTCTCTTCTTATTCTCTTTTCTCTCACTTAGTTTGTCTGCTTGTCTTCTCTTTGCTGCTTTACTCAAGTGAACCTTTGGTTTAGATTTACTGCTACTAGTGACAGCTCCTTCACCTGTTGCTCCAGCACTCTCTCTTGCTTCACATTCTTCTTGTTCTTCTTCTTCAGGTTCTTTCACTACTAGTTCATCCTGGTTCTCTTTAGCATATTCAAATAAAGTGTAAGTCATTGGGCTCCCTATTAAACTGCTAGCCTGAAGGAATGAGAGTATTATGAGTGCATGCCTGCAAGTGTACAAAAATTCACTACAAAACATGTGATGTACATGCACATCATGAGATTTATGAATATCTATGGTAAATGCTTGCAACAATAATATTTTATATGGTAGCTGTTTTGACAAACTAAAATTAATACATATAGCATAATTTCATAGAGAAATTTAAAATAATTCATTTTATTAGACACAATTTAGAGTTAATAGACAGATCTACCTCATTTAGTAGTGCTGTTTTAATAGCAGATTTAGTTGAGTGTGACCTATTAAATGACAGTAAAATTTAATTTAGGCTTTTTTGCCTTTCCTATAGCCCAAAACTCAAACTTTTTTCGGACTACATTTATTTATTTATTTTAATTACAGCGACAATGAGAATGAAAGTTAAGAGGAGGGAACAGAGCTAGACAAGAGAAAAACTGAAGGCCTGACCAAGGAAGCATGGCCAGCCAGAAAGAAAAAGAAAAGAAAAACAAATAAATAAAAAAAAATAAATAAAATCGGAATGAAAATGGTAGTATAATGATGATAAATTAATAATAATAATGCTAACATTAATACATACAAGTGATTATTGAAGAATGAATCCATTGATACTTCTGGTATTTCTTCAGGATAGTTTTGCGTCCACTTCACCTCAACCAAAAAAGAATTTGACTGACCAGCTTCACCGATCTTAGTAAATCGATAAAAAAACCTGATATACATGTACATGCATATACATAATCATACATACTTTGTATTGGAAGGTTAACGGCTCTGGGTTCTTGAAGCAATCGTCTCCTTCATAAATGGAGAGCAGCACTTCATTTTCTTCCTAAAAGAAAACTGTTAAAATATTTATTTCTAATGAGAGCCAGTCACTTGCTGCAATTCTGCTACTTCATTACTTTCAGCCATATTTATTGGTAATTATTTCTTAGTCCAATAGAGATTTATTGTCAATAAAATTTTTCATCAATAAAAATAAATTAATAGGCAATTTTAATTTAGGCTTGATAGAATACGGAGTTATACGAACATTTACGTGTTTTAACTTGTCTGCTACACGTGCTAGGGCAAGATGGCTTCCAGTACACAAGAAGCTGAGGCTATAGAGAGAAAACTTCGACCAGTTTATGGTGAGGAAATAATGCATTCCTTTCAAAAAATGCAAGGATTCTGTATTGTACATTACTATATATCTTTCTTACTAATTTTACTGGAACCCCATCTCTCTCTCTCTCTCTTGTTAGATGCCCTTGATAATGCTCAGCATAAAAAAGTGATGCAAATGGTCGATAAGATATTAAAGAAATCACCAAATCTACACTGTGCTAAGGTGCCTTAAAATCAGAAAGACATTTTATTATTATTATAACGATGTTTTTAATTATTATAATCTCTTATTTACACTCTCATTCACACCTTATTTACATCTCTCTTTTATATATTTGTCTTCCTCTCTCTTTATCTTAGGCTCTTAAAGCAATAGCTCTCCTCAGACTAGGGAGAGGCGATGAAGGAACTAAACTGATTAATAGTGTCATAGAGTGTCGTCCTGGTGATAATGCTACCCTACAAGCAGTCTTCATGTATTGCCGGGAGCTTGGAGACTGTGAGTTGGTGATTGAGTGACTGTTGTAGGTTAGGCTTTTCATTACAAGTAGTCAGCCCAAGGCAACTGTGAAGCAGAATATCCATTACAGGCAGTCTCTTTAATTACAAAAGTTTTAGATTATAAAGTTAATTTCAGGCAGAACTTTACTAAGTAACAAGCCTTTTAGAAAAGCAACTAGCTACCAGGGTCCCTGCAGTGAGTAGGTAGTGTAGGAGAGAGAGAGAGAGATGGAAGTGTTAATGTTAGTGAGTGCAATGATGTGAATGATGAAATTAAAAATGACTATTTTTGGAAATTAAAATAAGTTGTAACTAGGGACCAAAGTTAGTTTAGAAATTACCATTTAGCTCCTTACTATAGTATAATAGTACATTGTAAATGATACTAAGCATAGTACATGTAAATGATGTAATAATAATAATAATAAATCAAAATTAAACAACTATGTACGGTATATAATACTTTATAGTATGTACTTTATTAATCTGTACTTTAGATAAGAAGATTGTTGAGTTATATGAATCAGCTGTTAAGAGCTACCCAACTAATGAAGAGTTTCTCACTCAGCTGTTCATGGCATATGTTAGAGTAGGAGATTGTGCCAAACAGCAACAAGTAAATACTTACCCATTTGTTTTGTATAGAATGGTCTTTTAAGTATATTACCATTAATTCTTTCAACAATCTTTGTTGTATTTATCTATTCTTTATGTACTATTTGCTTGCTTTTAATTAATCTTTTCATGTACATGTACATGTGCATATACAATAATTCATTATTCATTGGTTGTTGTAGATTGCTGTTCAGTTATCAAAACATTATCCACAAAATGGTCCGTACTATTGCTGGAGAATCATGAGCATAATGATGCAGGTAATGCACATACATAATCTAACAATACAGTATGTACCTCACTGATATGAGGAGTTGAAGCAATTTCATCTATTTCATGCTGGTTCTCTCTCTTTCTCTCTCTCAGGCTCATGAAGCTGATGATTCTATTGCTAAACAAATGTTCCTACCGTTAGCTGAGAGATTGATGGAGAAATACATTGAAGAGAAGAGAATTGAATCTGAAGCAGGTGAAGCTAGAAATGAGTCGTGGGTTTTATAACTACATGTATTTTATTTATTTAGAAATCAGGCTGTACATATCAGTATTGCAGTCACTCGATAAGAATGAGAAAATATTGAGGATTTTGAAAAATGAACTTGGTAAGTTCTTAAATGTAGCTATTTCTCCCCTCTCTTATTTTCCTTTAATTCCATCATCTCTCTCCCTCTCTCTCTCTCTCTCTCTCTCTCTCTCTCTCGTTGTATTAGGTGAAAAGCTACGTCATCCTGAAGAAGTCTTAAGATATGAGCTACAGTGCTTAGAGTCATTGGGCCAATGGTCCCAACTGGTCAGTAGATTAGTACCAGCGATAAAGGAACAGCCTGACAACTGGGGCCATCTTAAACTCTACATCACATCGCAAGTGCACAGATTAAAGACAGAGAACGAGGCTTTAAATGACACTGAGGTGGAGTCAGAAAAGGGGGAGGGACAGGGGGTGGAGTCTCCCTTGGATGAGATGGTCTCGGTTTTGAATGAACTTGTTTCGGCTGAGGATGAGAAAAAGTCTAAACGATTGAGAGGCCCTTATTTGTCAGTGCTGGAAGCTGTCAGGCAGTTGAAGGAAGCAGCAATGCCTTTTGATAAATGTAAGAACTGAAGTACATGCACATTGACACATTTACACTTTGTGAATTGTTCTGATTCGTGTTAATGCATGTATTTATTTAAAGTACATGCATGTACAGCAGACATGGGAGAATAATAGTATGTAATATAAAGATTGCATGATCGCTAGTACCAAGAGTAAATAATACCTAACAGTAAATAATAATGTAATAGTGACTATAGTTTGTTTAAAACAATTTGATAATAACATTAATATGTAAGGTTTTACAATGGCAGTTCTCAGTGCTACAAAGATACACCATTTTGTACCCAATTTATTTTTATGCCTTAATTCTAGTGAACAAATGTGACCATAATTGACAAAAGGTACCTTATGGCGGATTTTAAAATTTATCATTAAAATGAAAAATATCATCCTGTGTGTCCTCTGATGGACAAACATTGTTTCTAAAAGTTACATAGGAACTTTTTGCACCCTTTGGAGTAATTTTATGATAAATGAAGCTCAGGAAGTTGGATTTTTTTGGCTATAAAGTCAAATTTCACTACCTGCCATAAGGTACCTTTTGTCAATTATGGTCACAAATAATGTACATGTACATATGCTTCATTTTTGAGTATAATCATTATTCCATACATATTATAGCCTTATATTTCATTCATCCTTATCTCAGTAATCCCTCCCTCCTTCCTTCTCTCACGCTATTTTCTATAGTTCCTGATCTAGCTACTCTGCTTGAACAATACTTTAAATTATTTTCGTCTAAAAGCTGCTGTTTTGATGATACGAGTACATACACTTCTCTACTCTCCAGTGAGGAACTAAGAGAGGTCAGTATATTATTAGTATACTTCAGTATATTTATGTATATAAATTATGTATATAGCTATTACTGAAGTTGGAGGCGTGGTGTAATGCTGACTTGACTAATTTCACTTGTGAGGATGAAGATATTTCTGCTAATGTAAGACTGTAATTATGCTCTCAATATTAAATTATTGCTGGAGATTTTTGGCAATTTCTTCCAAAAATGCAATTGTTAGTGATTTCGAGCCACTTGCATTTATGTGTCATTGAGTATGTGTATGAACAAAATTATATGAACAAATTATTAGTGATTTCTACAAAGCTGCAAATATTAAGTCCATATGTCAATATCTTTATGCAGGGTTCTGCCTAGAAAAAAATTAGAGGTGGTTGGAGACTAATATTGTTCCTTTTTAAATTTATGTACACCATACTAGTAGACTACAATATCATGCTTTATGTATGGTTATTAGTATTAATTGAATGGTTGGTCTAAGTGATGAACTGGTTGGTTCATTTGTTGAGGTGGTTGCCCCGACGACCCCCAACCACCATAGGCAGAACTATGTACATGTACAATATATTTGCAAATGTACTTTAAAGCTAATTTTAAAAAGAATCTTTCTCTCAGGTATCGAAATTATATCGTGACATATCTTTATTCAAACTGCAAAGATTTTCTGGCCACCATTCCTCCCTCTCCCTCTCCGAGAAGAGATCTCTAGTCAAGAAGTGCTATCAGTTATTTGAGGCCGGCCTTCGTTTTGGTCTCTCCCTCTCAGCTACCGTCAGCCAGCACTCTGACTCTTATGTCATCATTGGGGCTCACCTCATGCTACAGATATTCAATGAAACTGGTGAGCAAACTCAGGACTCTATATATTTGATTGACATTGTCCTGCATGGCATGAGGGCAGTGTTTGTAGCACCTAGCAATGGGATATGTTTTAGAGCTGAAATTGGATTTTTTACAAAGTTGTCAAAAAATCAGACCAAAATCCCTGTTTGTTGGAACCCTGGCTTAGAATCTTAGATTGGCACAAAATGCTGGGTTTGCATTGATTTCTTACCTCCTGACAAACAATCATCTTGTACATGTACATGTATACTAATTACAGTGGTTTCTTTGATTAGGTGATTATGCTGACCTCTGGGAGTGTGTCTTAATGCTAAAAGCAGCTAACCAGCAGTCAAGCTCTAATCCACAGATACTATTGCTATTAATGAAGCTCTATGGCTGGCTAGGAGCTATTGATCAATGCACACAATCTTACAACAGACTCTCCATTAAATACATTCAGGTTGACTCTATTGGGTGAGTGGCTGGGGGTGGGGCTGGGGGTGTGGTCTGATACTTATCACAAGTTTTGATTGTACTAATCTCTCTAAATTAAAGAAATGTACATGTATGATTGATAATGTCGAAGAAATTACGTAAAAGCACTTAAAACTGATACCATAGGGCACCTTTTTTTCAAGGGCTGTAAATCTTGTGGATTTTGCAATTTTTTGAAGATTTGCAAAAATTACTTACGCAAAAATCAAATTATTATGGTAAAAGATGGCAGGCGGCATTAATTATTCATAAAAATTAAATCCACAAAATAGATTTTTAGACAAATTCACGAAATTTACCGCCCTCAAAAAAAAGGCGCCACCCTATTGTATGTGTTTACCAGCACTCTTATTTTGTACATACATGTACATATGTGTATTATTCTTTATTATTATATTATCTGACTCCATCATCTAGCTGTTATTATACATATAAGTATGCATGTATAATTGTATAATATGCATTCATGCAATTATTATTGATCACTTTTATGTATTTTCTCCCTCCCTCTCCCTCTCTCTTTCTCTCTCTCTCTCTCTCTCTCTCTCTCTCTCCCCCTCTCTCTCTCCCTCTCTCTCTCTCCCCTGTATATAGCTACACTGCTCACAGGTTCATTAGTTCACTTGGTGCGTTTGGGTTTGCTGGTCAAATGTATCGCACTGCAATCCGTTTCTACGTTAACTGTAGTAAAGAGGTGGGTGTGGTCAATACATCATAATGATGTCATTGTTATGTGATTTTTTTAGACTTCAGATTATATTACTAATTCTTATAAAAATGGAGTTTTTCATAGAGTAAGCAATATGTGTATTCATTGTATTGATTATTAATCTTACATGTATCGTGAGTACATGTACATGTATTTGTACATGTATATTATTAGTAAAATGTTTTTTTAGGTTATTGAAATTACAAAGCTTAAGGATCGTTTCTCTCGTTCACATGAGTTTTATATACTAGGAGTTGAATCAATGCTTTACGAGTACCTCAAGAGTGTATCCAGGTTAATTAATGGTTATTAAATGATTGTGTGACTGTTAATTGTGTTGGTAGCATGGAGTCAGCTAGAGGTTTCCTCCTGGGAGAGAAGTATACTGAGAGCTTGCCATTCACTGTTGAGAATTTAGATGGTATTTTACTTGTAGTTTAAATGTGAATACATCTCACTCTTATTCACCTCTCTCTCTCTTTCTTCTCTCTCTCTCTCTCTTTCTTCTCTCTCTCTCTCTCCCCCTCCATCTCTCCCTCTCCCCCTCTCTCTCATAGTCCTCTGTGATGGACTGAGAGATAACAGAGACATGACAGTGTATGATGATTGGTCTCCTCTTCAAGAGTAAGACATGTTAATCTAGTTTTTAATTTCATCATGCTTTCTAAAAAAATTTACTGTCATTTGCCATACTGTACAGCCAGAAATATTGGCAAGAGTTGTCCGTAAATGTGGAATATTTTAAAGTAGCTTTAATTTAATGATATGAGAAAAAGTAAATCATTAAGCATGTTCAGAATAAAGCAAAATGGCAGAATTTATATTGGCATTTATATTATATTCTCAGATGCTATTTTCAGCAGTTGTACAGTATATTTTGTTGTACTAACTACAACTGTTTTAAGTTGTTTTGTCATTTAGTTTGATTTATTTTACTTTTTGTTTAATTTTCTTTTTTAGTCATTTGACGAAACGTGAGATTGAACTCTCATTTCAAGTAGAGGTAAAATAATAATAATGATAATAATAATAATAATAATAATAATAATAATAATGATAATAATAATAATTGCACGAAGCCCATTCAGACAAAGCAGTATCCCTGTACATGTGTTTTGGGGCGTGGCTAGCAGGTGGAGCCTCTTAAATGTTTTACATTCTCCTAGTAATAACTGCTTGTATGTACATGTAAAATGACAATCAAGCACCTTTGGTTTTATACTTAATGATTTACTAAATGTTTTATGAAAGATAATAGTTAAACTGCAGCATATACTACATTGTAATTTTAATTAAGAGATTCATCTAATTATGTTTCTCATTTGCTTCCAGTGTTTTCATACAGTGCAGCTACAGCCAGTTTTGCAATGCAGTACACTGTTTTCCTCCTTACAGCGCTCCTCCTTACATTTGCAGTCTTTAGGTGTATAGCTACCTAATTCAGAATGACAGACACATTTACTGTCAGCATCACACCTGTAGTATCCTGAATTCAATATGCATTCTTCTGATATGCATTGGCAAGTTAAATTAGATTCTTCATCATCAGCAACCACTTTCTCTGCCTCTGTAATTAATAATTATAATAATGATAACTGTTAGTAGTAGTAATATTAATAACTCACTTATGCTGTTGCTATAAGCAGTTGCAATGAAGCAGCTAATGACAAAAAGAAGAGCAACCTTCATTATTGTACAGTCTTGAAGGTCTAATACACTTGTACTCTACACAGTCAGATCCACTGCTTATATACATGAAAGGATTTGTTATTGTAATAATCTGCCAGTGTTGTGCTTATTTTATTATTAATTAATTATTAATTTTATGTGTATACATGTGCATACAGCCAATATAAACAATTATCAAAGTAATTTATATTAGTAATATTATTATTATTAATATTTTCCAAGTACATGTACAATGTATGCATGGGACATTTCAACACCAAATCCTTGTTTTGACTTTATGCCTTTTCAACTAACTCCCAACTTTTTAAATTGTTTTATTATCAATAATATAGATACAATATCTATTAATATTAACACTACCATTGTAAATATATAGCCAAGATTTGAAATAAATTAATAATGTACATGTACATGTATTAGTGTCCATTTTCAGTTGCTTCCCAGTGGCCTGTTATATAGTGCATTTACAAGCTCCTTTATTTGACGTACAAGTCAGCTTAATATTTCTTTTGGTAAAAAATAATGAGATGAAATAATAATAATAATAATAATAATAATAATAATAATAATTAGTGCTGAAACGAATAGTGAAATATTTGAATATTCATTCGTTATAGCAATATTCGAATAGTTTTTTTGCTATTCGAACTATTCACATAATAAAATTATGAATGGTTATTGCAATAATTAACGGCCGCGCCCACCACATATCACCTGCACAGGCTGCTTTCTTAGTCTGTTACTTGGTCTGTTTACTTACCAACTAGCTAAATACTGATGCTGTGGCCAGGGAAAGTGGTTCTCAATCTCTAAGAAGCCCTGTTTGGCATCATTTTGAAAAGTTTAACACCAAAAAGGTAGTTTATAATCATTTAGCAAAAACAGTTCAATTATTCGAATATTCGTTCGTTTAGCATGCCAATTATTCGAATAGTGGAAAATACTATTCGTTTCAGCTCTAATAATAATAATAATAATAATTGCACGATGCCCACTCAGACAACGCAGTATCCCTGTACATGTGTTTTGGGGCGTGGCTAGCAGGTGGAGCCTCTTAAATGTTTTACATTCTCCTAGTAATAACTGCGTGTGTGTACATGTAAAATGACAATCAAGCACCTTTGGTTTTATACTTAATGATTTACTAAATGTTTTATGAAAGATAATAATGAAACTGCAGCATATACTACATTGTAATTTTAACTAAGAGATTCATCTAATTATGTTTTTCATTTGCTTCCAGTGTTTATCATACAGTGCAGCTACAGCCATTTTTGCAATACAGTACACCTGGAACCTTCTCCTTACAGTATCCCTCCTTACATTTGCAGTAACTTGGTTTATAGCCCTCTGTTTCAGAACGACAGACACAATTACTGTCAGCATCACACGTGTAGATTCCTGATTCTAAGTTGCATTTAGCTAATAAACATTTGCAAGTTAAACCAGATTCTGTGCCGTCAGCAATCACTTTCTCTGCGTCTGTAATTAATAATTATAATATTAATAATTTATAGTAGCAATATTAATGACTTACTTATGCTGTTGCTATAAGCAGTTGCAATGAAGCAGCTAATGACAAAAAGAACAGCAACCTTCATTATTGTACAGTCTTGAAGGTCTAATACTCTTGTACTCTACACTGTCAGATTCTTTCCTTTATATGCATGAAAGGATTTGTTATTGTAATAATCTGCCAGTGTTGTGCTTATTTTATTATTAATTAATTATTAATTTTATATGTATACATATGCATGCAGCCAATATAAACAATTATCAAATTAATTTTATATTAGTAATATTATTATTATTAATATTTTCCAAGTACATGTACAATGTATGCATGGGACATTTCGACACCAAATCCTTGTTTTGACTTTATGCCCTTTCAACTACCTTAAAGTCACTTATTTTTAAGTAGACAAATTTTTGCGATTTGTTAATGGTACTGATTTAGCGTGTACTAATTGTTACGATTTTGTTCTTTTTCCCAATTAATAACTGTTAATAAACCTAAATTATTAATAAATGCGAGTACTAATTTTTTCGATTTTAAAGTCACTCGCAAAAAACCCAAAAAATTAGTACTTGCAAATAATAGTGGCTTTAAGGTAACTCCCAACTTTTAATTGTTTTATAATCAAATAATATAGATACAATATCTATTAATATTGACACTACCATTGTAAATATATAGCCAAGTTTTGAAATAAATTAGTAATAATGTACATGTATGTACATGTATTAGTGTCCATTTTTAATTGCTTCCCAGTGGCTTGTTATACAGTGCATTTACAAGCTCCTTTATTTGACGCACAGACCAGTATAATATTTCCTGCACAGTATTTCTCAGTACATATACAGTAGTCAGTAAGTCCAGAATTGCAGTCACATACATCTTCTCCAGTGCATGTGTAGGATCCATCGCTTAATGTACATTTATCTTTTGTACATGTGCATCTTGTTTGAGTTTTTGTGCCATCAGCAACCACTTTCTCTTCTTGAATCCCTCTGATGCCTAAAATGATAATGTATTAAAAATTATATTTAAGTTAATAATAATAATAATAGTGTCTCACTTATGCTGTTGCTATAAGCAGTAGCAATGAAGCAGCTAATGACAAAAAGAACAGCAATCTTCATTATTGTACAGTCTTGAAGGTCTAAGACACTTGTACTCTACACAGTCAGATCCACTGCTTATATACATGAAAATTAAGTTTTATTAAAACAGTGTTATGCTTATTTTATTATTAATTAATTATATTTATTTTATGTGTATACATGTACATACAGCCAATATAAACCAAAGCGATTATTATAGTATTACTGTATACCAGTCTATTTTTGTGGTAAAATATTTTCGCAAATTTCGCGGTTTTTGCTCCATCGGGAAAATTTTCCACCATGAAATTCTGCATCTCCATTGCCAGTTTGCCACGTGGTGCAGTCTGCAAGCTATTCGCAAAAATTAATTCCGTGTAATCTTAGAAATGCAAGATTCACGAAAATTTTCCACCGCGAAAATAAACCGGTATACGGTATTAACTATTTTAATCCTCATCAGCTAGTATTGAGGTGAGATTTGATAAATTTTGACTTTGTTTTATCATAACGTAGCATACATGTACATGTATAGCAACTTTTGTTTCTAGCTACATTTATATGCATAAAAGATCTTATGGCATTTTTACCATAGCCTTGTTATTCTGCCTTATGACTATTAAACTCCCAGCTTTTAAAATCAAGCATATATGACTATTTTCAGTTTCATTATCAGAAAAACAATATTAATGTTTATTATTGACATTGGACTACACTACCATTTACTGAAATGTATAGCCAAGATTTGAAATATATTAGTAATAATGTACATGTACATGTATTAGTGTCCATTTTCAGTTGCTTCCCAGTGGCTTGTTATGCAGTGCATTTACAAGCTCCTTTATTTGATACACAGGACAGGGTGTCTCCAATTTCTGCACAGTATCTCTCGGTGCATTCACAGTAGTCAGTAGTTCCAGAATTACAGCGACATACATCTTCTCCAAAGCATTTATAGATTCCAGAGCTTAATGTACATTCATCTTTTGTACATCTACATACTTTTTCAGTGCCATCAGCAACCATTTTCCCTTCCTGAATTCCTCTGATACCTATTGTAATTAGTGATAATAATAATAATGATAGTGTTAAACTCACTTATGCTGTTGCTATAAGCAGCAGCAATGAAGCAGCTAATAACAAAAAGAACAGCAACCTTCATTATTGGCTTATACACAGTCAAATCCTTGCCTTTATATATAAGGCTTTATTATTTTAAAGTATTTATGTATTATATATATCTACCAGTGTTATGTTTATTTTTGAATTAATTAATTACTAATTTTTACATGCAGCCAATACTAACATTAATAAAGTAATTACTTACTTGGTAGTGTTTTATTTATTGTTCTCTAACCTTCAGATTCCCTTTTTGTAATAAGTAGGAATTGGTTGTAATGTCTTATTATAAAGGTCAACATTTTGTCACGTTAAAGGTCAACATTTTGTCACGTTTTATAGTAAGATACATTTTTATATAAGATGCATGGTCATCTGTGAAATAACTACAGATATGTATTAATTAAGCTAGTTTTACATTCGACAAAGCAATCAAAACATCAGTGTTGACGCAAAAACATTTTAAAGTTGATGCAAAATTGGCCAAATTTTAATCTTGCATTCATTTGTGTTGCGTTTTATGATGAGTTTAAACCATGCAGGCTTAACATGTGTACTGTGAGATGTTAGGATTCTCTCGTGTGGTTCCTTATCTACCCTCTTCCATAATCATAGCTTTAAGCCTTTAACTGTCTTTATCAACCTTTTATTGGGAAAGTACAATTTAAGACCCAACCATTATTTTGTAATTGTTGTATTATAATGTTGTTAAATTTTGAGGCTTTTTTGAATGCCTTGGCATTGTGTGACAATTATCAATTTTTATTAAGATAATAACTAATAATACTATACTACACTAAATGTGCTAATAAATCTTGTATTGTAATGTAGTGTTCATTCTCAGTTACTTATAAGACATTTACAAGCTCCATTGACCGACTTGCAGATTAGCTTATCGCTAACCCTTGTGCAGTATCGCTCAATGCAGTCACAGGATTCAGGAGCATATTTTTTAAAGTTGTCTAAACACCTGCATTCACTGTCAGCAGAACATTTGTATAGGGGTTTAATTAATTTACATTGAGCAAATGAACATGTACAACTTGTGGCTGATATTGACTCCTTTGGAACCACTTTCTCTTCTTGAATCTCTCCAGCACCTATTGGAATTAAGTATCAATAATAATGATAATAAGAATTATAATAGTAATAATTGTTAGTAGTAATATTAATAACTCACTTATGCTGTTGCTATAAGCAGTTGCAATGAAGCAGCTAATGACAAAAAGAAGAGCAACCTTCATTATTGTACAGTCTTGAAGGTCTAATACTCTTGTACTCTACACTGTCAGATCCACTGCTTTATATTCATGAAAGGATTTGTTATTGTAATATCTGCCAGTGTTGTGCTTATTTTATTATTAATTATATCTACATGCAGCTAATATAAACATTAATCTAACTAATTAAAGTAATATTTTAAAATAATATCATTATTAATTCAGCCTTCTATGAGTTTGGAAACTATCATTTCCTAATGATTCTAATTTCATCACTTCTAACTTGCCTGTAACCAAGTATGACAATAGTCCTGGGCTCTGTGTGTGAATAGCTACTTAGGTCAGTGTGATACTGGTTCCACATTTTATTAAAATTACCATAAAAACTTAGTAACTGTATGCTCTCTGTCCAAAAATTCATTGTTGAAAATTACCAATACAAAACTCAGAGTATTGAACTTTTAGAGATTTTTAGAGGATTTATGGCATGCATAGCCTATTGAAGTACATTATGTACATGTACATGTTGCAATTTTGACATTACATATCTTTAAAGAATTTTAAAGGTCTGCAGGATTTCATCAACCAGTACAGCTGAACTATTATTAATTAATACAAGTTAATTTCTTTGAAATATAAATATTTATAAAAATATAACTAATAATCCTATGCTAGTCTTCATTATAATAATGTAACAATATTTAATGATGATAATAATTGTACTTGTATTAATGTCCTTTTCTGTTACTTTCCCCTGGCTTGTTAGGTTATACATTTACATGCTCCACTATTTGACTTGCAGAGCAGCATGATTAGACTTTTTATGCAGTTTTCCTTGGGACAATGGCAATATTCAGGAGTGTATATTGTTTTATCAACATAGCATGAGCATTTACTGCCAACAGCACAACTGTAGTGTTGATTTTTTATTAACTTGCATCCGTGTGATATACATAGACAGCTTGATGGAGATATTTCCTTATCATTAGCAACATCAACATTCTCTTTTTGAATCCCTTGTAATTAATAATAATAATGATAATAATAATAGTAATAATAATAACTCACTTATGCTGTTGCTATAAGCAGCAGCAATGAAGCAGCTACAGATAAAAAGAACAGCAATCTTCATTATTCCACTTTAGATGATGGAGTTACTTATTATGCTTATATGCTGGAAACTTTTTGTTATTTTAATATTGAGTGTTATGTTTATTTTAAATATTAATTTCATGTATATATGCATGTACTTAGCCAATCTAAGCATTAATCAAACTTGCTAGTACAATAATCATACAGAGATTATATTTCATGGTTGATGAATTTTATGAATTTTACAAATTTTTGTCTAAATTTGTACAATTAAAAATTTCCTGAAAAGGTGTGGCAAACTGAATAATGCTTTAGATTCACTTAATAGATTATTTGTATGCATTTATTACTTTGTTAATGATTTCTTGTCTTTCTTAGGTTTTTTGGATTAAAATTAGACTAGCAATGATGACATTACTGAAAGACATGCTGGGTGGAGTGACCACGCCCTCTCTACCCGACCAGTTGAAGGGTGTTCTTAGTTTATTGGAACAAGTGGAAGCTCATGAAGGAGTCGAGTTTTTTAGGCAAAGAAAAACCTCACTTGTATGTTGAAATGTAGACAGTGTTCTCTCTCTCTCTCCCTTTCTCCCTCTCTCTTCTCACTCTATATGTAAATGTTATTTATCTCTTATACTTTCTTCCCTCCCCCCCCCTCTCTCTCTCTCTCTCTCATGCACACATTGCATGTATTTACCTCTTTCTCTCTCTCTCTCCCTCCTCCTTCCTCCCTCCCCCCTCTCTCCCTCTCTCTTCTCACTCTATATGTACATGTATGTATTTATCTCTTATACTTTCTCTCTTCCTCTCTCTCCCTCCCTCCCCCCTCTCTCTCTCTCTCTTTCTTTAGGTTAATATTCGATCCCCTCCCACTTCACAATTAATTCCATTCATCACAACTGGTCACAGTTTGATTTTATTGAATTTCATCAAAATAGGAATGAGTGTTTTGGCCACTCCCACAGGATCCCCTCCCCCTTCATTATCTGAAGAATGTTCATCAATACAGGCAATACTGAAAGGTGCTATAAGTGATAATTTTGCCAGTAATGATACTAAAAAATTTTTGAAACACATACCATGTATAACATGATTTATTGGCGGGAGTAATATTTGGGGAATTTGCCTGTGGAACAAAATTGGCAAATTTTATATTGGTGGTTTTGTGCCATGTGCCATTGAGCATGCTCAGATTGAAACAAAATGGCGGATTTTATATTGGCAATTTCTTCATAGAACTGCCAATGGCCAGTATTACCGTATAGCGGATATTTTTCAGCAGTTAAAAATTTCGAATGAAACCAGAAATGACTTTAAAAGAAAAATTCAAAAATTTGGTTTTATTTTTGACTAGACAAAACAGTTGATCTGATGTCTTAATCAGAAAAGGTCCTCTGGTCCTATAGGGTCTGGAAGAGGTTCCTTAGAAGGTGAACACCGTTTTTAAGCCCATCTTTGCTTGTTAACATTTTTTATTAATTTATTATGGTCACGCCTATTTTCAGAATTAATTTTTGTTTATAATTAGTAGCAACAAAGATGAAAATAAGCCCCAGTTGAAAATTACCCACTATACGGTAATTCCCTGCCAATAAATCATCTTGTAAAGCATATGTTAAACTTGGTTCATGTAGATAGTGAATATAATTGTTGGGTTGATTGTTACGTGCAATGGCTACAGGTGCTATAAGTACATGTATGTGGAATTGGCCATTTCTCTTTCTGCTAAATGTTGAACAATTGATTTTGTTGCTATGCATGTGAATGATGGGATATTTGATGGAGATACAGTAGCCCGTTCTTATAGTTATTTCACTCATTAACTTGAGCCTTTAGTTATATTGCTACATGTATTTTACTGGAAAATTTTGATTAATTATTGAATTAATGATACATGACATTTAAACCTTTTACTGCGAGCTACTTTTAAAATTAAAAGATTCAATTTTGATTGGAATCAACTCAAATTTTCTACATAACGTAAGCACATGTATATGTGTCAGAAAAGTGTGGATAATTCTCTCCTGGTCATTTTTCTTGAAATATCTTGTGTAGTGGCTAGATTTGTGGCTAAATTTTAAAAATTTCTAATTTTGATGAGAATCAGCTTAATACACACTATAAGGACATGTACATGTGTATGTATATCCTTTGGTTGCTGGCTCACTTTTTGAGCAAATTTAAAAATTTATAAAAAAAATTCAAATTTGATCAGAATCAGCTCAAAGTTGATACACAGCATGAGGACATGTATAATATGCATCAGAAAAAATTATAATAATGAAGAATACTCTCCTTTTCATTTTTAATGTAATTTGGCCAAATTTCATCTGAAATCACAAGGACACAAGAAAAAATTGTTCAAATGTTTATTCAGCCTTTGATCATGAGGAAAAATTACAAGGAAAAAATTTTTAAAGGCTTCTTCAGCCTTTGGTCTCAGGTCAAATTTCGTCAAAAATCACAAGGAAAAGAATTCTCCTTTTTGAATGTTTTTTTCTGATTTATATACATGTCCATATGCTGTGTATCAACTTTGAGCTGATTCTAATCAAATTTAGGTTTTTATGAATTTTACCATTTCTCAAAAAATGACTATAGTCTTGGCCGTTAGCCCATAACATTTTGACCAACTTTAAAATTTTATGAATAATTCAAATTTTATTAGAATCAGCTCAAAGTTAATACACAGCATAAGGACATGTATGTGTATCAGAAAAATTATTAAAATGGAGAATTCTCTTCTTATAATTTTTGTTGAAGTAACACCCATTGTTTACAGGTGCATTGCCTACTTTGCTAATTACCTCTCTAAACCAGCACCTCCCTTTGGCAGCTGCAGAAGTCCAACTCAGCCTAGGCATTTCTAATTAAAGGGGTGTGGTAGAAGTGTTAAATAGCATTGTTTATCAAGAAGTGCTTTAATTGAGGGGAGTATGGTAGTACAGATTCTTTGGCCCCATTTTTGAGGAACTTGAACAAGAAGCTGCATTAGCACGTACCAAAGTCATGTGGAAAACCATTCACTGAATGTACATATATAATTGTTTCTTCTATTGTTGTAGTTTTTGTTCAAAATACGGGTATAGGCTATGTCTTTAGATGGTGTGTATATTAGTTAAGGGTCTATAGTTTGTAAACTCTGACTTGTACTGTGTACACTTGATGCTTGTAAACATTCGCTTAATTAGTTTAGCATGTCAGCTAAAGGTCAGATTTGCATCATTGTGTACATCTAGATATATTTTTGATAAGTGATTGAAATTCAAGATTTTGCAGGGTTTCATAGAGAGGGGGAGCACTGGAATTCCCCCCCCCCATTCATTCTCATTGTCACACCATTGATTAAAATAATTACAAATATACATTGTAATGATTGTACATGTATGCAAAAGCCAGCACAGCTCAGAGCTCCCCTCCTCCCCCCCAAAAAACAATTACTGTATGAAAGCCTGATCTGTGTACATGTATATAATATTTTTAAAACTCACATTAGTTAAGTAGCTGTTTTATATTAATTTGGTATTGTAAGAATTGTCTCATGCATTATACCTATGTGTATCACACTTTTACCGATACATTAACATATAATGAAGTCGTGAAATGTTGAATGTCATTTGTAACTCAGTGTATACTTGTATGTGGAGGAGAGCCCTAAAAGTTGTTCTACATTCATCCCTATTCCATATAATCATTAATTATTAATTGTAATTTGATGTATGCTTTGTAGTTTTCAGTCTGTGGGCATACACGATATTAGTGTGTGTGGGGTCATAGGTGTGTCCATATATGTACATTCTGTGTGACATGATATTACATGATAATCATTCCTTATTCTCCCACTTTGCTATGTATATTATTAGGCTATCGATATCAACACTACCGTATAGTGGGAAATTTTGGAGGGGATTAAGTTTGGTGGATGTTTTGATAGCCATTTGCCAAAATAAAAATCAGCCATTTTGAGCCATTATACGCATCCTCAATGGCTCGTGGCCACAAATTTGTCAAATTAAAATCTGCCAATCACTAAAATTTAGTAATTCACCAAATTTTAGTCCCTCTAAAATTTCCCGCTATACGGTGTATTATTAGGCTATTAATAGATTTCAACACTATCTTTGTCTTTTTTGTTTTAAAGTTAGAATTGTATTTATGCAATCAGTATATCGTTGTTGGGTCAAGATTGTTAGTAGGAGTATATAGTGTTGTTTGTTTGTTTACTATTTTTAATTACTGTATATGTTAATGTTTTTACTATACCACTTAGAGTTTATGATTATAAATTATTTTATTTCCTTTGTCATATTTTAGATCTGAGAGATATGATACAGGGACTTCCTTCTGACACTGATGCTAGTGAGAATCAAAAAATGTGCTTGCTTGCTACATGTATATTACTCCCATACTTTCTATTGCTACTTTCTCTCTCTCTCTCCCTCCCTCCGTCTCTCTCTCTCTTGCTCTGTGTCTTTCTGTAGCTACTTTCTCTTCTCCTGAAGTATTACTCACATGGAAGCTCGATTTTGATCAGATTGTGTTGTTAATACTCACAGCCAGTTGGGTCACTCTCATCACTGGGATGTGCCTTGAGTATATTACACCTAAAAAATCAGCCAAAAAGAAAAAGAAGAAAGGAGGAGGAGGAGGAGGAGGAGGAGCTACTGCAGGGTCTAATGGAGAGAGCAATAAAGTAAAATAATGAATGTCCACTGTACATGTTATACCGTATGGTGCCTTTTTTTGAGGGCTGTAAATTTCACGGAATTTGCAATATTTTGAAGATTTGTGAAAATTACTTCTGCGAGAATCAAATTATTACGGTACAAGACGGCAGACACGGCATAAATTTGGGAAAATTAAATCCACAAAATAGATTTTTGGGCGAGTTCACGAAATTTACAGCCCTCGTAAGAAGGCGCCCTACTGTATTGATTTTATGAATCTGGCACTAAAAATGGCATTAACCCACAAAGCGTGCTTAAAAACATATGCTTCGTGAGCTGACATCCTTCATAAAAAATCTGATTTAAATTGGAATTACATGTAGCTCAAACCTTCTACACAACATATGAACATGTACCGTATTTCCTTAAATAGAAGCCGCATTCGAATAAACGCCGGGGTAGCAATAGAATTAAACTATAAATACGCAACACCTGCCTAGGAGTGACTCAGTAGTCTAGTGGGCAATGCCTGAAGTTCCAAAAGTCAAAAGCTTGAGGCCGCGGGTTCGAATCCCGCTCTGGGCCAAAGTTTTTTTATTTTTTTATATATTTTTTGGAGGTCCAAGTATCATTTTAGGAAATAGACACCCGGGCTTTTATTTAAGGAAATAAGGTATATGTATCAGAAACAATTATAAAAGTTGATAATTCTCTCCTAGTCATTTTTGGCGAAATTTAGCCAGTGACCCTGTACTATATAATACATGATCTTTGTCTCAATTAAACTTTAAAAATTAATAAATTCAATTTTGATTTGAATGAGCTCAAACTTTCTACACAACATAAGGACATGTTTATGTATCAGAAAAAAATTATGAAAATGGAGAATTCTCTCTAGTCATTTTTGGGGAAATTTGGCCAACCTGTACTATAGTACAGGGACTTCAATCTGATTTTGGAAAATTTGTAAAATAATCCAATTTTGATTGGAATCAGCTCAAAGTTTCTACAAATCATAAGTACATGTACATGTATATGTAACAGAAAAATAAAAAATTATTTTTAGCCTTGCCATATGTTTAATGAAGTACCATTATAGAGCAACTTCAAAAATTCACCATTATGCCAAAAATGTGTGGGAATTAAACCCTATATTAACCACAAACCATAATTTATTGTGACAAGTAAAAGTGAGCCGAAATGAGTGTTTCTGTACATGTAATCATGTTGGATGATCTAACCACAGTAACCACTCCTTGTTACTGTGTCCATGTGGTATTGCTTAAAATACTTTATAGAATTATACTTGTATGGTTCTAATTTACCATAAATTGCCTACTTCCTAGTTGAAAATGCCTTTATTTTGACAAGAATTATTGAAAATGGGACAAAAGACGTGATTCTGGCGAATGCGAGGAATGGAAGCAAGATAACTGTCAGCTTATTCTTAGAGGAGTAAAGACACATTTCTTTTATTAGAAATCAAAAGAGGATATTTTTATATAGCAATAAAACTTTATTACAATAGACAATGGACTTTTATCTTCTCAAAATCCAGTATTTGTTTGGTTGTTTATTGGAAGATTGTTTGTTCATTTAAGACTGATAGAGTATTAGGTGTTATTGGAGGGATATCATTCACAAATAAGCCTTCACTGTATATTAATAATTGACTTATTACTGACATTATAAGCTTTCACTGTATCGTAATTGACTCACTATTTGAACTGTATAATTATTATTGATCATAAGACCATGTTAATCATTGAAATATCATTATTACCCTCAGAAATGTATTGCATTCAACTAACTTCATGCTCTATCTCTTCTTCATTACTACCAACTTGCATGTAATGTTACAGCATATAATGTAGTGTAAATTTTGCTAGTCATTAAATTTTTTGTAATTTCTTTTATAATTCTGTTACCACCCACATGGAGCAAATAAGTTTCATCAAAAAAGCTCCCAGACGAATTTGACAAAATTTTTGACAGACAAAATTTTGATCTATAATATTTTATTCCTTTCTCTGCTATTCTAGGCTACTATCTCATTGCTAGAGTTATTAGAAGATCTTAAATCATCATTACTGAGTATTGCCAAGCGTTTTACTCCCATCACTGAATCAGAGACATTGGCTGGAGCACTCGCGAAGCTAAACGTTAAAGATGATCCTAAAGTTGGTGAAAACGATTTGGGGATTGATCAAGTAAGCATTATTAGAGTTGATGGGTCTTTGTCTATAATTTACTTATTCCTCAAGTGTGTCTGTATATGTTTGTATAACTAAATATATGTGTGGTCAACTCATCAGAGTTATGTAATAATTATTTGCACCTTACATTAGGATTGTTGCTTGACTGTATTGAGTATGAGAGGAGAATGTGTTGTGATGTCTTAGCTCATTGACTGCTTATGTAGCATGTAGTCCATTTGCATTAACCTTTAGCACTGGAATTAATATAATATTATACTGGTGGCTGACTCTGTTGATTATGCAATAATGAATCAATTTTGATTTCATACAATACTTTTAGTTGAAAGATTATTTCCTTTGACATTCATATCCCAGTCCTATATACGTGTAGATAGAATTACTATGGTCAGAAGTGTGTATAGTTATGTGCTCACTTGCTATATGAGTACCGTATAGTGGGTATATTCCATTTGAGTTTAATTTCGTTCATTTTGTTCTCATTCCTTGTGGAATGAACATTTTCCAAACGAAAAGGGCGTTTCATCAATGCCACGTGTACAAAATGGCTGCTCAGAACGAAAATAAAATGAACAAAAATTTCTAATCCTGCTTAGAACGAACATTTTTCCTGACAAAATATACCCACTATATGGTAGTTTGAAAGCAAAGGCATATTGTATTGCTAGTAGTTTTGGAGGGGAGACTTGAAATTGGCATTTTTATACTTACAATTTTGAACCATTGTGTGTATCTCAATGGCCCATGGCTCAAAAATTTGCCAAATTGCAACAAGTCAAAAATTAGTATTTTAAAAACTTTTAGGTGTGGCAGGAGAATTATATTTTAACTTGATGTACTACTATACATGTATTTTTTTCAAATGGAACTGATTGTGATGCATGTACTTTGTATAAAGATCATGCCCTGAACTTTCTAGATATAAGCTTCTATCATTGTCTGTAACAAAAGAAATATAGTGATGTCACTTACCCAGCCTCATTGTCATATCCTTCCTTTATGTCTACAGCCTATTACATAAGAGTTCTATGATGTATGTATGTTATATTTAATAGGAAACCTATGCTAGGGTGAGGACTTCAATGACACATGAAGTGATTGAAAGTTACAATTATTCATTTGGTGATATTCAAGAGATGGTTGGCCTGAGGGTCAGCTTTATTAAAACACTAATCAGTTCTTATTCTGTTAATTCTCACCCTCTGCCTCAATCAGCTTCATCTGACTAATTATCATTATCTTTGTTTTGTTGTTATTGCTGTGAAAAATTCTATCTGTTTTATGATAACGTAAAATTTAAAATCTCATTATTATTATTATTATTATTATTATTATTATTATTATTGTTATTGTTATTATTTGTTGTTATTATGATCGTGTGCAACAATTATTATTGAAAATAAACTTAATTCTTATTGAGTTCAATTTTCTAACAGCTACTAAGTATTGCATGGGTGATAATTATTTTTATTAAAAAATTCATTGCTGTAATACAATCCCTAAATAATTAAGGTCATCGCCATGACAACCTCAAATTTTATTAGCATTGATAGTCAGCGGTCTCAGCCGGTCTGGAAGATAAGTCAGTCAAGATGTCCCAAGATCTGCTCCAGAAGAAGATACCTCCCAGCAGGCCCACGAGGCCTCCTCCACGAAGACTAGCAAGTAATGCAGCCGCCTCTACTCCTTCTCCCCCTCCTCGGCCGTCTAGGCCTCCAACCTCGTCACAGCATAAACTACAAGAGAAGGCTGACAAGCCTCCCGCTCTGCTCTCTCCAGAGAAGAAGGAGATAAGAGTCCTTCCTCCACATCCACCGCCTCCTCTATCCACTTCTTATCAACAGCATAAGGTTGAGAAAAGAAACTCGTCTTCATCACTCACCACTCCTCCGCCTTCTTCACACTCATTCTTGACACTTCAAGCAAAGAGAGAGAAAAAGGACCCGCCACCAGCTCGTCCGGATTATAGTCCTGTTTTCATTGTTAAGCATCGCTCAAAGTCTTCTGAAAACTTAACTCTACCTAGATATAATAATAATTCTCCATTCCTTACTGTCAAAGCAACAGGTACTAATCCTCCTTCAGAGTTACCCCCAAGGAGTAAAACTCCACAGTATTCTTACTACACCCCTCCACCTGTTACTAGAGTATTAAGCCACAAGGACAAAGAAGGACCTAATACTCGTCCAGCTCCTCCTGTTCCCTCTCCTAGAAGAAACAAGAATAAAGGTCCCATCATAAGCAGACCGCCTGAGCCTTTACCACGCAGTAACATTAGTAAAGAAATACAGTTAAGAACACCTCCGATTCCTAGGGAAAGATCTCGAGCTACTAGAGAACCAGTGGCTAACTCCTTATCTTATACTGCACGTACATACCCTCCTCCTCTCTCCCTTACAGAACCCGTTCCTCTTTTCAGCAAAACTTCTCTCTCTCCCTCTCACTCTGTCCCAGAAGACATCTATACCTTACCAGACACAACCACTAATCGTGCTCTATCTATTCAGTCTGAGCCAGATGCCATAGAATGGTATGCTAGCTCGGATGATGCTGTCCATAAAAATGAGTTAGAGCAAGACACAAGGTATGCAGTTCCACATGTACATGGTGTTGTTGCTCATGATTCTCATAAAGAAACAATCGAGTGGTATGCCAGTACAGATGACATTGACCATCCATTTAAGGAAGAGAGTTTGTCAACAACTACTGAAGACATCGGTGAAGATGGATACATGGTAATGAGCTCCATATCTGGTCATGTGGGTAGTGATAGTGGAATTGGAGGAGAGGAAATAGAAGGAGGTGATAATATGTATCTGCCATTGAATACTTTGGAGATGGATGAGGAAAATACTTATAGCATTCCTGTTAGTAATGGGAGTACACCAATTGATACTATCATTGAAGGTACATGTATGTCCATTTTTCTTCTCTCTTTGTCCCTATTGCCATTTTCTTTTTTAATTTCTCTCTCTTTCATTTTTTTTTCTCATTATGTTGTCTCTTTTTCTCTTTGTCATTTTGTTACTGTCTTTCTTTCCTTCCAGAGCCTCCACTTTATACTGATCCAGCCTCACTTAATACATACATATCTTCATCGGTTCCAACCGACATATACATGGCTTTGCAGGAAACCAATGACACTAATGGTGAGTATAAAGAAAGAATTATAACCATGTGTGTCTGTGTGTAAGAAATTAGTGAGGGGGAGTGTGCTGTGTATCCAAAACTCACTTTACCAACTTAAAACAGTTTAGGTTGATTGTTATTGTTTCTGAAAATACTCTAATTATTTTCGTCTGCACAATGCCAGCTTGCAAAAGTGGTATAAAAACTCATAATAATCTTTAAGAAACATTAATTCCACCTACAATGTCTTGAAGAAAAACTGTTAGAATTTTTTGTCAAGGGACAGCATTGCAAAAATAAAGTGTTTGTGGTTTATATAAGTATACCGTATTTCCTTAAATAAAAGCCGGATGCAAATAAACACCGTGGTAGCAATAGAATGGAAGTATAAATATGCAAATCTAGCCTTAAAGTACATGTAATTCAGTAGCATTGTGCACGTGCATTTATACTTCCTTAAGTTCATGATGTCAAGTGCAGAGGTCCCAGGTTCAATCCTGCTCTGGGCTCAAGTTTTATTTTATTTAAAAAATTTTTTTCGAGATCCAAATGCCATTTTAGGAAATAGACGCCTGGGCTTTTATTTAAGAAAATACAGTATATGCCTGTCTAGTAAAAGAGATATACATGTAGAATGTGAATGACATAACCTTAGTTAGAGTTATGGTAACACTATGTCTATACTAGCATAAGAAAAGTTACGTCATAGTATTATTCTTTTTTGGATTCAGCTCAAAGTATGCTACATTTATTTGTTTTCAAACAAAGCAATGTTTTGAAGTAGATATAAGCCTTATTGCTGGCTTCTAATGTCAAATGTAAAAAGTTTAAAGATGATTGGGTGTTGATTTTAGTACAAAAGTCTGTTAAAAAGTCTGTTAGAAGCTGTGAATTGGCAAGTTTCTTTTTTGGGTCGAACTTATACTTTTTGGGAGAAAATCTGACTTTGTAGGTTTTTTGTTCTGTGGAATGGCCCATTCACACCATGCATTTCTGTTAATTCATGGGATTTTGGAGTGACATGTAAGAGAATGAAAAGTTTGGCCAAGCGAAAGAACCCACTATACAATCTTGACTTTGTTGATTTCCCTGGGTTTTTTGGCCAATGTACATATGTACTATATTTACTAAGTGCTTTACTTTCACTATAAATTAAGGTCACTGTATACCAGGCAATCCTATTACAGGCAATCTTTGGTTATCTTGATGCTGTACAAGCAGCACGTGTCCCAGAATAGAACAACTATCTGTTTCATTGTCTGAAGATCAAAGTAACCACAGATTGCCTCTAATGTATAGTGCCATTAAGGACTTCACTCAATAAGATAGAGCTTAATTAGTTTCAGTGCAAGAGGGGCAATGTGACAACAACAGTGTTAACATATAAGGTGAACTTCTTTTGAAATTGCTAATTTTGCAGCGAATGAATTTTAAGAAATTGCTCAATTATAGTTATTAATTGGTTTTCAATAATGTGCCAATGAGCATACGCAAAATGTTATTTTGGCAGCAAAATTAATGGCTCAAAACACCAAATTTGTCTAACTTTAAATTACCAGCTACATAATAGTACCACTTTATGCTACAACCTATTAACAGGATTTCATGTATAGTAGTCAAGGTATCTGTTTTTATTGCAAAACTTTGTTTTAGACTCTATAAGTAGCTTTGTAATAAATAGTATACATACTAGCCTACTATGTAACCAAAAAACTCTTCTTTTATGAGCTTCCAATATTCTTGTATTTAATTGTATAATCAGGGTTTCCCACAAAGCATGCTAAGTGAGCTAAACAGCATGAGCTTCATGAGCTGACAAGTACTGCAATGCAGTTTAAAAATTTATAAAAAAAATCTACAGCTCAAAGTTGGCACACAACATGAAAACATGTATTTATATCTGAAAAAATATATTTTAATAGAGAATTTTTTCAAACCCATTTTTGATAGAATTTGATCAAAGACTTGTTCTTTGCATCAATTTTTGAGCAACATCAAAAATTCATCAAAAATCCAAATTTGATCGGAATGAGTTCAAAGTTGATACACAGCATAAAGACATGTACATGTATATGCATCAGAAAAAAATTAGAAAAATGGAGAATTCTCTCTTTTTCATTTTTGACAAAATTTGGTCAAAGACCTAAGGCTATAGCCTTTGGTCATTGGCCCAATTTTTGAGCAACTTTAAAAATTCATAATTTGATTAGAATCAGCTTAAAATTGATGTACAACATAAGAACATGTATGTGTATCAGAAAAAAAATTATAAAAATGGAGAATTCTCTTCCTGTAATTTTTGTCAAATCCACTGACAAGAAAGCACTATGCCAACAAAATTTTATGGGAAACTCTAATTGTAGGGTAATGCACTGTTTATATCCACTTTATGTTATTAAGTGTACATTGAATGAGCAAATGAGTATTATGAATTACTCTTTTTTCTTCTCTTTAGGGTCAGTTTATCAACCACTTGTGGCTAGTAAAATTTCTTGATAAAAAGACTATTTTAAAGATTCTTTTTTGTATTTTTTATGTTGTGTATTTTATTTTTGAAAATATGTATTTATAATTATTATTGTTAACTTTAAATTAATAGTCAGTTAGTATTAATAAAATAATGTTGTTCTGAGCATGCGCAGTATATATTGGCGCGTAGTACTCCCGGGAACACGACTACTCGTCAACACAAAAGGAACCCTCATCATCAGAACAAATTGAAATGGCTAGTCATAGCGGGAGAGAGAAAAAGAAGCGACCAGAGACAAATACTATGCAAGTAATGGCAGGGAAATCTACATCCTCGTCCGCAAAGCCCTCTCTTGTAAGAAGACTTTTCAGACGCAGTTCTGCAGCTACTCGCCCTTCAAATCCACAAGCTTTATCTCCCCCGGAGACAATCCCAGAGGAGAGCACTGCTGAGCAGTCAAAGAGAGGACACAAGAACAAGGCCATGAAGCGAAGCAAATCAGACAAACAAGTAATCACTCGGCCACAGCTGAACAATCCGGATGACTACACAATGAAGAGTGCAACACTTCCATCTCCTCGTTTCACTGGCTCAAAAAGCAGGAATAACGCTCACTCTCCAAATGCATATCGTCCTCCACCTGTGGCCTTATCATATGTAACCAGCCCTAGCAGAAGGCCTCGTTATCATAGCCCAGTTACCCTAGGAACCTCTTCTTCTCCTCCTATGCCTCATTCATTCCCTCACTCACAGCATCTACTGGTCGATCAAACCACATCAACTTGGGACATATCTCCTACTGGGGAAATAATCGGGCAATACTCACTCAAGCAAGCAGCTCGATCGGTCTACCCTCTCCCTCCTTCTCTCCCTCCTCCTCCTCCTCCTGTTGCAGCAAGCACAGATCTATTGAGCAGTATCAACAGTAGCCATACTTACAGTGAGCCGTACCATTGGCTCTTCCCCCCAGAGCCATGCAAAAGTGCACCTCCTCTACCACCTAGATCACAAAACACAGGTAACCAAGTATACTAATAAGTACAATTAATCTTTAATTTGTTTTGTTATTATGTTTACAGTGCTATTCACTTTTCACTTATACTCTTTTCTTTTTTTACATTCAGTAATGCCTAGTTACTCAAATCTTGAGGTGTCTCTGTCACTCGATAACTTAAGTGATCCAAAATTTCATGACTACATGACTATCAATCCTTTCATGCTCAATCCAAAAGCAGGTAAAAATAATAATTATTATTATGATAAAATTAAATTCTGGCATATTGTAATATTGATAACCTATTCTTGTGCTAAGTACTTATTATTGTGCTAAGCCTGTATGTATAGTGTTTGCTAACATAGGAAGGATAGAGCAAATCCTTTTACATTCGTGCGTTCACGTGAATGTCTTCAGACTGCGTATAACAATGACTATTATTGCAAGAGTTTGTATAGAAAATGTGGCATACTAACGGCATATTGATAATTGTTATCAGGTTGTGTTTGTGTTAGTTGGTAGTGTGTTGGGGATTAGAGTTTGTGAAAAGACAATTATCAACAGTCGATGGGAGTCAGTATATGTGTGTGTCTAGGCTTGTGTGCGTTGGCACTTAAGTGATGTTTGAAAATATTGATCAAGTTATTTACTTAGCGTTTGAATAGCTTTTGAACTGTGATCAACAGTTTTTATTCAGCAGACTTCAGTATCATGTGTACCTTTCTTTGATACCTTCTCTTTTATCTCTCCCTCTCTCTCCTTCTCTCTTTTCCTGTCTTTCTCTCTCTCTCTCTCTCTCTTCCCCCAGATCCTTCAGATTATCAGCAACCAATAGTAACCCAGACGACTCCACTCCCTCCATGCATTAGACATAGAAAAATGGATCAGAGACAGAGAGAAATCAGAGACGACTCATCCCCCGAAATCAAAGAATCATCCCCGGAATCAAGAGACGACATGGACAGTCACTCTCCATCATTTCGCCCCCGCTCCAGATCAGATACCAGGAGAACCACAGTAGTGATACTTGATGATGATAGAACATTAAAAGTATAAACACACACACACACACACACACACACAGACTGGAAAGGAGAGCTGCAGTGGGGGCATGATGCTTAAGTCGATATTCATCCACATTACCATTTTAATTTATGTTGGTCCCACTCCCTCCAGCACTTAAACACAGACAATTAAACATTAATTGAAATGTAATGTTATTTAGTCTAATTGCTAGCTATACTAGTTCTAGTAGTCATGACAACTAAAATAGACATAAATACTTACAATTGACACAAATTATATTAACCCTGTTTATTATCATAATGTTTTTTTCCTAAAATAAGTTGCTACATGTATTTTCAATATCACTATGTACATATTACGATGCATGGTCATCACTATTATTTATTATCATCATTATTGTTGTTGTTATTATTATTATCATCATGATACTATTTACATGATTTTTGAGGTGACAATTTCTCACTAGTTAAACCAACAGGTTCGAGGTCTTTTTCTGTACGAAAGTCCTCCTCACTCTCTCTCTCTTTCTCTTCCTCCTCGCTCTTCTCTCCTCCCATTGCCTCCTTCCCTCCATCTTGCTTCAGTCTCTCAAAGAGGAGAACTACTTCACAGTGGTCAGTGTGAGGGAATAGGTCTATAGGAATAGCCTTAACTGGTCGAAACGGTAATCCTTTGATTCGATGAGAAGGCTCTCGACACAGACTAAAAGAGAGAGAGAAGTGATGTCAGTGTTGCTAGTGTCCCTTACTCTGCTATGTTGTGCTCTAGTCTGTCAGGATCACACGAGACGTATATGAGATTTTTAATGTTTTTGTTACGCCTGATGGCCTGAATCACTTTAGGGTCTGAGAGAGAGAGGGAGAGGGAGAGAGAGAGAGGGTGTGTATGGATAAAGAGAGAAGGGGAAATAGAGAGAGAGAGAGGAAGAAAATACACATAGAAGAAAGAGAGAGAGGGAGAGAGACAGTAGTACAAGAAAAGAACAAAAAGAAATCAATTAAATGTATTAGTGAGTTCTTACGGAGTCCGCTCCTAGGAGGATCAACAACAGCAATGGCATCATCAATACCATAAGACTCTAGCATGTGAGATGGAATGACATCCTCAGCACGACCGCACATGTAGCGACAATTTTTAATACCTAGAAAGGTAGGGTAAAGATTACATAGAGATAGACATGTAAATGAAAGTGAAAGTTAGAAGAGAGATTAAAAATAGAGTCACCATTTAAAACTGCATTGTGTTCAGCGTTTTTAACAGCCTGCTCATTCAACTCTATACCAATAACTTGTGATAAAGGTACTGTCTAAAATGATACATGTAGATGATGATGGTTAATTATTAGGGATAATCCTTTACAATACCTTTGCTACGCTTAAACCTATTGTACCTGTACCACAACAGATATCTGAAGAGAGAGAGAGAAGCATAAAAAAGAAGAAACGAGAGAGAAAGAAAGATAGGAAGTAAGGAACAAGACATAAGGAGGTTCGAAGAAACACATTGTATCTACTCAGAATAAAGGTGGGAAAGAGAAACAAGTCTACCACAGTAATAGATAAAAGTACAGTATACACATATACTTAAAAGGTATACAAGTATACATACATACATACATACAGATCATAAAAGGAATATAACATAAAGATAGGATATAGACAGGAATATGTGACAGAAGTTGCCATAGTCAAAAGGATAGGGATAGACCCAATAGATGAGATGAACATCAAATTACTCATTAGCACACCATTATCCTAGGACTAAACAACATACTAACCATACAGGACAGGAGGAGTAGAGACGCCAGGAGATATACCAGACACTAGATCAGCAATGGTACTGTATAGTGTCTCTGTGGCTAGTGTATTGACTTGAAAGAATGCTTCGGGTGAGATACTGAACTTCAACCCATTAACATACTCGTGAACAACCTAAGGAGAGAGGATACTGTAAACCCAATAATAATTATTATACGCTAATTTCAACTATTTTAATCATTGGCCTTATTTTGTAAAGTTAATGGACATGAATATGATTTTCAAACTGCAATTGGTTACCTTAGTTGTAAAAATCGTTAATAGAGGTTAATAGACAAAGGAACAAAGAAAGGGGAAAGTGTACGGTAAGTTAAGGGAGAAAGGAAAGAAAAAAGATAGAGTAACCCTTGAATGGGTAGAGAACAAGGAAAAATACATGTGAGGAACAAAGAGCGTGAGAGAGTTAGAGGGAGTGAGGGGGAATAGAGGAGACTATAGGGTATAAAATATAATAATTTATTATTATGTTTGAGTGTCAACATGGCATTGATAATTTGAAACTAATTATTACTGAAACTAATTATGTCAACATTATAGTCATAATTCCTCAAAATTATCCCACAAATAAACACATGTAAATGTACATGTACATGAAAATGAATAAATAAATGAATAACTTGCCTCAGTCCCTAAGAGTAGCTCATACACAAGGTTTGCCTTTTTCCTGGAGTAATAAAAACTAATTACTTGTGATCAAACTTTCTGCAAGACATACAAATCTAAAGCTAGGTTAGTGTTTGACAAAACAGTCAAAAGTGCATGGGCGATATCTAATCTTTTGATTGAAAAACGCTTTGAATTTAATACAAAAATTGACTAAAATTTTAATTTTGTACTTGTTTGCGTTGCATTTTGTGGCAAATGTAAACCAGACTTAATAGGTACATATATATATATATATATTCTAACTGACAATGCTATAGCTATTTGCTCTGAAAGTTTGAGCTAATTTGGAACTTCAGATCAAAAATTTTGTGAGCTACATGGATGAGCATCTGTTTAATAAAATTAATAAAATTTATAATATTGTTTAATAAAAAATCAAATTTGATTGAAATCAGCTCAAAGTTGATACACAACATAAGGACATGTATATGCATCAGAAAAAAAATTTTAAATGGAGATTTCACGTCACAAAATTTGGCCCAAAGATTCAAGGCTATAGCCTTTGGTCGCTGGCCTGATTTTTGAGCAACTTTATAATTTATGAAACATTTAAATCTGCTCAAAATTGATACACAACATAATGTATATTTATCAGAAAATGTATAAAAATGGAGAATTTTTACTGAAATAAAATTGGTCCAATTTTGGAGCAACTTAACAATCAACTGTGCCAAATTCTTATGGGAAATCCTGCCAATACTCAAGGTCCTTGGTCAAATTTCGAAGCAACTCTAAAATTTTCTAAAATATTAGACCCAGTTCATAACAATATTATAAATTGCTTTCATGACATGATATGCCACGGAACTCCAGTCATGTTCAGAGGATGGACTACCCTTGAACTAGTTTTATTACTTCTACATGTACCATCAATTTCCCAACAATCTTTTTTTCAAATACACAATGTACTATTGCATTACTATTACAACAACCTTCCTTATTACAAATAAAGCCACAGTGCATACGGTATTCCACACATAACAGCTAGGACCAGTAGTACATGTATTATACCTGCCGTGAGCTACAGTCAACCAGTAGAGAGAGGTTGGACATAATCCCTTCCCTTCTCCCTCTTGGAATAATTTGATAACTCTTTTCTTCTCCAAATCAATCTCCTCCTAGTAATTACCATAATAGATAGAAAATTTGGTGGATTACAATTTTGGCAATTTGGCAAATTGAAGTCTATTCGCTAAACTTTTGTTCTCCAATTTGATGGGGTCCCATAGAAGCATGCACGAAGTTAAAATTTCACCAAATTTTTAACGTCCAAACCTCTTTTAAAGTCAATTTGCCAAATTTTAACACTCCAAATTTTCTAGCTATACAGTACATTTTAAAATAACATTCTAGTAATCAATTTAGTGTTATCATTAATTATAATTACCTCTGACAGTATGCCTTTGTTGAATGTGATAATTATCATTCTCTCTTTACTTGTAAAATCTTTAACTGTGAGTAGCTTCCAATTACTGTAATATTACAATCAAAATTACCATAATTACATAAGAGAAATATTTCTTGAGTATAAAATTTCGCAAATTTGTCTTAGATTTTGATATTTTACAATCTCACATTGTATAGTTTTACTAGTTTTGCTATACCTTTTCAGGGAATTTAATTTCACAAATTCATTAAAAAACGCAAGATTCATCAACTTTATTACTCGTGAAACATTCGTCTCTACATTTTCCCCTTCCCTAATCTCTCCTCTGCCTCACCCTAACCCTCACCCCCTCCCTCATCCTCACCCTCACCCTCTCCCTCACCCTCTCCCTCACCCTCACCCTGTGTGTGTCACTAAGTCGTATGCTTTATAATCCGACGTCTTCACAAAGTCTTCAAATACCTACATGGACACAATACATGTACAATATAACACATCATGAATAACAAGTACATGTACATTTTTACATACATCGTACATGTATAGATGTACAGCATAATAAAATTCATGTTTTATGCACAAAAAATAAACACTGCAACATTAAGTAATGTATTATATGAATTGTCAGTTCATTTGCTATAGTACTGTATAGCGGGTTTTTTTCCAAAGATAATAAATTTTACAAATTTTGCAGATTTTCAAGATTCAAAAAATTAAATAGAATTTGAAAAAATTAATTCCGTGAACCCCCAGATACAGGTCATTTGCGAAAATTATTATCCTTGAAAAAACCTGCAATACAGTATTCCAATAGACAGCTGTGCTATAAAAGATACAACATTTTGTGAGGATTTCATGTTTTTAAATTTCATGTACGCACATGTGCAGTAAGCATTTTAAAAGTACCCTACAAGATGATTCATTATCAAGAGTAATATTTGGAAAATTTGCCTGTGTAATATCTACATGTACTATATTGATGTCCTTATGCTGTGTTGGAAAGTTCATTGGCAAATTTTATATTAGCGATTTTGTGCCATGTGCCATTGAACATGCTCAAATTGAAACAAAATGGCAAATTTTAAATTTGCAATTACTTCATAGAACTGCCAATCGCCAATATTAATTCCTCATCAATAAATGATATTGTAGTATTGTACGATATTAATTTTTGTGGGTAACTCATAGTCACTGTCAGCCCTGTTCTCCAAGCATTACCTGTACAACATCCTTCGAATACTGAGATACATTAATGCATTCACGTGGTGACATCAAACTAACATCACCTTCTAGGAACGATCCCGGCATGAATCCAATTACTAGTGGGTGTGGTTTATAAATAGGTGTGGCTTTGGCGACATATTATACCTGTTTCGCGAGAGGGTCCGTATCCAATTATAAACTCACATTTGTTCCGATATGCTTCAGTGACAAGCTATAAAATAAATAAACTTCAATCTTAGCTCAAATTTTTACTTCTCTCTCCCTCTCTCTCTTACTGATGATTTTATTGGTAATAACTGACAGAGGAGACCATTATTTGATTTCATATGCTCACGGAACCATTCTCCCTAAAAACAACATACCCATAACAAAAATTTAAAAAATATATTTTAATTGGGTAGTATAATGGTAATTACACTGTCTAATGGACCTATTAACTATTACAATTAAGTACAATTGATGTTGTGACTATTGACAGCCCAAGGTATCTTTGGTATGCAACTTTACTACTTACTGGTTTAATCTTATTGAGCTGTCTAGCAGCAGTCACCAACCACTCCTTAATAGTAGTATGTTTCTGTTCTAATTGCTTGCTATATGGTAATCTCCATAGTGCAGTTACTGAGTCAAATAATCTAAAGAAATTTAATTTCACTTGACATTATAAGAACTGGTGCTTAAAAATTATTAGTAAAATAATAATATATTATTGTTTCTCTCATTCAATGCTTCTAGTGCACTGCAAAATAAATAATCATTTATTATTTTTTACTTTTCTCTGCGCTCTTCTTCAGTCATCGAAGCAATGCATAGTCTTTTACTGGGAGTAATCTTATCTTCATCAACTAATAAAATAAATAAATAAATAATAATAATATAATAATACTAAATTATATAAATATCATTTACTTTTACGCTTTCTTGCCACCAGTAATGGGTCTTTGGCAGGTTTAGCATGCTAGTGAGAGAGAGAATGATACAAGAGAAGAGAGAAAGAAAATTTAAAAAAACTTGTCATTAAAATATAAGTTTTGCTATTTGCTATAATTTGCAAAATTAAATTCAACCAACATCATGATTATATGCCACACTCTATTTAATAAAAATGCTCATTTTATCAGTGAGTCACAGTTTTGCTAAATTTTAGAATGATGAATATACTTGTACATAAACTCACTTACAATTGCTTTCAGTTTCTTCTTCTTCCAGACATGGCCATTGATCACTGACAATGCCAACTATAGAAATAAAGATAACAAGAGAATTAATTACTATCGAAAATGTAAAATTTTGTTCAAATATAGAGAGATAGAGAGAATTAGGAGGGGAAGAGGGAACGCTTCTATAAAGATGGAGAAAGAAATTTAATTGCACATGTAAACCTTTTAACCTGTCTTTGCTCTTCATTTTTAAAAGTGACGAAACACTGTGCATACATGTTTTGAATTATCTTTATTTTTACCGGCTCAAGATTCAATGAATTTAATCTTTTTTGAATTTGCTAAGAGAGAGAGGGAGAGGGAGAGAGAGAGAGAGAGAGAGAGAGAAAGTGTAATACAATTTATTGTCAGTAGGTGTATAAAAATTATGACCTACAAATCATGCAATTAGTAGTCACAACACTTTCAATAACTAAATCATGCAGGCATGAAGCGGGTTACATGTACATTAAGAATTATATTACAAAACCATTAACATTACATTAAGACTATAATGTAGTTGTAATTGAACTAAAATAACATATTATACAGTACAGTGGTTGAACAATGTATACCCTATACGTGGAAATTTTCAAGGGGATAAACTTTCATGAATTTTGTGAAAAGAAGGGCCATTCGCGAAATTACAACACGTGAAAATTCATCTTAGCATGTGGGTGTACGTATAATTAAAATTAATTTACAATGTTGCTGCAATACTTGATTATTATGAAATGGTGGCACTTCAAAATAATTTGCAAAAATTTGGCCTCGCGAAATCCTGCAAATTCATTCGCAAAAATTTATCCACTCGTAAATTTCCATGTATAGGGTAACTGCTAATTTTTGGAGGGCATGAATTGCTAAATTTTAGTGACTGGTGGGTTTTAATTTGACAAATTTATGACCATATGCCATTGAGCATGCACATAATGGCTCAAAATGGCGAGTTTCATTTTGTATCAAAACACCAAATTTTGCCACAATGACTAGGAGAGAATTCTCACTTTTTATAATTTCTTTTTTACAATACATGTAACCATTAATTTTTCTTATGCTGTTTAAAATGTTCGAGCTAATTCCAATAAAATTTAATTTTTTATGAATTTTTGAAGTTGCTCAAAAATCAGACCAAAGCCCCTGTGCTATATAGCACAGGGACTTTGGCCCAATTTCGGCAAAAATTAAAACTTCAAAATTCTCCATTTTTATAATTTTTTCTGATACATATGTGAGTTTTTGTGCTGCGTAGAAAGTTTGAGCTGATTCTGATCAAATTTAAATTTAAAAAATTTTTGAAATTACTCAAAAATTGGGTAAAAGTTCCTGTACTACAGTACAGTGGCTTTGGCCCAATTACTTCAAAATTAAAAGTTAAAAAGTATCTATATTTATATTTTTACTGATAGATATACATAATCTTAAGCTGTGCAAAAAGTTTGAGCTGATTCCGGTCAAATTTGGATTTTTTATGAATTTAAAAAATGCCACGTACTGTATTGTAGTTCTTGAAGAATGCTCACTTAGCATGCTTTGCGGGAAACCCTGCAGTAGGACATGTCAAATCCCTTTTTAAAATCATGTTGTTCAGATAAAATGTATAGCAACATAAAATTCGGTCAGTCGATTGACTGAATTGAGCAAAAATGGTTAAAAAATGTCCGTTGTCTAACTGTTATTTCAGACTCTGCATAGTAAAGACTGATTCTTTCCTTAAACTTGCAAAAATTTAGCTATAAAAATTTAGCTATATTTTATACATCCCTCCTAAATTATTATGATATCCTTTGTTAAAATTTTGTAGTAATTAAATCTACTATTACTACTACTACTACATTCCTTGTCCTTATAGAATGCCGGAAGTTAATAATTACTAAGATATCAAGGTCAGTTTGTGCATCATACCTTGTATCCAACATACGCCGGAATGTTTTTAATTTCTATTTTAAATATTTCCGACGTGAATCCACCCGGAACTGCTTTCAGTCTATCTTCATCGTCCGATTCCTCCCCCTGCCCAACCATTTCCTTTTTAACTTCGGCTGATGATGAACTTGCTCCTCCTTCAAACTCTAGGGCTTCTTTCATATCAGTTTTAATCTCAGTTGTAATAGACTCATTGCCACGTGTTTCCTCCATGTAGCCTCTCCTCAGTACTACAGGCCCAGGACCTCTGAGTCTTGCTATAGGCGGGGAAATGGGTGGAGTTTTTCGGACAAACCCTAGGAGGTTTCTTAGGATGTGAGGTCTAACGCCCACGCACCAATGCATCATCACGCTGCTGCATTAGGTAGTAACTGCGCATGCGCGGAGTCACGTGCTTTAAAATGGCCATGGAAGGAGAAGGCATAAAGTTTATAAACTCCTTGTCCTATAGATTGGCTGGTAAGTTAATGAAACATAGAAGAAAAATACGTGGGAATTAATTTTGATTTTTTTAGAGTCGTTTGGTTTTGAAATTTTTGATTATTATTCGACTGATGCTGATTTTTATGACATATTGAAGAGTTCAGTTGACTCCCTTCCAAACTGCGAGCTCAAAGATCATTTGGTGGAGAACACCAGTCGTTACAGAGACCAGTTGAAAAGGTAAGATCATTATGATACCTGGTATTTGATTTGTTTATAATGTGTACTGCAATGTGCATGAAGTTAGTGAACATTTAATTAACCTGAGAGGGACTTTAGTTACTGGTCAAAAGCTTTAACTCTCACTGGATTTTGTGATGGGTACTAATATTATTGATATCAATAAATTATTATTAACAGCTACATGGCATAATACATAAACATTTTTCCAGTATATAGCTAAATTGGTAATTAATAGTAAAAAGAGTATATAATTTACAGAGAGTGTCTAACTGCACTTTAGTAGCTGAAACTAAGTCAAACTAAATCGTAGAACTACCATATAGTGCTTTAATTTTGCGGAGCTAAAATTTCGCGGATTGATAAAAATCAATTTTTTGCGGAAATAATTTTTGCAGATTCGCAATGTTAGTGCCACACCTTTAATGGCAATTGAAATTTTACCGGATCTTTAATTTCGCGGTTTCGTGCTAACCGCGAAAATAGCGAAAGTTTAGCTCCTTAAAAATAAAGCGCTATACGGTAAGTCACGTGAGACCAGAAGCATGGGTGTTCCTACTAAAAACACGTGTAGAAGTTAGCATAAAAACAGTGGAGAACACTTGAAGAAGCTTTAGACATCATACTAGTAAACTTTATAATGCTGCCGAAGCCCGTTGTGCAGCACTGCTATAGCAGAGACACCAAAACGGCCAGTAAAACTTGTTGAGCAAACTTGGCAGCCATTTTTCCTACACAGCCACACCCAGTATGCGGGAATGCCCAAAGATGCACAAGAAAAGGCTACGCAGTCATGTTTCGGCTATTATAGTACAGTTAGACACTCTTTGTAAATTATGTACTCTTGATAGTACCAGTAATTAAAAATCAAATAGCTCCTAAATGTAAAATAGCTTTAATTTTTAAGTACTTTCTCCATTTTGTCTTTTAGCCTGTTAGAGAGTAAATTTAAGCCAGTTGCTATTCCGAGCTCCTCTGCCCTCACTAAAGAGAGTGTTTCTGAGTCACTGAAAACAATAAAAGCATCTACATCCAATCCAAACCTCAGCAAGGAAGAGATATGCCACATGTGTGAGCTATGATGATATTTTATGAATTATTTTTGTTATATTTTTTTATTTTAGATGAGCAATTGCTAGTAAGCAGTTCTTCAAATGAATGCATCAGCTTTAAAGAAATAAGTAACGAGTGGGCGGAGTATTTGGTTAGTATTAGTCATGATGTAATAACTTATCATGGCTGCCATTATTATTTTTAGCATTTTGTTATTATTATCATTGTTAAATTAAAAAGGAAGTAAACGAAAATGAAAAGCAAATAGATAAATTGTTACCAAATTAATGAGTCATTGCATTAGGTCATGTCAGATCAGGAACTATGGCCTGTTAGTATCTGTGGTTGTGGTTATCACTGTTAGCAACATTGCTGTTATTATTACTTAGAAAAGCATTAAAACATTAATAAACTAAATAATACATGTACTAATAAACATAGCATTAAAATCATTATTTTTATTAATTTAATTTTATTTTCTAGGTTCATTCATGTGATGGCGAATCTATACTCAAGGCCATTGACTTTTATTCACAATGTCTCCTAAACACTCAAACCCTCATATTCTGCCTAGACACCTTCATCTATTTATATTCACATTTACTGACAATTGGAGCTACACCTTCTACCGAGAAGATCCTCTCTGTTGTTTTTGCTGTTCACTTTTTGATTTCCAGACCTGAGTGTGACAGTTGGGATATTTGCTATGATAACCAGCTAAGTGCCCTCCTATCTATTTATATCGAATGCTGTCTGCTTAATAGGTAATGATTTATTACTACTACTACTATTATTATTATTATTATTATTATTATTATTATTATTATATTCCTTTAAAGTGATAGTAAAGGTGTTGGTGATTTGTCTTCACATTTGAGAAGGACTCTACTTACATTTTCCAGTCAGTTTTTTATTATTTATTAACAAATTTTTCAACAGTTATTAAAAAGGCAAAGGAGTAGTTGCTTTGAGCTCCTTGCTACAGGTAAATGTACCAAATGGCAAAGAAGGTGTCGTTTTAGAATTAATAAAGTACGTCTATTTCTGATCTTGCCCTTTTCCCTTCCTCTCTCCCTCCCTCTCCCTCTCTCTCTCTCTCTCTCCCTCTCCCTCTCTCCCTCTCCCTCCCTCTCTCTCTCTCTCTCTCCCTCTCTCTCTCTCTCTCCCTCTCCCTCTCCTCTCTCTCCTCTCTCTCTCCTCTCTCTCCTCTCTCTCTCCTTCCCCTCTTTTCATTTTACTTCTCTCATTTCCTAGATCAGTTCTCAATTGGATTCAGTTTAGTTCTTTTGGACTCCGTCGCAATGTTTGTGATTCACATGTTTACTTATGGTAAATCATCCCCTTTGCAGTTTATGATAATCACATTAGAATATTTGCCGTATTTGGACATGGCTTATATCCTCCTATACTTAGAAGGAAGTACTCATTATGCTATTAATAGATCCTTTTATTATTAGTAACGAATGATGAGGTTTTAATTTACTCTATATAGTTATATATGCTGTCTCAATTTTGCTAAACGTCTAAGCTTCGAATCTTCAAAGCATTTTGAAGTAATTAACAATTTGTATAATGATTATGCTAAACACTTTTGCCCTTTTTGTAGTCAAAGTGTTATTTAAAGGCTCCAGCATTATTCTCTAAATGGCTATATTCAGTTGATTCAAGGTGATTTGAACACGTGTTTCGTATTATTGTTTGTTTTACCTGTACCTCTTAGTTAATGGTTTACTTTACCCATTAAAGTAAGCAAAGATCTGTCACAAAGTTGTTTTGAGTGTTTAGTAAGCTTTTTAGTAGTACCATGCTTTAGCTCCATTGTAATAGTATAATTAACACTATTATAGCTCTGCGAGTGCTGGCGTAAACAAAGAAATAAAATAACCAGGGAAATTTTTCTCTAACACAATAATAAAACACAGTAGTTTGCTGAATACATTATACATTTACATGACGTGGATTGACGTAAATGTATTTAGTGTTGTTTATCATTGCTGACAGCTTCCTGTTTACTTGAATTATGATAAAAACCAGTGGAATTTAAAGTATGAGGTCGTTTTATGCTATATATGGATTTATCCATATAAGGAGCTGCCCTTCTCCATTGCATGTTTGTTAGGCTACACTATCTCTACTGTACTACTTTTTGTTAATTTTGCTCACTTAGTTGCAATAATAATATTGGGAGTAGTGTATGTTAGTACATTTGTCCTCTGACACTTTGTAGGATAGACAGTCGGACTAGTCTATTTATAAATACACCTTCTCTTAGGATACACAGGAAGAGTGCATGTTTTTACTGAAGCTAGGGGCCTGCCCTTTGTGATGTGTGTCTGTTATTGCTAAGATGTCTTAGCTGATTATTTTTAAGTCTGACATACTGGCAGTTCACATGCCCACAATAACAGAGATTCTGACTTCATCACACGTTACAGTTCCAAAGAGTCTTTTTTGATGGTCTTGTAAACAAGACCATATAAAAAGACCACATGTGTTATTTGTTAATTCTGATACCCACATGTGTAAACAAGCCCACTGCATATTTGAAGTAGCAGTAATAGACTTGCATCATTTAATATTGCAAGAAAATATGTTGATTGTAGCCCGTTTAGAAATAACCTACTTCTCATCATCTTTTCTCTGCCTATAGTGGCATGCGTTTTAGTCAAAAGAGCTTTGGTACCACCTAATGACTTTGACTTACATGTAAGTCTATTTCACACTGTGATGCAATGTCACTGTAAGCCCCTTTAAATGTATGCATAATTGGAAAGTCCTCAATTACCTCTGTCATTTATTTAAGCTATAGGGCTTTCAGTCATAATGTGTAATATTACATAAAATAGTGTAAAATGGGAATCAAGCTTTATAGTAAAGCCTTAAAACTTTATTTAGACCCTGACCCTCCTAATTTTGGAGGACAACCATTTTGCCTTATATAATGTCATTTTAACAGTTTTTTGTGGTAGTATTTGTGAGACATTAGGAATAAAAAGAATATGGTCGTCAGAACAGATTCAGGAGCATCTTCTCTCTGATATCACGAAAGAGAAAGAAGAGTTACTCTTATGTGTAAGGACTATTACAACTTTATACTATTGTAATGAAATCCATTCATTTCCATTCCAGCTTCTGTCTCACACTGACAGGACTACAGAAAAGAATCCATCATCTAATGATTTTAGAGAAGAGACTAGGGAAAAGGAGGAAGTTCTCAATGCAGAGAGTAATGGTGTATTTTTCCTTGATAACGAAGGGGAAGATATAGCAGGCGTCACAAAGGTATAATAAATTTTGTTTCTAGTTCATAATTCAGCCAGTTATGAGTTGAAGCCCATCATGCTATCATAATAAATGCCATTTTGGTAAATATATTTTTTGGTGTCAGCACATTCTTAACAACATTGCATTATAATTACGATGCTGATGATAGCATGCAGTGCATTAGCTACTATAATGGCTACGGTGGGAACATTTCTTATACATGTTTAATATAGGAATGGAGTAACGAAGAGGAGAGGAATGAGGAAATACAAGAGGTGATGTACCGCAATACATGTTAGTAGTAATTCATACTCATTTTAGGCTACTCATGCAGTCATTCCCGCCTACATGGAGACTAATGATACTGAAACTAGCCAAAGTTAGGAACTTGACATAACCGGCTTTTTATTTTTCATTTTTTATAGTCAGTGAGGAAGAATGTCCTATGACTGACAAGTGTAGTGATGCTATTGCCAAAGAGGTAGGCATGAAATATGAATCCTTCTCACAATCCACTACCTAGTACATTACAAGGTCACTACTCCAGTACAGAAAGTTTCTAGTGCAAAGAAGCGGAAGTCACTTCTCAAGAAACTTCGCAAAAGCACTACCCCTCCCATGAAGTTAAAGTTCTCTCCAAGAATTTTAAGGAGTGCTACAAAGAAAAAGTTGCTGGCCAGTTCAGCTAGACTCAAAAATTGATGTCAACACATTTCTAATTATTATTTGTTATTATATATAATAATTCTTATTATAATATATAATAAAAGTAAATGACCACTCTGTTGCTAGAATACAACTATACATTGTTTGTGAGTTTAGTGCATTTAATTGTCATGTTGTGTGTAAATTTCAGCTTGTATGTATTCCTCCATATTGAACCTCACAATAAAGGTGGTCTTCATCTTCCCCTTCTCCTGCAAAAAGGAAGAAATTGTTTATAATGGAAGCAGCTATGTGTAAACAATGATCATTGGCATAATTATGGCTTCCTTATAAGGCATTTTTATGCATTAAGTGTATTCTATAATACCTGGTGTTCCACAGCAAGTCTTTTTGTTTACTTGCCCAGGAAATCGAGCTGGAAGATATCTCGTATGCATATTTATCTTTGTGTATTCGCTTTTAGGAACATTGCAAAGTGTGAGCTTCATGTAGCCACCTTCGTTGTCTCCATTCTCCACTGGAGTTTGGAGCCTGGCTCTTTCATCAGGTGCTGGTCCCAGCTCTTCGTATATTGCTTCGTCATCTAGTTCATTGTCTTGTGGCTTTGTTTTTGTTTTTAAAAATGGTGAAACGTCTACAAATCCGCTGTCATTCATGCTTGAGACAGACACTGTTCTGTCCCTTGGCTCAATATCGTCATAATGATCGTGACGTGTGCTGGGTGGTCTGGTGGTGCACTCTTTAGTTAAGCCTGGCAGTGGGATGGGAGCTAAATGCCTTTTACCTACACATCAATCGAAGATGATAACATCATTTTTATAAATTGAGCTATAAACTTACATTCTTCTGTCATTCTCTCCTGGTACATTTCTTTCTCCTTTTTTGCTAGAGAATTCAGAGAATGTAGGGATCCTGATGAATTTAATGCTGGTTCTTCATCGGAGCTGGAGCCATCAGACTCAGACTTCAGTGTTTTCTGAATCAATGTAAGTGACTGGCTTGCCTTGCTGCAACAATCAATCGCTGACTGAAAGTTGATAGCATTAGTAGAAGAGATGTGATGGAAGTTTTTCTTTAAGAGGCGTATGCGATGTGTTGCATATTCTATCTGCATTTTTGAGAGTGCCAACTCAACGTGGAGCGTTTGGAGATGATCAGAGATGTTAGCAGGATTCTGGGGGTTCTTCTTCTTTTTCATGGTTTTTATCGCCTTCTTTACTTTGCCAGCGAGGTCATGTCTGTTCACTGTCTCTAGTACCTTTGCTAGTGATTCTGGATTGTCCTGGTAGATTTTTTGTTCTACTTCCAACTGCATAAGGACTTCAATGGGACGTGCCTTCAGAAACTTTTCTGGCAAGTTATTTATGTAAGCAATATCATGGCTCTCGTCTGGCCTCAGGCTTTGAGAAACGGTAAACACTACTTCTCGAAATTGTTCTCCGTTCATACTTTCTCTTCAGACTACTACCTCTTTTACTTCGTTAAAATGTCTTGATCCAGTGGCCTTTTATCGAGCCTTTTATACTGTTTTGGTTAGCATTAGTCATGATGTAATAACTCATCATTGGGTTATCCGCCCACGCAATACTGGTGGTATACAGGTGGTACGCGGTATACAGGTATACAGGTGGCTTGAGCCGCCCACTCAAACTGACTATAAAGTGTTCACAACACAAAACAAACACAGCAACAAACTAAACTACTATAAATTATGGGGTATAGAGTAAATGCCCTCTTCTTCCTCTTGCACAGAAACTAGTGACTGATACTCTGAAATACAACCAATAAAATCAAGCTAATATACACTATTTTAAAACAAACCTGACTTCTGTTTGGTTTCAGGCTCAGGCCAATCTCCCCTATAACCACTATCAGAAAAAGAAGCACTGGTACGATAGCTAGAGACTACAGGGATAGCATAATGATCTTCAGTATTCTCTTCTTTCTTCCCCTGATGTGTCCTAACTGGTTTTGGTCTTGTAGGAGGAGGAGGAGAAGGCTTTGCTCCTGTTACTGGACTGTTCTCCTTTGACTTTAGATTCAATACTTAAAAGGGAAAAATATATTTAGTGAATGCATGCATATAATCTAGTAATACCTCTAGCTGGTGGCAGCAAAGGTACTTTTGGTGACTTGTTGCCACTGCTAATATCATCACTGGAATGAAGCTTTACTTGATTGCTGGTTGGTTTTGGTGGTTTAGCTGGTGTCATTGGAGGAGGAGGCTTCACAGTTGCATCTCTTCTTTCTCCTTGAGGTGTTCTAACTCTTGGAGTTGGAGAATTTGATTGTAAGACTTGTGGATGATGTCCAAAAGTCCCTGACCTCTCCATTTGTTGTGGGGGTCCTGAAGATTTCCTTGGTGTCTGCTGCAATTGTCGTCCAACATTCTCATAGATTGCCTCTTGTTCTTGCTGTGGTATTACTGTATCACTATCCTGGGACACTAGAATGGGATGAGGTATAGATTCTTCCACAGGTTGCATAGGAAGATCTATGATAAAAACAATATTGGGGGTAATCTGATACTTCATGCAGTATCTCCTTACTTGGCATTATTAGATCTTTTTTCATTTCATGCAAAGAAGCCACAGCTCCTTTTAGGTTTCCAAAGATGGTTTCAAAATGCTCTGATATTTGTTTCTTCATGTGTGGCTTACGATGAAGACAAATCTTCTGGAGTTGCTCTGAGCTTGCTTGGCCTAACTCAATCTGCTTTACAGCAATGTCAAGTGTTGGAGCCAAGTCCACACTTTCATAAAGCTCTTTCAGTGGAAGCATCACAGACGATTTTCGTGGCTTTGCTTTTTTGCATTCTTCAATCTTAGGTGTAAAGTCATTTATGAGGTCACTCCTTTCAAGGAACTCTGCTATATCAAGCAGCCCTTCTGGATTGGCAACATTGAAAACCCCTGTCATTTTTAAGGCCACCATCACTTGAATAGTTGACAAGTTGTAGTAATGAGGAGGGAGCTCATAAGCATGCACCAGCCTTTCCTTTTCATTCTCCAACAGCTCAAGAGCAAACCTATCAACTAGTTTGTTGAACTGAAGTTCGTGTTCTTTTCTCGATCTTGACATTATAGAAGTTATGAGCTGAACTCTCTTTACAAAAAATATATATATCCTTTGCAGTTTCCTTGTTGTCCTCCTTAATGTATATTGTTCTCTCATTCATAAATACCATTTCCAACAATAAATATCATTAATATGCATATCCTAAACAAGTGAAACTTGTAAACAGGTTAGTGAATAATGATACTATTTTTTAAATAAATTTGTAGCAGCAAAAAATAAAAAGAGAGCCCTTAGTGTCTCATTTGCATTAATTGACTTCTTGATAGACTATTAGAAGGTCCAACTGAATCATATTCTTCTGCAGGGAAATTTTCTTCATCTTCATCATCTTCAGTAGGAAATCTTCTAAATAATTCCATATCTGTTTCTTCATCAGAGTCACCAGAAGTTTCGCCGCCTGGTTGTGGCATAACTGGCACGCCATTTGATACAGTGACATTAACATAGCTGGAATCTATGGCAAAAAATAAGGCATGCAACATAAAATTTGCTGAGAATTTATAACTTTACTTTTACTACTGTTGTTTGTCATGTCCACATAGCTTTCACAACGGTCCATTCTGCTCCGTCTCAAACGTTCGTAATCATCAGTTTTAAGTTCTAAGGAATGCGGAGCATCAAAGGATGATTTTTCAAAATTGTCTCTTCTGCTAAAAAATGGGTTTTGTCTATTGTGAAAGTCTTGCTCTTCCACGACCTGCATTTGAAACTGTTGCTGCTTTAGGACAGAAAACTGTTTTTGTTGGACAAAAGGATTTTGTTGCTCAATTATGACTCGTCCTCTTTCGTTTGGTGTGTCTATAGGCCCTCGCTCAAAAGGGTTTGTTGAAGAGGTTGGATTTGGATAGGAATGTGAACTAATTTCCCGAGGGCTATTTAGTATGTCATCATACAACATAACAGGTTGTGGTATATCGGGTAACGGCCTGCTTTCAATCATTTTTTCCTGTTGTAGTGCCATTTTCCTCCTTTGCTCTTCTGCCATCAATCGATCAAATGCTTCCCTATCATTAAAAGTCCTTGACATTCGTATTCTAGGTTCTCCTAATTGAACCATCACTTTCCTCTCGTCTATTTTATTGGCCACTCGCTCAATAACTCGTGGAGAATTTGAAGGCTTGGGAGGAAGAGGAGGCAAAGGAGAGGGTGGTCCCTTTCTCCAACTCTCTTCAAATCGGCTCTGAGGTGGTAACATAGCTTGCGTTGTGTGTGCCTGTTCTATCTGTCTTCTTCTGAGAGGATCAGAACCAGTAGATAGGGGTTGTATCAAGGGATGAGGTGGCCCTTCTTCATTATTCACTTTCCTTTTAGCTATACAATGAAGAAACAAGTAAAATATTGCATCTAGTAATTCCCCCAGTTCTAATTTACACTTGTTTATACTATGTTTGTATACAGAGGAGCTCCACCCAATAGGACACAGTCTATAAACACACGTATTCAAATATGGTTTATATTTACCATAATTATTGCTAGCCTCTATAATTTATAAGGGAAACACTGCTTGTCAAAACTTCCAAAATTTTAATAAGGCAGACTGAGCTGAGCAATTCATACACTCAAGAATTTGTAGTCATGCAATAGCTGGAAATTTTTGAGGGGAGAGAGGAAAATTTGACAGATTGTTATTAAGAAATTTCTGGCCATCATGTGCATTAATGGTTCAAAATGGTGAATTTTATTTCGATAATAAATGGCTAATAAAAATGGCAAATTTGTAAAAATTTTCCCTCTCCAAAATTACCAGCTACATGTATGGTATAAAAAAACAGAGCCAGAAAAGCCATAACTTACAGCTGCAACAGAAATCAGTGCTATTGTCAAGTCCTCTCTCCAAGGTTATTTGAAGATTTGCGAGATCTTTCATAGTGTCGCCAACATCTTTCACAAGGTCAGTAATAACTGGAATGGTTTTAATGAATTTTTCCGTTTTGTCTGCTACTGCTGCTCTAGTCTGTAGCACAGATTGGGCAAGTTGGAGGTCACTATAGAAGTAACGACCAGCTCTCTCAACGTTTCTTAAAATCTGCTCCAGGTCTGCATTCAAGTGCAATTCATTACAGCCTCTATAACGAAAGGAATTAGACTTCTTTAATTTCATGATCCTCTTGATTTTCTTGTGCGTGTCCTTCATTCCTAACCAAAAAGGAAGCTCGAGCAGTCCAACAGGTGACTGTGGAGAAAAGACATCGATTAGCTCCAAGGCACGTACAGTCCTCTCCGGCGGCAAGGTGGTGTATATTTCCGGAAGTTTATACATCTTTTGGAGCTTCTCCAAAGCATCAGCATTCTGAGCAAGAGAGTCTATGAACTCATCCCTCGCGAGAAAGTAGCCATTGGATGCCATCCCTTTTAGGTTATTTTGCAGACGCGACCAGCCCCACCCAAAATATACGGAAATAAGCGGTTTGGTGTGCAGCCGTATAAATTTCTTTATAAATCTATGATAAATCTGGGCACCGCATCTCGAATGCATAATTTCTCGCCTGAGCGAAAGTGAATGGGTTGTATTCTGGATACTGCTGTTCATCATCAAAACGACACTACCTTCAAGACATCAACTTTTACAGAGATTTACAAAGAAGGAGTCTCCGGATACATCAGTGAGAGTCCAACAGGATTATTATACATTCAAAATGAGAATCTGTATTTCTCCGAGTCACGGCAACCTCTACCTTGCACAGCTACTTTCAAAAAATTGAGGCAATATCCACTACAAGACATTATAAGTATAGACATTATAAATTCCACTCTGAGATGCAGCGATGGATTTAAACTTGAAGCTCCTGTACTCAAGATATGCACAATAAATGCAACTTTACTTGCTTCAGGAGAAAATGAAGATAACTCAATGCAAGAATTCTCACTAGCACTCCAAGACTTGCAAGGCAGTCATTTTAGCCACCCTCCACCATTCTACAGCAATGAATCAAGCAGTTTACTGTAAAATGACAACCATTGATATTGTAATAAGAATATACTGAATCAGTTATGTGCATGTCATGAATCATTAATTCTAAATTATTATTTGAACATACTATAAGTAACTCAATGAAGTGTGTCTATCTATAGTTGCGGTCAACTTGGAAGGAAATCAAGTAATTCGTCATCATCTTCAAACTCAGGCTCACTATCGCTTCCTTCACCTTGATCACCACTTTCACTGTTGCATTCAGACGAGTCGTAAGCAACATCTGCATCCCTCAATAAAGATGTGCCTATCATGAAAAGTTGCAGTGAATGTGTTATTTGTCTGAATATTACAAGCTCTGATTAAGAGCCACACTAAAGTATTAAAACTTAATTACTGGGATTGCAAATCTTGTGCTTTCAATGAATGTTACACATGAATATACTGACAATAATAAGGACCAATTAATTTTAGGCAAAAGAATGCAGTTCAACCCATACATGTACAACTTAATGAGCATAGTTGAGTCACTCAAGCCACACTAATCACAAACACTGTAGCTTACTTTTCTGCTTTGTTCTCATCTCTTCCTCATCACTGCTGCTACTGTCTTTCCACCTGTCGTGGTCCACCCCGACAAAAGATGGTCGAACTTTACATGATGTTAAGCGAGGCCAATAACACAACCGAGACTTTGTAAGCTTAATAATAACACCAGAGCCATCTTGTTTAGAATGAACCTGTTCAAGACAATTGTTTACCTTCTGTTAGGCTGTTCCAATAATAACCCAATTATTGTGTAGTGTGTGTAGAGGAAGGCATCCATAATTGAATAGTACCTGGTCTATGTTGTCAAATAGCTCCAAACTAAACTTGTATTGTTTATCTTCCACATTGCAGCTACAAAAGAAAGTTTGTATTAGCCAGGAATGGGGTAATATATGATAGTAATGGACTAATGGTATAAATATAATAGAGATGAAGTAATAGTAAGAGTAAATACATGAAAAGTAACATTATACACAAAGAAATAGTTAATTAATAACAACTTAAGCCTGAACACAAAATGCACCAGTCGTTTATGTGACACTATTTTTATTTATTACATTTTGTGTACATGTACATTTTGTTTCTGTCACTGTACATGTATTATAATAATAAGATTACATTTTAGCAAGAAACGGTGTTGCCCATACACGTGTTGGCAACACCATAGGCAACATGTTAACAGTAACATTTGTGTTTACTTTGATTTCGTAAGCAACATGTTGCCAAGAATAAAAAGTTGGCAACATGTTGCTTACAAGATCAAAGCAAATGTTGCTAGCAACACGTTCCCTCTAGTATACCATAATAGCTCAAAATTTTTGTGGCTTCAAATTTTCATGGATTTCAGGTTTTTTAAAATTCACGAAAATAAAATCCGCAAAAATCGATTTAATACTGCTCAAGATGGCCAAAAGTATAAAACCACAAAATTGATTTTTGGACGGATCAATAAAATATTCTACTATACGGCATGTTGGGTTTGAGGAATGGTGGGAAATAGCCAATGACAAATTGTATTTTTACATCATAGTAATAGTAATAATATTATTTTTAGTGTCTAGCTACAAATGACCTACATAGTTCAGTCACAATACTGAGTATTGGTACTAATATCATTGAATGAAGGAAGTGAGGGCATATGCTATACAGTGTGTTCACATGTTCCAAGAAACTGATGTAAATAAACAATGATGACATATTTGGGTCATAAGAGCTACACCCAGCAATCTATATGGATGTAGGTAGGTAGACCCAACACAGCTTTATGAGTAATAACAAAGACTGTAATGGTAATATTAACAGGCAATACAATACCTATAGAAATTAGGATTTCTAGAAGTAGTACATAAGCTACTCTATAATATAATGAGTGCATTGGATATTATTTTATTGACAGATTCCTTCGGGTAGTGGGTGCATATACAACCCCTAGTCCCAATTTCTAAAAACTGTTTCAAAAATGGCTCCGAAATCACCCCAACTTTTTATTACATTTTGATACATATTGATGTCCTTATGCTATGTACAAAGTTTGAGCTAATTCCGACTTCAATTCTTTGAGTTATGACCATTAAAAGAAAACTCAAAATCTCTGAAAAATACCCTGTACTATAGCCCATGCTTTTTTCCAAAAAATGGCTCCGAAATCACCCCAACTTTTTATTACATTTTCTGATACATATTGATGTCCTTATGCTATGTACAAAGTTTGAGCTAATTCCGACTTCAATTCTTTGAGTTATGACCATTAAAAGAAAACTCAAAATCTCTGAAAAATACCCTGTACTATAGCCCATGCTTTTTTCCAAAAAATGGCTCCGAAATCACCCCAACTTTTTATTACATTTTCTGATACATATTGATGTCCTTATGCTATGTACAAAGTTTGAGCTAATTCCGACTTCAATTCTTTGAGTTATGACCATTAAAAGAAAACTCAAAATCTCTGAAAAATACACTGTACTATAGACCACCCTAGGCGAGAATTGAATGCGTAGGAAGATTATTAGAAATTTTTACGGTTGTAAGGCGTGGTTTAGGATGGAATAAATTCCGGCCGCCATTTTGGTTGGCAACTTTCAATGGAGAACAAACGGGCCGACAAAAAAACAAACCTGTATTAAGATTTCTGGACCAAATTTGACCAAATCCTTGACAGGAGAAGCTTAGAGGCAGCTGTTCTTTCTTATAGCAAGCGCTTTTTAACTATTGACAGAGCTACAGCAGGTAAGTGAGGCATTTTCTTCATGCCTCCATTGACTTCCATAATAAACTTGCCAACCAAAATGGCGGCCAATTATGATGTGTGGGCAGGTACCGTATATAAAATTAATGAAATTCATAAATTTTCCAATTCACGCCTAGGGTGGTCTATAGCCCATGCTTTTTTTCCAAAAAATGGCTCTAAAATCACCCCAACTTTTTATTACATTTTCTGATACATATTGATATCCTTATGCTATGTACAAAGTTTGAGCTAATTCCGACTTCAATTCTTTGAGTTATGACCATTAAAAGAAAACTCCAAATCTCTGAAAAATACCCTGTACAGCGCGCACGTGATCAACAAAATCAAAAATTAATTTTTAAAAATTTTATTTTATGGTTGGTGGTGGTTTTTATTTATTACTAAGAATATTTAATGCTGACAGATGGTGTTTGCCAAGTTTATTTTAAGAAATAAAATCATGAGTATGATTTTAAAGAGTCAGCCAATTAGTATATAAGGAGAGAGTAAACTCATAATCTGCAATCCAGAATGAGTGGAGTGCCAGCAGGTTCAGTAGGAGCAGTTCTTTCGGGTCTAGGTGGTCCAGGAGGGGGGACAACCTTCAAGGACAATATAGGTGGGTGGATAGATTGTCCTGGACAGGTTCCAAAACTGGACTTTACCTTTGTCCTGGGTATGGTGGAAGTCAAGAAAGGAGGTTGGCCAGAATTCTTGACTCTCAATGCAGGAACTGACACAGAAACAGCAGTAACAACAGGGATAAAGTTGTCTGATATGACAGAGCAGATCAATCCAGCTACTCTGTTTCAGACTTATAAGTTCACAAGTGTTGAAGCAATCACAATATTCGATTGCAATTCATCCCCAAAAATATTTGTAAATTTATTGATGAGTCCATGGGTGAGAAAGGAATGTCCTGCTTTTAAGCAGACGTTCCTTCCATGCAGGTACACAAATGAAAATTGCATATTTCAATGCATTAACAGAGGACTACCAGTTCTCTCTTGTGTTTGTGACAGTCCATCCTGTGTTGACTGTAAAAGATGGCAATGGTGCCAATTATAACAATGCTCAAATGGGCATATTTAATGAGGATGGTAATACAGATGACACAAAATGGTGGTGTTGCTTTTATGGTGCAGAATGTGCCAATACATTAGCAACTAATGTTACCATTGACATGTTTACCATTCTTAGGGTTGGAATGCAGTTTGAAGGAGCAAGATGGAGCAGCAAGCCCATTGTCTCGTCGGTCAATGAGACTGAAGCATTTTGCAATCACATGGTATCACTCCTTGGAATCAGCAGATGTAGAGAAGTTCTTTCTGAAGCACTCAGAACAGATCCAGTACTTGATAATGGGAAAGGGAAAGAAAGATGGATTGTGGAATTGCTACATAGGCTTCCACGAGCAGCAATATGGAAGTATCTTCAAAGATTTGGAGCCCCATGTGAAGTGGATCAATGGAGTGAGAGTGAAGCAGGAGGGAGACACGTGGCTCCAGGCAAGAGAAAAATATGTCAATTATTGCAGGTCAGAGAAGAACAACCTGGAAGTAATCCAGCTGGGGGAACCATTCCCATACACCAACAAGGAGGACAGACAGGTAAAAGAGTCTGTCTACTCCCAGATCCTGAAGATGGCAAAACAGGGAAGGAGGAGGTCTGAGATTGTGGCACAATTTCCCACAATGATCAAGAATGTTGACAAATGCATGCAATATGCACCTAACAGAAAGCCTTATCAAAGGACCAGGATGCTCTATGTTTATGGTCCACCAAAAAAGGGCAAAACCACATTCATTAATGCAATCATATATTGTCTTGATAAATTTGAGATGGATGTTTATACCAAATTCGGAGGGTATAATCAATATTGGGAAAATTATGATGCTCAGCCTGTTGTGAATGTGTCTGATCCAGGTCCATTGGATGCCAAAAGCATGAGCCATTTCAAAGCATGGGTTGATTCTGGGCCTTGCCTACTTGATATTAAGTATGGGCATCATCCTATGAGGAGTTGTGTCATTATGGTGACTGCCAATGATTCACCTCATATGGCAACCATCAATTTGCCACACCCTCATGATGAGGCTTGCATGAGGAGAATGAGACAAGATTGTTGCCTTGAGTTTGAGGGTTTGCCAATGTATGAACAATTAATCAAGTACTTTGGTGATGTGCATGCTTTGTTTGTGGTTGCCCATCGTGAATTTGGTGTTGACTTTAACATTGAGATGACTGCTTTTGTTAGGGGCTGCATGAAATTCTATTCATTCCTGGGATTGTATCCATCTCCCTCCCCATCACCTGAGCCAAAAGAAGAGGAAGAAGAACAGGAAGAGCACAACTTCTTTGCCTGAACTTTGAACATTAAATAAATAAATATATATATATATCATATTAATATTGCTGAAGTAGTCAACAATATTCTTAGTCTTGTCTCTGCACCCCCACTACAATTTAAACCCTAATAATAATTTTGAACCTAATAATTTAATTAACCCTAATAAATTAAAATTAAATTAAATTTAAAAAAATTAATTTTTGATTTTGTTGATCACGTGCGCATATAGCCCATGCTTGATGTCCTTATGCTATGTACAAAGTTTGAGTTAATTCCAACTTCAATTCTTTGAGTTATGACCATTAAAAAAACTCCAAATCTCTGAAAAATACCCTGTACTACAGCCCATACTTTTTTTCCAAAAAATGGCTCCAAAATCACCCCAATTTTTAATTACATTTTCTGATACATATTGATGTCCTTGTGCTATGTACAAAGTTTGAGCTAATTCCAACTTTACTTTCTTGAGAAATGACCATTCTTTTAAAACTCCAAATCTCTGAAAAATACCCCGCACTATATACATGTAGTATAGCCTATCCCTTGAATCCAATACAGAAATACCGAAAAGTAAAAATAAACAACACAAATCTTCCTAACAAATGAAAATTTCCTAATCAAATCAATGGTCTATATGTTTTTTTCATGATTTCAGTGAAGAGGTGAATCAATATTGAAAGGCAAAAAATATTTTAGCAAAATTATAAAGGAATAGTGTCAGCCTCAAATGTAAACTTAAGGCTGGTGGTTTACAATATTACGCTAGTCCTGACGTTACGTTGACACTGGAATAGAATCTGGTTCTATTCTAGCAGAAGCATGCGTCAAAAGGTCAAATCGCCCACGCTTTTGATTAAAAATTGACGGTTCGTTGGCCTAACGTCATATTGTAAACCAGCCTTTACATAGAACATTAACTGCAATGTAAACATTAAAATCAAACAGTACAAATCATAAAATCTGGCTTCAAATTTCTAAGTAATAGCAATACTAATATTCCAATTATAATTATGAAGTAATAATCAGGGTAGATGATATCATCTCTTGGTAATTGAAATTACTACGCAATGTACTTGTAATCGCATCAATAATTTCCTGTGGACTTTTTATCATCAATTAAATATTCCCATGTCTGCCAATACAAATGGTTATAGTACAGTATAGCTGGAAAAATTGGCAGTCTAAAACTTTGGTGGCTTTGCATTAAAATTGCCTAAATATAATATTGGCGGTCTCTTAATTTGGCGGTTTACTGTCTTGCCTTTTCTTTGCGCACTCTCAGCTCTTCTTGAAGCTCCTCCTTGGAAGTCCTTGCCCACAGTCTTGACTACAATGCTGCCATTTTGACATTTTTAGTATCACATGCTCATGACGGGATCCGCCCATCATTGCAATTATTATTGACGGTTATGATATTGGTGGTTTTATTTTGAACCGCCCATCTGCTAAATTTAATTCTCTGCCAAATTTTCCAGCTATACCGTATGTCATACCTTGCGGTAATGTAAGAGGTTTGCTCCTTCATATCCACATGATGCTTACTGCAACCTCTCAGTGGGACATTAAGTATGACCTGGGATCTGTTTTGACTCCATAAAACTCTTGGCACTAAACTGAATAAAAACACAGTTACCACACTGTTCATTATCATGTATAAATTTTACGTACTTTTCTATAATGTTAGTAGGAGATTCTTTAACAATGTTACGTGAGACTGAAACAGCTTTGGGCTCTTCTTCCTCATAATCACTACTCAAGAAACACTTCCCATTCATTGGAAGAGGAGCCTCAATCATTAGACCAAGTGATTCTGCAATATCTTTAAATGATAAAAGTTGACTTAAAGTTGAGAGGACGGATAGCTTTAGTGATGATACTAGGGCGGAGATGTGATGTGTTAAGAGCACAGGATAAAAGAGACTTGAAGCTAACAGAGATAAAAGGAGTGACTCCTGCAACTAAAGAATATAAATACAATACAGAACCATTAAATGCAATACATTATAGAGGACTATTAGAGGTGGGATGAATCTAAAATTATAGCATTCAAACATTCTATTGACCAAAACAAACAAATGATCCAATGATTGCACGATGGAATTAGATTATTCTTAATCAATTAGTTTTGTTTAGATTGCTCTAATTAAATGCAGGACCCTACATGTACAGTGTAATAGCACATCAAATCTTCCCAAATAGGTTATATGTGATTAATTAGTAGGTGCATTGGTAGGTACGGTACATATCACACCTACTGACACACCTACTTAGCATATTCGAATGCCTACTGCAATATTTCAAATGTTCTTATTACATTAGAATGCCCCAGCCCTAAATGTCACTAATACAATATAATTATTAATTACTTGTTCAGAATAGTCTTTGAAGCAATGAAGTACATGAGGTATATATTGAGATATGGTACTACATCCTTCATCAGTGTGGAGGAGAGAGCACACTAGTCTCAGTGGTTCATGGGCAGGCTTTCTCTCTTTGTCAGGGATACAAAACCTACCAACCTGACCTTCAGTCATCACACTAAAAGATTAAATGCATTAATCTCCAAGCAAAATAATTTCTAGTGCATTTTCTTATCTCTTTTCTTTACATTTTCTTTGCCGTATTGAGGCAAGCAAGAAAGTCTGAACAAAGAGAAAATATTGGACCATTCCTTTCAGTGAAAGCTAAGTGACACAGTGCAGCCTGAAGCTCTCCATAAGAAAGAGAAATAAATCTAGAAAATAATCAAATACATGGAATTATAACCTTTCGTTAAAGACTTCATTATGTGCATGTATCTAAAAACAAAATTGTGTTTTTTTGATGAGTCACATTATACATGTAACAGTGAAGGCTATTCTCATACCTAGAGGACAAGAATAGAGTGAAGAGAAGTTTAAGAGATGGGATTTGAGTCTTTGAAGATCTCTGTATAAAAAAATTTAAACCATAATCACAAAATATAGCACTAGAGCTACTTTTAATCTGTTCAGCAGTGCTTCACAAAGATCGCAATCATCGGCCATCACCACTGCAGAACTAAAATGTACACGTAAAAATGAGACAATCTTCTACTAATTACTTATGATTTGAAGAGGCAATGAGAGATAATCCATTTATAACTTCAGACGAGTTTATCTCATTCACACATTTGGCCAACATCTCACAATTGTCACCAGTCAATTCTCTATATATATGCACTTGTACATGAAATGAAAGTGCTTAACGACAATAAGCTTACATTTGTGCTCGCTTGGAAATGACAAATGGAAGGAAAGAGGAAACTAGTTCTCCTTCATTAAAGAGAAGGAGGTTCAAGAAAATGGACAGTTCTGATCCAGGAAGCTAAGAGTATGATAAAATTAATCACAAAACCCAGTTAGGCCATTCCAATTACATTCATTGTTTCCATTATCTGCCAAATCAATGACTCATTCTTTCCTTATCATACACATTACTAATGAAACTGCCTGCCTATACCATATAAGTGGTTTTTTTTCCGAGGGAATAATTTTCACAAAATCTACTAAATCCCCAATTTGCAGATATTAGTTTCACAAATTCTACCACATGCCATTTGGGTACAATATTAAATTGATTTTTTGTGGATTTTATTTTCACAAATCAGGAAGGAATCCACAAAATTTGTATCTCTAATAAAAACCACTTATACGGTATCATCCCTTTTCTGTTACATAAAGGATATTATAAATGTAATTGGAGTGGCCTTGACACAAAATATTTTCTTTAGTTTAAAAAATGAAATGACTGGTTTTATTTATAATAGTTAAGTGGCGGTATTAAGTTAACCTCATGAGGTTGACAAGAAGCATCCTGATCTGTCAGTAGCAATGAAGCTACAGTGGATCCATCATCAGTTTTTAAATCAACAGAATAACTGATTGTAGTAGGGAATGGAGGAGAGCAGAAGGAAGGGTCACTGTCCACTATCTAATATTAATAATTAGTATAATAAGTATATGGGCTTTGTTATACATGTACCTTCATTCTAATGAGCTGTGAATTAATAAGCTCCCACATGTCCTCATGGGCATCTTCATTAAACTCTATTCATTAAATAAAAAGAAAATATTCATTATTATACACATATGTAGTTGGTAATTTCACTAACCTATGCCCTCAGGATTGTTTAAAGAGCAACAAATGGCTTGAAATGGCAACTAAAAATAACAAAATAAAAATCATTTAGATTTAAGTTATCCATCTTCTAGTCAGCATTGTTAAAGGTAACTCTGTGGTAGTGTTTTATTTCAGGAAAAGCTCCTTTAACAAGTTTGCCTAGTGGATGGCAAGCTTTACTATAAACTTCAAATCAAGGCATTTACATTTGTGCAGGCACTTTGGGACAAAAACTTATTTTAATGCAATGATCCTGTCAAATGTTTTAATAGAAGTGCTATCGTATACATGTATGTATGAACATTGTAACGACAGGTATATAATATTTTACACACACACTCTCTCTCACACAGTCTCACTTGTAATAGGGTTCTGTCAATAGGTTGAACTGATTTCTCACTGACCCACTCACAGTCACCATAATCAGCAAAGAAACACAAGTACTCATAGACAGACCCTCTTCCTTCTCCTCTCTCTACATCTCTCTCTTCATATCTCTTCTCCATTACAACACCACGATACCACCTACACATACATGTACATGTATACAATTATCATATAGTAAACATATACTTGTCATCAAAAGGGAATTTAGCAGCACAAACTACACCAACTTCCACTGGTGGTACCGAACAAAGTGAGCGTAATAGAGACTGGCAGGGTGTATTGCTGTTAAGTCTGTCAGATATATCTTTTAAACTATAAGGAACAGGCATTAATTAAACACTATTTCCCTATTATAATTAATATCAATGTTACTTGTTTTCTGCTGATGATAATTGGATATAAAAGTGATTTAAGGATTCAATGGCAGTTAGTTTAACTTGCAATTCTGGACTATTATTGGGTGGAGTTTCAGTGCTATAGTAAATGAGAAAAAAAGTGATAAGTAAAAGAGAAAAACAGAGAAGGAAAAAGAATAATGAAACAGGATACAAGATGATTCATAGCAAGGAATTCATAAAGGTGTTTGGTGGCTCTGTAAAGGAATCACCATTATAAAATCCACCATTTTGTTTCAATCCAATAACAAGTGACACAAAACTGCTAATACCAGATAGCGCAAAATTTTTGAAGGCTGTAAATTTCACAAATTCGCTTTAAAATCTATTTTGCAGATTTAATTTTCGCGAATTTATCTTGCACTGTAAAAATTTGATTTTCATGGAATTAGTTTTGCAAATCTTCAAAGAAACAGAAATTAATTCGGGAAATTTACAGCCCTTGAAAATTTTGCACTATACGGCATTTACTTTCCACAGACAAATTTGCCAAACATTAATATTAGTAACTAATAATTATAAAAATGTCCTTTATCTGATATTAAAGCAATACACAATCATAATTAAAAAAAAATTATTTTAACTTACACCATATCTCTAAATAATAGATATGGTTGAGAGTCTTGGCTATTATCTACTAAACAATTTTTTAGCATATTAATATGATCAGTATTCTTGAGTGATATTCCTTCTTTGATGAATCGTCTTTCAGGTCGATCAATAGCTGTGACCACACCCATACTAAGTAACTCCAATCGTTCCTCCACTGGGTCAAGCCATATTGAGCTTTGGAGTGAAAAGGTTATTCCTCCGGTTAGGGTGTGGCCTAGGAGCATATCTGTAGCAGTGCCAACAGACTAAAAGAAGAACAGAAATAACATAATTTATAATTCTCTGTTTAAACTGCTGTGCTATAGTGATGGGTCATATATCAATATATTTTGTTGAAATAACAGCCACTGAGGAAATTAAAAATGCTACACCAATACATGTCAAATCGTTAATAAACTGGTATACATCAATATTGACACAGTTTCAATTGTGACCATATCCATGGAGTCATGCCCCTAGTCTCCACACATTTTACTCTGATAACTTATCAGAAAAATTTCATTATACTAAATGGGTGACACGAGTGTATTAATTGATACTGTAAACTATCATTTACATTGATGATATAGCATTATTGAAGGCAACTTTATAGCAATTATTTCGATGTACATGTATGTGCTTTATATGTTTATGTTAAAGATAAATTTCCTGCTATTGCATCACTTACTGGTGGGGGCCAGTCAGTGTCGTTATCTGGTGGGATGAGGCCACACAAAAATGCTTCAATAACAAGTGGAGGAGTCTCCAAAAAGGAAAGGGGCAGAGTGTAGAGCTGATTAACATCAACAATGCACTCCTCACCAGTATCAACCAGTCTGACCTGTATATGAAACCAGTTTGACGTGTTATAATAATTATCATTGCCATACTTTGGCTTTCTCTTTATGATGAAAGTAGAGACCAAGAGGCTGTGAGAAATCCAGGACTAAAGCCCTATAGTAGGTACCACTGACTGAATTAAGACATAGGTAGTCACCAACTGATGGTTGGCCACACAGCATACGATTATTGGGTTCACTGTAATAAAAGCCAAGATCCATTGAGATCTGAGATAGAGTGAGGGTAGGTGGCCTGTATGGGGTCTGGCCACGATGGAGAGGGGTGTGGTCAATGATCTGAACCCAGAGGTGACAGGGTGAAGTGACAGTTTTAACAAGAACCTTATGAGAAATGAAATGATGATTTAAATCATTTCTATCTCTTCTTTTGTCTCCCTCTCTCTTTCTCTCACACACTCTACCTTTCTCTCCTTCCCCCTCCCTCTCCCTCCCTCCCTCCTTCCTCTCCCTCCCTCCCTCCTTCCCCCTCTCTCTCATCACCTTTACTACTCCATCAGTAGGAACTAAAGCTGGTGAAAGCTTGCTTGGTCTGATGTCAGATAGTTCCTCAAACGAATGAACATGAATACAATCAGCTTTACTAGAAACACAATAAACCAAACACTCACTAAAAATAGTTAAAAATAAACACATCACTCACCGACAGTTTCCGTAACACTTAATCTGATGACACACGCCCCATAATGGATTGTTCCTACGAATCTCATTCTGTCTCTTTGTTCCCATGGCCACTAGCTGAGGAGGAGGTTCAGTTTGAAGCCGCTCACAAAATTTTAAAATGGCGTGACTCTGATTGAAGCATTGGAGGGTTAATAAAATTGATAGAGAAGGAGTGGAGTGAGAGCTGAGAGATGGTAGGAGGATGGAGAGACGTCTTTTGAATGTAGATTTGTTGGTTGGTAGAGAGTAACTGATGAGATGAGTAATGAGAGGAATAGTACCAGTTGATAATAGTTCAGTAAGGAAAGAGTCAAGAACAACTAAATAAATAAATAAATGTATACAAAGGCATAACAGTATCATACCAAATTCGTTTTTATCAGGGTTTTCCATAAAGCATGCTAAGTGAGCTAAAAGCATGCTTTAATATAGAGTAACTTTAAAACTGATTAAATATCCAATTTTGATAGCAAGCTTTCTACACAACATCAGTGCATGTTATAGTACAGAGACTTTGACCAGATTTTTGAGCAGCTTTGTAATGTAAATTCTCTGGTAGCATCAATGTAGCAAATTCTATTTTACATGTATTCTATACAATTTTGGCTTGCTACAAAAAAAACTACCTAAGTTTTTAATCAAGGCAAATCAGGCAATACAGGACGGCTTACATGTACATGTACATTAAAACATGTATCTATCATAATCTTGTTTGATGACTTATCATTAGCTAAATGTACATGCATATTCCATGGTCTAAATGTACATATAAAAGATTAATGATAGTAGCTGAAAATAAAGTGATTTGAAGTCTGTTTGCTTTGTCATTCTGAACCTAGTTGAAACACTGGTACATGACAATAACAGAGTCTAGTTACAGTTCTAAAAAACAAATCTGGTTTCATTTAACACTCTTTCTAGTTTCTACTAGCCAGTAATGTAGAACACAGTCAACACACTTTACATATGATCAAAGCTCCATTTTTTAGTTCTGTTTTTGTGAAGCAGTATGCCTATACAGTACATGTACAATAGCACATAATAGACAGTTCAAACCAAAACAAAAATAATATGTTTATCATAAAACAGTTACAGTTGTGGCTAGGCTGTGGGGGAAGTGTTGCTAGAATGTACATGTACTTTACCAGTGACACTTCTGAATGAGTGAGTATTGTCCTCCTTTCTCCAGATATTAACTTGAAAAGAATACAAACTAAACACCTATTAAAGAGAAGAGAGGAGAAAATTAGTAATTTTTACAAGTAGGGCAGAAGTGAAATAGGAAGAAAGAGAAAGTGTTAATGAGGAGAAGGAGAGAAAGAGAGAAGGGTGTATACAGTATTATAAGATGATTTATTGGCCGGAGTAATATTTGGCGAATTTGCCTGTTAAAAGAAATTGGCGGATTTTATATTAGCAGTTTTGTGCCACGTGCCATTGAGCATGCTCAGATTGAAACAAAATGGCAGATTTTATATTGGTGATTTCCTCATAAAGTCACCAATTGCCAATATTAATTCCCAGCCAATAACGGTATTTATTAAAGTCTATTAAATTTATTAAAGTACGGTATTTCGTTAAAGTCTAACTTGTAGAATTTTTTGTGCTTCATTCTCATTGCTCACACAGATTACATTAGGCCCTGATTGAGATGAAGCTTTCAATACTGATAACAACTTCTTGTGTACGTCATCAACTTCACAAAACAAAACATTCTAAAATTAAAAAAGACAAATAAAACAATATTTCACCTTCTCTATTTCACTCTCTATCCTTCCATTTTTTCCCTTTTTCGTACCATCTTAACTTTCTTCATGGCCAGGACTTCAATGATGTCTGTCATTACAGTAACAGGAGCCTTGGAATATCTCAAAAAATTATTGAAATTATTTTTAGAGTAGGTGGAAGAGCAGGCAACCAATTGTAGTGGAATCTTTGTCTGCTTTCCTTTTGCTATGCAGCAAGAGAGCAGATCATTCATTTCTGATGGGAACTTGTCAAATAGACAAAGATCATCAAGAACCTATAAAGAATGACACAAAACAATTAAAAATAAATAAAATATGAAATCAAGTAAATTTAAATTATTGTTAAGCATAGGAACAATATAAAATAATTATTCACCAATTTATTTATTATGAATATTATAAATACTATTTTTCTTCTTACTATTATTAAAAATGTTATTGTTGTTTTTGGTGTTATTGGTTATTAAGAAACAAATTTAAATTTACTACAATAAATTAATTACATTAATTATCAATACTTACTAAATGACGTGTTGATCTAAATGCTATTATTTCTCTTTTCACAAGACGAGTCAATGCTGGGGGTGTCGCCACTAAAATATCAACTCCATTTAAAATCTGAATATGAGCATCTGATTCAACAGTAGCAAAAAGAAATGAGGTTCTAAGATGATTGAACAAGAAAAGGAAAAAAAGAGAAAGAGAAAAGGAGAATTAAGAATCAAAAAATAAAATATTTAAATAATAATATGTCTTAGTAGTCAGTACCTAAATCTCTTGGCAGCATCAAACCAGGTGAGAATAGTTTTTGCTTGGTCGGTGATATTCCACGTCTTATAGCTATCATCAGCCACCACTATTATCTCAGGCTACACAAAATAATAAAGAACATCAGAAATAAAGAGCAGAGGACTTTTAAAAGAATTTAAAGGGACATTGGGGAGTAAGAAGTAACGATTAACAATCAATGAAGCTTAAGAATAATAATCATAGCAACAAGAAATTAAAGTGATCACAAAAGAGAGGCATAACCAGTTAGCCATCATGTTAAACAAGCCTATTGTGTTCACTAGCTTCTATTAGGTGAGCCAGCACAGTTTGGTAGAAATATTCTGAACTAAACTATAGGCAAAGATAATTTGCATAGCAGGGGCCAGCTCGACCCAGCTCTATAAATTCACAGACTTAATGTCAATACACAAGACAAAATTGTTTAATGAGGAGCTATTTTCCCAAAGCAAAGGAATTTGCTACATTTAATGACATTAATGACATGTAGGTAATATATGGACATGTTATTGTTTTTTTTTATAATAGCCACACGTAAGCCCCAACTTTCAATTTCTAATCAAATTGTTTCATTCAAAATAAACAACATTTTTGTAATTTTACAGTCACTGTTAAGCTCCCCCAACTTCCAATTTGATGCGAAAACACATAAATGGCGCATAAATGTACATGTACATGCCCATACAAATAATGGACAAACGCCTCATAGGCGGTGTTTTTCTGTTTAAACATACTCGTGGTGACATAGTTAGTACAAGTGGGTAATTTTTGCATGGCTTCCAGGTAGGGTCTCCATAACATTTGGAAGCCTCAAACACCATTCAAGAGTAGTTTAATAACAAAATTATATTCTTCAATGTTGTACCTCATAACTATTCTTCTCTTCCTTCTCTCTCTTACAAGAGAGTGATAGGAGTGGTAGGAGGTAGCTCAGTGTCTTTCCCGAGTGATGAGGTGAACAGAGTATGGTATCATTGCCATTCCACACGTAATACCATCCATTGGACTGAACTGAAGTAGGGGACCGGAACCCTCTCTCTTGTAATTCCTGGATTTAAAATATAAAAGAAATAAAAATATTAAAGAAGTGAACAGTACATCTCAAATTAATTAACATTTAAATTTTTGTGAAATACATGTACAAGTACTGTAAATCCTTAAATAGTAGCCGCATTCGAATAAACGCCGGGGTAGCAATACAATTTAACTATAAATACACAACACTCGCCCAGGAGTGACTTGGTAGTCTAGTGGATAATGCTCGAAGTTCCAGAAGTCAAAAGCATGAGCTCACGGGTTCAAACGCTCTGGGCCCAAGTTTTTTTATTTTTATATATTTTTTCAAGGTTCAAATACCATTTTAGGAAATAGACGCCCGGGCTTTTATTTAAGGAAATACAGTACATGTATTTTTATTAGATGATTACTTTGCATATTGAAGTATTGAAAGGAGTTTCTTCCAAGGAAGACCAAATGACATGTTCATTATGTGCACCATCAATATATACTTTAGAAGCTGACCTAGGACTATGAGGCTGATAAAAAGAAGAGGGAGAGAGAGAGAGAGAGAGAGAGAGAGAGAGAGAGAGAGAGAGAGATACAGAGAGAGAGAGAGAGAAGAGAAAGGATAAAAGCAAATAATTTATTGTATTAGCTAACGTAGTAACGTACAATCTTGAGAGTATTCATATACATGTAGGTGCTAGCTTGTGGTGATGTCATCTCTAGTGGATAGTTTGGTGACTCAATATAAAGAGGGGGCGGAGAGGAACAAGGAGAAGGAGTTAAGACAATCTCTTCATTAGTTTGAATTCTATGTTGAATTGTAAAGTCTTCATCCTCTCCTTCCTCGATATGAAGGAGACCTCTTCTCTTTAGCATGTCATTGATACTCACCTTTGGACAAAAAGTTTAAAAGAAATAATATCTGCAATCTATATCATACATAGATCAAAATATAAGATTTAACAACCCATCAAATTTTAACAAAGAATACATTCTACACATATAATAACATAAACTTCTTAGTTAAACTAGCCATACAAATAATTTTAGACCAACAAAACTAACATGCACACTGTCACTAGGCAACATGTTGATAGCAAAATTTATGGTTACTCTGATCTTGGTATCCAGGTATAGACAGAATCTGTTGAACAAGCAACTTACACCATCAAAATCACCACAAATGATGCTAGCAACATGTTCCCTAGTGTATTGTTGGGTACAGCCAGGGCCACCTGTCAATATCAATTAGGTATGATGAATGAGGTGAGATCTAACTACACAAGACTACATACTGTGCATGTACATTTAACTAACGTCAAGTCCTTCGTTGAATAAATGTATCGTCCCATCATCATTCACGATCCCTTTAGTCAGATATCCCCAGCTGTCATTTGTTAAAGACAATAGGTCGAATATATCTTCAACAAACTCTGACCAAGGCTTCTCTTCAGTGGGATTAACAGGAGAGGCAGTGAGAGGGTGTAGCTGGTACTTCATTATAAGAGGAGGCTCTATAGAGATGCTTGATGACTGCAAGCTAACTAGCCTAATGAGAATTACAGAGACAAAACATTTAAGACGTCACACCATTTAAGACATCACACAATTTAATTCCACAAATTGATTTCACTGTATAGCGCTTTAATTTAGTGGAGTTTTATTTTGGCAATTGGTGGTTTGCAAGCAGAATCGTCAATATAAAAACCGCCAATCATTAATGCACATGCTCAGTCATGCACCACACAAAAAATCGCCAAATTAAAAACTGCCAATTACAATTTTACAGCAAAATCACCAAAACAAAGCGCCGCCGAAATAAAGTGCTATACGGTATTATTTTGTGAATTTGTGTCATTTGCCATCTCATAGTGAGGTTTGTGGGTTTTACAAGTACTTTATTAATCTAAAGAGCCATGAAATCAACTAAACTTAAAGCCCTTTGAGAATTATGTGCATATGGTGATGTCAGTACAAAATGTAATATTCTATCTCTCTCTCTCTTTTCTTACTCAGCAAGCGGAAAAGTAACAATGGCTCCATGATCCAGAAGTAAAACCCTAATAATAATAATAATAATAATAATAATAATAATAATAATAATAATAAATTAATTAATTAATTAATCTTTAGACAATAATACACTAAATACAAGAACACTGATGTTACTCACAAGCACAAAAGATTAAATTAAAAATGGACTCAACACCCAGTAAACCTACTGAGCTATTTTGTTATATTTTGCTGAATTATATAGCGTCTCGACTACCCCTCTCCTCCATTTCTCCTTCCAAAATGCGGCACACACGTCTCCTCTCTTAGGAATGAACTCCTCAGGGCTTCTGCTAGGCAGAAGTCTGGACACAAGAGCAGCTGTGCTGTCTTCCAACTGATTTAACTTTTGTATGGAAGCTTGACTCACCCATACAAAACCGTCCTCTTCTATCTAAAACAGAAAAGATAGAAGGAGATTTCAATAGACTAAGAGAGAAATGCATGAACATACTTTTATGACACGAAAGTCCATTTTTACACACGTGTATGAGCATGGGTGTGACTGACTTTGGTAGGCGTGGTAAAAGGGTTAATTGTAGTTCCAAAATGGCGTCCAATTCACAACCATCTTTCTCCATGAGAGCTGTAATATTCGGAATAAAGAAAACGTTTCCACGAGTCTCAGGAATAGTGAATACAGAGCTTATTGGTAATGACAAGGAAAGGATTCTTTATTTAGTATGTAAGCTGTGTGAATGTTGAAATAATTTTGATTATAATGATGATGTTATTGATGATGTTCATGCCTTTTTATATGGATCAGGATTCAAGGCCAATAGAGGAATATTCAGTGAGTCATATCCCTGGGAGTAAACAAGTGGATCATGAAGCAGAGGAACCATGGAAAGACATCGATTTTAAGAACACTGATAAAAGTAATAATGATGAGTGTTGTTACTTGCGAATACATACCGGTACATAGGATGATAGGAGGGATTTATAATTGGATTAAATTTTGTGGCATGCCTAATGATTACTGTAAACCCAAATCCTTTTATGTTTAATAGTTTTGCAATGGTGGGCACAACTGAGGTAACCAAAATAATGTGTATTAACAATCATATTTACGGCCATTAACTTTAACAACATTAAGCCAAAAGTTAAAAATTCTGGATAGTAATGGGTTTAGCCTAGTCCATATAGTTGTGGCTGTTGTATGGATTCTGTGGTTAGCATGCAACTGTCATAGAGTTAGACCTGATCTCTATCTCCATCATTGTTGCAAAGGCTGTTGTAGGGGCTATATGGAAACCAGTCTTAAGCCTTAACGCAGTAAAAGATTATTCTCTTCTCATTTCTCTAATAGTTGTCTGCTATTGTTCTGTTGGATATCGTTCATCAGTTCTTGCTAATAAACTAATCTCACACTTCAGGAGAGAAGGCCTTGACATCCCAGTCTTTAATCTAGAGGGAGGAGTGTTCCAATGGGCAATGGACGGGGGCCCCCTTGAGGGAGAAAACCCACATAAAGTTCACCAATATTCATCGGTGTGGGGTAGACTACTACCAGAAAATATGAGATACACTGATGCTAAGCTATAATTTTTTATTTTTTATTTTTATATACATATTTACATTTTAAAATTTAAAAATTACTATCACAGCATCTTTTCAGGTGCAGTATTGTTTGTGAGTGTTATTTTCTCTATGACTGAAACTCCAATTTCACTGGCCAGCTACAAAAAAGAAAAACAATAGTTTCGTCCTCCATGTGTTAGAATGTGCCAGAAATAAGGTTTACACTGGAATTAATATTTTATACATAAAACATGGCATATGATTCAGAAAATATAATTAAAAGCTACAAATATTTTTTGATAAAATCTGTCTTGAAAAAAATTTGAAACAAATATAAAAATTCTGAATTGGAATCAGCTTATAAATTTTTCCCATATAATTTGCCTCTCAGCTGACTTTCTATTAGAATTACGTGTCATGTAATCTGTAAATACAGTACTACATTTATTAACGCATGTATACTTCATTGCCCTCTTACTGATATAGCTTCATTGTATTGTCTATGCTTGAAGCTCCCAGCTCCTTCTTTTAAAATACTACATATACTTCCTTTGTGGTTGACTCCAACTGATAACTGACAGAGAGAGCAGGCCTCCTCTTCATGACTAGCATCCACTATGAACTGATTACCTATCTGAGAGGAGAGAGGGAGGAGAAAAAATTGCAGATGCAAATTGGAAGTGATGTGTGTACTGTATAGCACTTTAATTTGTGGAGCTAAAATTTCACCAATTCATCAATTTTTCACAAAAAAATTGCAGATTTGCAATGTTAGTGCCACATGCTTTTAATGACAATTGAATATTTAGTGGATCTTTAATTTCACAGTTGCATGCTAACCCGAGAAAAGAGCGAAACTTTTGCTCCTTGAAAATAAAGTGCTATACAGTATTCAAAATTATCGTCTCACTAGTGATAAGCTGACAAATACTGGTACATTATTTGTATCTATTGAAGTTGAATCAAAAGGATTGTCTGATATTTCTATCTCTTGTTCCTCTCCTTCTCCAATAACAGTTAGCTTAGGGATCCTGTAATCAATGGACAAAGATGAGGTCAAATTATACATGTATATTCAACAAGTTTTTGTGCCAACTGAAAAAATTATACTGTGAGTCAAGTTCAATTGACAAAACATGCCATTTTCTGATGCACAAGTTGCTGATTAATGACAAGCTTTAGAGTTATGAGCAAATAAAATAAGTTACATGAACATGAATCACCACAAAATAAACTGGTGCACAAAATATAACGGTAAATGTATTCAAACCATTTATTGAAGGAAACAATTAAGGACATACATCATAAATGCATGTCAGAGTTTCCAATAAAACAGCATGCTGACAAGCACTACAATACAGTACATGACATTTGGAAATTTATAAAAGATCCAAATTTGACCAAAATCAGTTCAAATTTTCTACACAACATAAGTACATGTACATGTATCAGAAAAAGTTATTAAAATAAGGAATTCTCTTCTTTTCATTTTTGACAAAATTTGGCTGTACTATAGTACAGGGACCTTAGTCTGAGTTTTTAAAAATTCATAAAAAAATCCAAACTTGATCAGAATCAGTTTAAACTTCTAAACAACGAAAGTACATGTATAGGTATCAAAAAACATTATAAAAATGGAGAATTATATCCTTTTCATTTTTGACAAAATTTGGCCAAAATCCTTGTACTATAGTACAGGGACGTTGGCCCAATTTTAAAGAAACTTTAAAAAATTCATTAAAAAATCCAAACTTGATTGGAATTAGCTCAAACTTTCTACACAACATGAGTACATGTATATGTATCACAAACAATTATAAAAATGAAAAACTCTCTCCTTGTAATTTTTCTCAAAATTCCCTGTACTATAGTACAGGGTCTTTGCCCCAATTTTGGAGAAACTTGACAATCCACTGACAAGAAGCTACCTCAATGCAGTGCATGCATACCATATAGCGGGTAATTTTCGACTGGTGCTTATTTTCGTCTGTTTCGTTGCTATTAATTCTGAACGAAAATTAATTCTGATGAAAATTAATTCTGAAGATAGGCATGACCATAATAAATTATTAATAACATGATAACAAGCATGGATGGCCTTGAAAACGGTGTTCACCTTCTAAAGAATCTCTTCCAGACCCTACAGGACCAGAGGACCTCTTTCTAATGCTGTCAGTCCTGCAGATGCTAATGAAGACATCAGATCAATTATTTTTGTCTAGTCAAAAATAAAACCAACGAATTTTTATTCTAAAGTCATTTCTGGTTTTAGTTGAAATTTTCAACCACCGAAAATTACCCGCTATACTGTATACACAATACATGTACATGTTAATGAGGACTGAGCTCACTTAGTATTTGCTAGAGCTCCTTTGACTGCAATAGAAAGACAATCTAAGACACCACCACTATATTCTAATACCTGAAATGAAAACACAAAGAGTGCTGATAAAACTAATGCATTTAGTTTGTGTTCCATTCCCATTCATACAAAGTACATTTAAATATTTTGTAATACAAGTGTTTTATGCACTGGTTAAAAATACAAATACTGTACTCCATAATGTGATCATTAAAATAAATGAGCTCACCAATGCATCTACATATATAATCCAGCAGTCCTGCCCAGGGATAATAGACAATGATTCCAAATCAATGCAGTTGCTGTTCTCGTACAAATCTGATAAACGATGAGCCAAATTCCGCCCTAAGTCCTCGCCTCTTCTTCCTTCAAACTTAGGAGAAGCAAGAGCAGAACTGAAAAATACAAATACAATAATTATGACAAAATTATTGATCACTATATAAATTATTATAATTATTATTAAAAAATTACTATTTTCTTACCAATCAACAAAAAATTCTATGCGTCCTTTGTTTGGATTTAAAGGGTTAGGCTGTCCAATTTCAGCTTTTACTCCAACTAATATATTGGTCCTTTCCTAATGTGCATATAATTTTAATGATATTCATAGATTTGAGCCACACCCACCAACTTAATTTCTGCAGATCCACTAGTATTTGATACTATCCCTGAACGGAGTTCAAAGCTTCTGTAATCTCTACAGCTCCGTCCGTCCGACCTCATATCTGCAAGAACCCCTTGCTTGATGTAAGAGATCTCAAAATCACTTAAAATTCTATCGGCCATTTTGAAAAAAGGTATACGGAATCAAACGGAATTTGTGCATTAGCATTTAGCAAATAGAATACGGGAACAATCCATAATGTCTACGTCCGTATACTTATTTGGTTTTGTCATTTTATTCGAGTTTTTATCATGGATGAGGATGAATTTGAGGCGAAGTATGTGTGTCCCATTTGCTGTGAAGTATTTAAGAATCCAGTAATAGCACCTTGCTTTCATAGGTAGATAGATATCACCTGTATTGTATTGTATTAAAACCAGCTGTTCGATGGTCACAGGTTTTGTAAAGAATGTATAAAGAAATCAATTAGTCAATCAGCTCCAGCCTGTCCTGTGTGCAGAATTAACGTAAGAAAAAGAGATCTAATTGAAGACAAAGTGACGGAAAGAGAAATATCGATCAGTACTGTCATTTGCAAACCTTGCGGACAGGCAGTAAGTATGTAATAAGTATGATGTGTCATTTACACAATGTATGTAATTATGCTGAATATTATTTTATTTTTCTTGCATACATGTACATGTAGTTTGGACTTTTGTATTTTAATTCCCATTCAGTGACATGTAGGAAGCGTACTGTACCACAATCTCAATTTAAACATGTTAATCCAGCAAGGTATGTACTAAACAGTGAACACATAATGTAGCTACTGAACTGTGAATAAATATATCTCTATTTTTCTCTGTCTCTCTTTGTTGTTTTCTAGTTTACCCCCAAATCGCTCAACATTTGCATGTCCATTATGCAGTAAGACTAATCTAGATTGTTTGGGATTGGTCAAACATTGCAACGAGCGTCACAAAAATGACCACTCTCAAGTTGTAAGTAAAAGAAACGAGAGAGGGAGAGAGAAATGTAATAATAATTTTACGTGTAGCAATGATGTATATAGGTATGTCCTATATGTGCCTCCATGCCATGGGGTAGTAGGAGTCAAGTTAGCAGTAACTTCATGAGTCACTTAAACATGAGACACAACTTTGAATATGACACTTATGTGGTAAGTTAATGGTTAAGAAAGAAAAAGAACATATCTGGCTTTAAAATTTTTTAGGACTATGAACAAGATGATGAAGAATCATTACGAGCTGCCATTGAAGCTTCTTTAATTGAGAAATAGTCAGGAATTCATCAAGCATTATTCACATTATAATTATATTATATTTAAAATTCAAATTAAATTTTTACTTTACAAATATGTCATTAGTTGATGGAGGTGTTGCTATCCCGTAATAATCGTGATCGCCACTATTGAGACATTTATATGAACATAGCATTATACGAATTGGTATCAGACCAGAAGGAGATCGTAATGGCAAAATGATCTATAATGCATAACATATAGAATAATGTTATGATTATTATTCTTTACCTTCTTTGCTTGTATAAACTTAACACATTCCAGCCAGGAGTTGACAAATGGTCCATCACACACCAAGCACTTGCCAGCTTGAGCTAGTGCGTCCCTAACTTCAGGTAGCGATTGTACTATTACCTCTAAACGTGAATCACTGCCAGGAATATCATTATTAAGATGTAAGTAACATGATAGTCATGCTCACTTTTCAAGTATTGTGAATAATCTCCTGCATATTAATTCCTATTATAAATTATCATGAATTATAATTATTACAATTTACAAATTCATGTATAGTGTATACCTTTAAAGGTAGTACTTCCTCTGTTGCTGATGAAGGAATAGGAATGAAAGGTATTAAAGGGTTCAGCTCATAATGAAACTCTCTTAACTTCATTTCTCCTAGCTTTGTACAAACATGATGAACTTAAAAGCAATTCAGTGTACATTAATACCTCTTGAGGAAAGAATTGTATCTGATTGCTAGAAATATCCAGGACTCGTAACGATGTGCAACAGCTGATGAGCTAAAAGAGAAGACTGAAAATGTGACTCTATAAATGTCTGATTTCATTTACAGGATTTAATGATTGAAGTTTATTCTTTTGTGCATAAATTCTAGTTAGTTTCTTAAGCTGTGAAATGCCAGACGGCAAGCTGGAAGAAAACCATATGTACTGTTTATGAAAAAACAGCAATTTACTGTTGCAATTGATTATCCTCGACATGCAACTCAACGAGAGATGACAGGTGGGAAATTTCTTGAGGAAGAAACTTCAGTCGATTGCTAGCTATTCCTAGTGTAGTTAAATTATTCAAGCTATCATTAACATGTAAAAATTCCATAAGATCGTTAGTATACATTATACCTTGCAATTGCTGGTGGTAAATGATCAATCAAATTTCCATTTAAATTAAGTACAATAACTTCTGTTAAGCATTCTATTGCGGTATTAGATTTGCAATATCAATAAACACAATGGCAAAGTATGCACACATCTCTCTCATTTTATCAATTATACATACCAAGAACGTCTTCGTCAAGTTGTTCTATTTCATTACTGAACAAATGTATATTCTGTAATTCTGGCATCTCCATGAAACAGACTGGGAGACAAGAGAGCTTATTGCATCCAAGGTTAATTGCACACAACTGCATATTACCCTCAAGGTTACACAGAATTACTAAAACACTAACTTTTGTGAGTGATTTTAGAGTTGGGGAGAGTCCGTGATCAGTTAGACTATTGTTTTTGGCTGAAAATTTTGTTAGAAAAGTTAGTTTGGTCAGAGATGGAGGCAAAGCATCTATTTTAGTGTTGTCCAGTGAAAGGGTAGTGGTTTTGCTTCTCAATGCGCGTAAAACTACACCATGATCCAGCACAGTGCTTCCATTAGCCGCCATATTGTTTAGCGGTTGCTATTGGCAACTACCACCCACGACCACGTGGTAATTAATTTTATTAATAGATCTACCGTATTTTTAATTTTACATGAATGGTTGATAATGAATTTCACCAGTTTCTGGGTCTGTGTATGTTTCTGCTCTTTCTATTATTTCACTGACACGGAAAGCTTTGTCTTGAATCTTTTGCTGCATCTCTTTGATCAGGACCAAGTCCCCGACATTGCAGCTTTTCTCGTCGTGAACTTCAAACTTTCTCCTTTTTGCAGTGTACTGAGAAAACAATAATGGTTTAAACAAATAGGGGGTGGTTACTTTTAATACTAATGGATGAAGATAGCTTCTAGTCACAGATACTTTTACAGTATTATTTGCTTTACATTTCATGACACGACCAAGAAACATCGACATTTTTATTTTTGTCGCCGTGGTCGTGGCTTTAAAATGAGCCACTCCTTTAAAAAGGTGTGGCAACAATAAAATGGAAGGCAAGTCCAACAGCATAGCCAGAGCTTTGAGCAGTTTGTGGGGAGGTAACGGCAGTTCAAATTTGGAATCAGGACAAACAGATAGTATAGGATCTGGATCTGCTTTTGGACTAGTAAATAAAGCTATTACAATTTATAATTTATTTTTAATTATTATTTTTAGAGTAAAAAGGAAAGGATTGTAGGATTTTTCTTATGTTTAGGACTTGGGATTTTATGCTTTGCACTAGTCAGTGACAAAAATAAAAAGTCATTTCAATTAATTTTATTTAATTATTATAGGCATTGGCACTGACACCAATGATTTTGTTAAAGTCTCGCAAGTTTGCAGCTCTTTTCACCATGGGGAGTCTTTTTAGCTTGGGCAGGTATATATTACAATTAAATGAAGTGTGTATTGCAGTATTTTATTTTGTGCATAGTTTTTCATTTTTATGGGGTCCTTGGTCACACTTAAAGCATCTCCTCTCAAGAGACAGACTACCATTCACTGCTGTGTATGTTGGAACTATAATAGCGACATTATACTTTGCACTGGGAGTAAGATAAACCAATAATAATTACTACTTTATCATCATTTGTTAGGTTCACAGTACTATATTGACTTTATTCTGTGCTGCATTGCAAATCTTAGCATTAATTTGGTAAGATTTATGTTGAACTTTGACAGTTGAGGCAAGCAGTTTAGTGAAGCTACATAATAACTAGGACTAGACTATTGTAATGATCATCATTGCTCTTAGTTTTAGAGGGGAAATGTTGGCATTTTGACAACCCATTTGCCAAAATTAACCCTACAATTTTTAACCATTATGTGCAGCATATGGCCACAAATTTTCCAAGTTAAAACCCATTAATCATCAAAAGTTTAGCAGTAAAACCACTCTACAATTACTAGCTATACACTATTTTGTTGCCGTAATGTATACTGAAATAATAGAGGCTTAAAAACTATTCCAGTTCTTTATGGGATGCATATTTGTGCTTAACTGACCTTCACTTTTTGTTGCATAGGTTTCTTGTCAGTTATATTCCTGGTGGAACAACCGGACTCAGTTTTATGCTTAAACTATTTTCTGGATTATGCACAAGAACTGTATCACAAGCAATTGATGCATAAAGCCGTAATAGTACATTGTATGTTTAATTTATTGTTGTGTTACCAATTTTGATGTTTTCATTTTCTTTTAATTATTCTGAGTTTGACCTCATACTAGTTATTAATTAATTTTATAACTGACCACACCCAAATGAGGCAAAATGGCGGATGGCAGCAAGGACAAGGAAGAAAAGCAACCAGCTAATCCCTCCTCTTCTTCAATAGGCAACCTATCACAGAATAATCCACTCTCTAGGAAACTAAACAGAATTTTAGAAACTCGACTAGAAGATGAGAGGGACACAATAGAATCCCTCAAAGTTCTTTCTGAATTTCTACCCGCCAACACGCTACATGCTCGACGCAACCTCAGATCTGACATAGAGAGACGAGGCCTTATACTGAGTGAAGAGTTTAGAGACCTTTTGGGGAGTCTGGCAGCACAGATACAAGATATGCAAGTGAGTGATAATTTTTACAATAATTTGATTTTATGGGTGTGGTTTAAGTCACGTGATTAAGTATGATTTTTTCTGCATAGAATGATGTCCATTCCATGAGGTCATGTTGTCAAGATATGCAAAATCGACTGGCGGATACAAAAGCAAAGACGGCTGGGTTACTGAATGAAACGGCCGAGTTAAAGGCAAGAGGGCGGAGATTAGAGATGAGGGGCGTGGTCATTGACGTGTTCCTTAAGAAGCTCCAACTAACCCCAGAAGAGGTGGGGATACTAGCAGGAGGTGTGGTCGGAGAAGAGCTATTCTCTGTCTTACACCGTGTGAAATCAATTCATGAAGACTGCAAAGTGCTGCTAAGAACCAGTCAACAGAGAATAGGCTTAGAGATAATGGAAAAGATGGCCATGCACTTGGAGGAAGGCTACGAGAGGTTATACCACTGGACACAGTCACAATGTCGTACAATGACCAGCGACTTGCCCTCCTCTTCTCTGCTTCTTAGAAAGTCACTGCAAGAGCTTAAGAGTCGACCTATCCTTTACAAGTATTGTGTGGATGAGTATGTCCTTGCTAGACGCAGTGCCTTAGTACAGGGTTTCATTGATGCACTGACTAAAGGTAATAATGGTAGTCGACCTATTGAGCTGGTATCTCATGATCCAGCCCGTTATTCAGGAGATATGCTAGGTTGGTTGCATCAGGCTATAGCTACCGAAAAGGATCACATTAGTGGCCTCTTTGCTGAAGATGAGAGGGAATGGGTATCGAATTTACTGGCCTCTATAACCGAAGGTGCTGGAAGGCCTTTAAAAATGAGAGTCGAGCAAGTTCTTTTGTCGACGTCTGATCCAGTGACCAGCTATCAAATGGTTAATGTGGTTCGATATTACCTTGGTGTTTTTGTAATTCTTTTAGGAGAGACTGCTCCGTTGATTGGGGTAATGAAGGAACTTGCTGAACTTCAGACAAAGCTGTTCTTTAGCAGCCTCACAGTTCAAACCTCAAAGTTACTGGAAGAGATAGAGTTACCTGATTCACAGCTTAACCCTCCAAGGAAGCTAATGGAGATACTCTCAGTCCTCCAACGCGTGCTAGCATCTCGTGACATCAGCGTAGCCTCATTAGACGATCATAAAACATCGCTGAAGCAAATACTGCAGACATGCATTGATCCAATGATTCATTACTGCAATGAGAGTGCTTCCACTCTTAGTACAATGGAAATGGCAGTCTATCTCATCAATTGCCTTTATCTGATACACTCGAATGTAGCATTGTACGAATTCACTGAGCTAGCATTAGAGAAATTAGATGGACAGATACAGGCTCATTTAGATACACTGATAACAGAGCAGGCTGCTTATCTTCTAGGAAAAATTGGACTACTAGATTCTTATAATACGCTTCAAACAGGAGAGCTGACTGACGAAGTCCTTGCTCCTGTACACGAGCAAAGCAAGAAGCTCATGACTCAATTTTTCTCGTCTCCAGAGTCTTCTCTTCTACCTCAACTCACTCTTCTGACCAGTAGCAAGTTCAAAGCTGATGCTCATCAAAGGGCAGTACAATTATTCCTCAATGCATACAGGCAGGTATATGATGCTATAAAGGACAAAATAGGAGAAGATAAGCTAAGTAATGTATTACCGCATTCACCAGAACAGGTCAACGATTTAATTACATGATTTTTATGATATTTGTACATTAATTGTTTGAAGTGAAAAAAATTTTAATCATACAATTCAGTACCATTATGCATTTTTGGCAGCTACAACATTTCACTGGTGTTAAGGAAAACTTGTGGGTGGGTCAGGTGTGCATTATTATCAAAATTGGAGAAAAGCTGTCCAAATTTGAGGAACTCCTCAATAGTCTTTAGTGCAAGTGGGCATCAGTGATGTGTATAATTGATCAAATTTGAGACTGAGACAGTGTGTTTGTGTATGCTTCTTAGTGAGCCTACTGTATAATAAACTGAGGGAGATAGAGTGTGTTTATGCACATACATACTTTTATGAGCATCAATATCAGGGAGAATAAGACTACACTACTGTATATGTACATGAACATGTACATGAGTGTACTATTATGACCATCAATAGTGGGCATTTGTTTTTTTAAAAGAATTTTTGCACAATGGACATAAAATGAAATGTTTGTCTCATAATTTATGCTGCACAGTTCAGCTACTGAGGGTGAGTGAGTGTACTACTGCATATACTGGTAAGCTTAGGAAAGTTAGCTCCTTTCTTCTCCAGGTTAGACTGTGCCCACAATACAAGCTTCATCAGTACACTGAGCCTTGAGACTTCTTCCTTCCCTTGGTTGCTCAAAATGGCCGAGTTTAACTCGCTCACAACTTTTAGCCTCTGAGAATGCTGTAGTAGATAAGCAAAAGGGCTTTTTATAGGATCATCATAAGCTAACAGAGCTAAGGCAGATTCAAGTTCCTCAAGGAATTTTGAATTTTCTTCACCTCTAGCAGAGAGCTCTGACTGGGCATATGCTAATGCCTCATCTACATTGCCCTGACGTATGTACTCCAATAGCTGCTGTAGTTGTAAGTGGAAGAATAAATCTGGATTAGTGTCTAGTATTACTAGATCTAAATCATTCAATGTCTCAACTGCTTTTTGTACTTCTCCTGTTTCGATTGCTGATCGTATTTGTATCTGGCTCTCCATTAGAGAGTCATCTAGTCCTGACTGTATTCCTGTCTCTTTTTGAAAGGAGAGGGCTGCCTCTTTAAACCCCTCCCTAACCAAATAATCCATTATCACAGAATTGAGATCAGAACGAGATACGGAATGATTATTAACCTACAATTGCTAGTATAACGTAAAGTTTAAGCTATTATCTCTTACCTTGTCGCTCCACTCATCTTTTTCTAGAGTTGAACTAGTCGAAAGAGTAACTTCTACAGTTGTTGTTGACGTTGTGTTGTCCTCCATCTTTAACCACGCCTTCTATCACTTTAACCCTCACACCCAGTAGATCTAATAATTTTAAAATGGCGGCCAAAAAGTAGGTTGTCTTTTTGTTCATCTAAGATTTTACTCTTACTATTACTATTACAGACAGTATGGTCTTATTATTCCGAAAAGTAAACCTCAAGTTCTGACCAAACCATCTGCCTTTGATGATGACAGCAGTGATGAAGATAATGTGGTATGAATTTTGTGTTTAATAATGTCTGAATGATAATTTTTCTTACTTCACTCTTATGATAAAAGGATGCAAGAAAGAAGCAAGTCAGTGCATCGTTAAGAAAGGAAGGGATAAAGAGACTTGAAGCTAAGACAGTGAGATAATTCATATCATTAGGGTATTATTTACATGTAGAACCTTTTAGACTAAGAATATGCTAACGGAAGCTTTGTGTGAAGATCCAAGTGTGTTTGACTATGATGGGGTTTATGATCAAATGCAGGAGAAGAAACGAGACTCAAAACTACTAGGAAAACAAGATAGAAAAGTAAGTGATAATACTTGTACCAGTTTGTTTGTATGAATCATTTTGTATTGTGTTGTTAAATTATAGTAATATTTCCCTTTCATCTAAAACTAACTTAATGATAACCATTTCATAATTGTGACTAATGACAGCCATAATAGCTATACTATTCAGCCAAATGTTTGTTACTTCCAGTCATAAGTTTTGGAAGTATCAACAGTTGAAAAAAGATCCAAATTTTGGTTGAAGTCTATGTTTCCAATAGTTCATTTTAATCACTCAATGTCAAATTTAGCATAGTGTGTATTGGTTGTGTTTTAATGATACATTTCAATTGGTATAGAATCACCTATACCAAGTTCTCCACTATCAGTTGTTGTGTTTGTTTTATTTATTCATTTATTTATTTACTTGCAGTTTCTTTTCATTTACAGTCGAAATATATTGCAAATTTGAAAAGGACGGCAGAAGTGAGAAAGATAGAACAAGAGCTAGCCTACGAGAGGAAGGTACAGAAGGAGAGAGAGACTGAGGGAGAAGCATTCTCTGATAAAGACTCCTTTGTTACTCCAAGCTACCTGAGGAAGCTAGAGGAAAGGGCAGCCATTGAAGAGAGACTGAGGAAAGAAGAGGAGATAGAGAGTGAGCCTTAAAAATTAAGGATGCTTGTAATTAATAAAGTAAAAATAAATAATTGAATAAAATATATTCTTCATCAGGGTTTCCCACAGGATTTGACATAGTGGTCAGCTTCTTGTTAGTGGTTTTTTAAGTTGCTCCAAATTTTGGCAAAATAATATTTACTGTTACTACTGTAGCACAGGGTAAATGACTAGGAGAGAATACTTAATCCATTTCTATTACATTTTTTGATACTGTGCTATAGTACAGGGTTTTTGGTCAAAGCTCATCAAAAGTGGCTGGGAGAGAATTATATTTTTTTATTTATATACATAGTTATGTTGTGTAGCTGCATGATTCTGATCAAAATTGGATTTTCTGAATTTTCAAAGTTGCTCTAAAATCATGCGAAAGACCCTGTGTAGGGTCTTTTGCCAAATTTCATTAAAATGGCTGGGAGAGAATTTTATGTTTTAGTTGTCTACAAATTTTGAGTGGATTCTGATCAAAATGAGAATTTTTATGAGTTTTTTGAAAGTTGCTTCAAAAGCTGTGTGCTATTATAATGAGCCAATTTTTGTAAAAAAGCATGGCCTATGGTTTTTTAAAAAATGACTCTGAAATCACCCCAATTTTTATTACATTTTTATGCATGTTGATGTCCTCATGCTATGTAGAAAGTTTGAGCTGATTCCGACTTCAATTTTCCAAGTTATAACCATTTTTAAAAAGTAGCAAATTTTGGAAAAAACCATGGACTATTGCTCATGGTTTTTTTCCAAAAAATGAGTCCGAAATCACCCCGAATTTTTATTTCATTTTCTAATACCTTACGGTTGGTAATATTCGAGGGTCCGAAATTTCGTGTTTTCTTCAAAATGTCCTTAGAAGCTAATATTCGTGGGTACAAATATTCGTGGATGACAGTTAGCAAACTTTTTTCCACTTGGATCTCCTGGACTAGCTTCCAACACATGGCTTATAGTGGAATATGGAGTAATAGACAAAGACTTTGGCTCCTCCACTAGCTTGGAAATGGTAGTTAGAGCTCTGCATGGCCCGTTAATTAGTTTTTATGTGTGGGTGGGTAGAGGTTAAAATTTCGTGGATAAAAATTAACCATGAAATTAACGAAAATTAATACCCCACGAAATTTACCAACTGTACAGTACATATTGTTGTCCTCATGCTACGTAGAAAGTTTGAGCTCATTCCAACTTCAATTTTCCAAGTTACTGTATAGCAGAAAATTTTCGTGGCCCAAAATTTTCATGGATCTGTCCAAAAATCAATTTCATGGCTTTAATTTTCGTGGTTTTTTACAATTCAGCCATCTTAAACCGTATAAATCGATTTTCACGGATTTTATTTTCATGGGTTTTGAAAAAAAACGCAAAATCCACAAATTTTGGGTCACAAAAATCTTCCGCTATATGGTATGACCATTTTTAAAAGTAGCAAATTTTGGAAAAAACCATGGACATGGTTTTTTCCAAAAAGTGACTCCGAAATCACCCCAAATTTTTATTACATTTTCTAATACATGTACATATTGATGTCATTGTGCTATGTAGAAAGTTTGAGCTGTTTCCGACAAATAATTTTGAGTTATGAGTATTTTAAGACATGAGCCAATTTTTGGGAAAAAAACAAATGCCATAGATAAGGTTTGTCAGCTTATAGAGCGTGCTTTGTCTAAGGGAACTCTGTTGTATATGTACATGTATGAGCATTGTAATAAACCATACATTGGCATGTGGAATTAAAATTGTAGGGGATTGTTGGTTTTTGACACAAAGTATGAAGTTTAATATTTTTGTGTACATTCATGTACATGTTATGTGCAGAAGATGTGACTAAAGGCCTTTTCACACTGGCACAGTTTTCAAAGCGCTTTGATGCGCTTTGTTGATACAGCTGAAATAATGCACATTGATCGTGTTCACACTAGCAGCTGAATTATGTATCAATTTGTGTTCTTGTTGCCATTGGTTTACATTGATCGAAGCGCATCACTTCACATCAATCCACCTCTGGAGGTGAAGGAGGGTGATGCGCATCAATGCGCATTAATTGAAAACCACTCTAGTGTGAACACGATTAATGCGCATCAATGCGCATTACTTGTGCCAGTGTGAAAAGGCCTTAAATTTTCAATGTAAAATCCATGAAATGAATTATTGGAGAAATCACCAAAGTATTTAAACTCCTGTCAATATATCTTTTATAGTGTACACACTATAAAAGATATATTGACAGGAGTTTAAATTTATTTTGTTCATCAAATATTTGAACCCAGTTGAATTGCTGATTAACAAATTTTTATGTTAATATTTAATATACTGATAGTATAATGTGTTGCTTATGTCATTTATTTATTTTTTATTCTTTAGAATTAAATGATGTTACTAAGGAAACTGATTTGAGCCGTTTTTATCGAAACGTGTTGGAGAGAAAGACAACTGGTGCTCCATCATCTACCACTGAGGAACAAGAACAAGATAGAGAGAAAGAAGACAGACATGACTATACTGATACATTCGAACAAAATGATAATGAACCTTTAGATGAAGCTGGTAGTGAAGATGATGAAGGTGGCAATAATGATGAAGGATCTGGTAATGAAGGAAGTCCACCAGAGAAAGAAACTGATGAACTTGATGAGGAAGAGAGACAAGAAGCAAAAGAAGATTCACCTCCGGTTCCAACTGTACCTGAACCCCAACCAGAGACTGTTGAAGAAAGACGAAAGCGTATTTTTGCAAAAAGAACTAATGAGGAATCTGCCTTGTCTGCTAAAGAACGCTACCTGGCTAGGAAGAGAGCAAAGTTATCTGAGCCTACTGTAATAACAGAAGATGATTAATTTTTATTATTGAAAATATTTTAAATTGGGCGGGTCTGCTTTTGAGGGGCCGGGTCCGATAACTAATTTGCGTTCAAATCATTCTTCTGGAGTGGAGACACTGTCTTCTTGGATGGTTCTGTAACTAGCTTCTGCAGTTCTATTACCGCCCATCACTACTGGGAGTTATCTTGGCCGTTTTTCTCTTTGATAAGTGTAAGACAGTTATACAGTATGCTGTTAAGTCTCATTATGAATTCCTACTATTTATAGAGTCCACACAATGAAGTTGTTGGTATATACTCGTATCATAAAGGTCCTCTTCTCTCTCCTCCTCCTTATGTCAGGTGATGTAGAGCTCAACCCAGGACCTAGTAAAGATAGCCATAATATTGTGTGCCATAATTATCATTATTTAAACTGTAGATCCAAAGGAGATACTAATGAAATATTGGGCTAAGCTATCCAAAGCAATATCAGCTAATGTTAGCAATGTAGCCAATGCATTGTTTTCCAAGGACCTAATAACACGTGGGACTAGAGAATACACGTTGACAGCACTTGGCCCAACTAGTACTGATAAAGCCACTAGATTAATGATTGATGTGGTGGATCAGCTAGAAGCTTCTATTGATGAAAGACAGTATTTAGTTAAGGTGTGTAGTGTATTAACTAAACAAGGTGCAGCAATAAAAGAGATAGGAATCATTATGCTTAAAGAACTAGGTATGTACATGCACATAACTAACATATATCAGTCAAAAAATGTTAACCTCTTTGTGTACTCAATAGAAGAAGACACTGCTACTGTCCATCCTCCTCTTCCTCAAAGTGGAGCTAGTGAAGGTAAAAAATAAAATGCTAATAATTAAGAATTATTATTATTATTGCCTGGTTCCATCATTAATCATGTGCAGTTGTGGCTATTGTATGTATTCTGTGGTTTACTACTGGTCTGCTGTAGATAGACCTGATCTCAATTGTTGTTGCAACAGTGTGTTATGTTAATGTGCATCACGCTCATTTCATTTTTCTATTTCTTTCTACTAGGCAAGAAACTTAACTTGAGAACAGCCTTAAGGATATTTCATTCTTCTGCTCATCATTACAGACTGATAGGGACTGTATTGGATGTAAAAGTAGCAGATCTGAAATTAACTGAGGATGTAACTAGTAATCTCATCACAGTATTCGAGAGGTGGTTTGATGCCAATAGAAATGTTAGTTGGGATACATTATTGGAACTTTGTGACAACTTTCCTGATCAATTGGGCAAAGCAAAGGCTCATCTAAATAAATTTTTTCCAAAAATAGGTGTGTAATTATGTGTACATATCTTGACATTAATAATTTAGTGCTCATTACAATTTACAATTTTTATTTGGGTGCGGAGCCACTAATGTTTTTCATTCTTCTAGTAAAGAATAATTTTTTTCTTTTTTGTAGGAGAGAATACAAGTAATTTTGATAATGTAATAGAAGTAGAACCAGGTATTACACACATATAGCCAGTGTCTTACTAACATTTAAGGGTAAGTCCGGTGTACATGTATTTTGGGATATTTATTTTATTGGCTTAATATGATTGCCTGACCATAATAATGACGTATTCCAACTCCCATTGTCTAAAAAATTTTTCACTGAGATATGAGCTTTGAAAGATGCTCATTTTTGTTACTTCCTGTCGGTGGGTGTGGCTAAACATGACATCCTAGAGCATAGATATTAGAGGGGATTGGCAACGGGGCGTAGCAACAGAAAATGCGAGTTGGGTTACCACATGACAACCATCAGTGTTTTGATTGTATTCCCATCTCCTCCATTGGTGAATTTGCACTGGAAGGATTTCGAAGGAAATTTGTGTCTCTTGAGGATAGCGCTTGCTTATGATATATAGCCTATTCCACATAGAATTTTTAGAGCTACCAGCAGCAAGGTTTTTGTCTCCAAAAAGCCATTTTACAACCAGTTATAGGTACACAAAGTCGCCTGTTTTTGAAACACTTTATCCTTCGTAAAACGCTTGGCCATTATAGCATCAACGAGCAAGTTAGCTCATTCCATAGGAGATTTCAAGCTCTTCAAAATGACTATACTTATTCATAGCTCAAGATCAACATGAGTCTTTTGGAGGGGGAAAAGATGGTATTTTTAGTGAGAGTGACATGGCTACTAGCATATGCATTGATTTGTTTTAAAAATATTAATAAAAAGAATAAACACTGGTTAGTATTATGTGTGAGTTTTGTTTGCATAAATGGCATCCTCTTGGAGTTATTCAAAAAATAAAGCAATAAAATCTGTGATTTTGCTCCAAAATCTGTCAAAAATCCCAACCCACCTCTGTTTACTTAGCAATAATACAAATGAATGGAGGTTTGCCCACACCCACGCTTCTGTTTCCAATCCCTTTTACCGTACGGTTGGTAATATTCAAGGGTCCAAAATTTCGTGTTTTCTCCAAAATATCCTTAGAAGCTAATATTCGTGGGTACAAATATTCGTGGGTGGTAGTTAGCAAACTTCTTTTCACTTTGATCTACTGGACTAGCTTCCAACACATGGCTTATGGTGGAATATGGAGTAACAGACAAGAACTCTGGCTCCTCTACTGGCTTGGAAATAGTAGTTAGAGCTCTGCATGGCCCGTTAATTAGCTTTTATGTGTGGGTGGTAGGGGTTAAAATTTCGTGGATAAAAATAAACCACGAAATTAACGAAAATTAATACGCCACAAAATTTACCAACTGTACGGTATTTACTCTAATATCTATGCCTAGAGGCATAGATGCAGCTAAATCCATTCCTTTATAGGGGGAAATAATCCTTTATTCTCATGCCTAATAATGTAATAGCACTAATTTAAAGATTGGGATCATTAGCTTTCATTATTCTGAGCATGCAACTGCAAGAAAATGTCATAATACCACAAGTAGGAAATTTTCTTGTTTGCTATTTTGAGTCTTTTTCTTGCAGTTGCATGCTTAGAATAATGATAGCTAATGATCCCGATCTTTAAATTAGTGCTATTACATTACTAGGCATGAGAATGAACAATTATTTCCCCCTATAAAGGAATGGGTTTAGCTGCATCTATACCTCTAGTGATGTCACGTTTAGCCACACTCACTGACAGGAAGTAACAAAAATGAGCATTTTTGAACGCTCATATCTCAGTGAAAAATTTTTAGACAATGGGAGTTGGAATACATCATTATTGTGGTCAGGCAATCATATTAAGCCAAAAAATAAATACCCAAAAATACATGCACCGGACTTACCCTTTAGGTGTGTGAGCTACCTTGTGCATGATGCTATAATGATTAATTTTTTATGACCCCCAGGTCGTAAATTTTTAAATTAAGCCAGATTAAGCCCCCATGTTTTTTGTGTAAATTAATTTTTGTCAAATATTAGCTGCTCTGCAGCTTTATAGAGACCAAATAACCTTTTCATTATTTTGAGCACCATTCAATATTAATTCCTCACCATTATTTTTTTAACCTTCAATTACCATTGACTTGTTTGTAAACAAAAATTCAATACTTTGTATAATTTTAAGAGAATATGAATTAAATTATATATTTTAAAATGTTTATAGGTACTATAAAGAAGTGGTTTGATGATGAAAAAGAAGGCTGGATTGATTTGACCCTCACTCGTGTACATATGGTTGGGCCTGCTGGCTCTGGTAAATCATGTGCACAAAACCTTCTACTTAATGAGCCACCACCAAAACACTTACCTTGTACCACCTCATCTGAAGACCTTCTCACCTGTTCTGACACCCCATTTTCTGACCCTAAAATCCTTGAACATTCATCTTCCAACCCTCAAATATCTTCTGATACCTCACAATCTTCTGATCCACATGCCTCTCCTGATTCTATGACTGACCTACACTACAACACTACTACCTCCTCTTCAAACACCTCCTCTAAGTCTATCACTGACAGTACACCAATAGCTTGTAAAGCTGTCAAAGCTCTAAGAGTTACTTCTAATGATAATGAGACTTGGAACAGAATTACTAAAGATGAATTGCTGGAGAGATTAGCATCTAGTTTAAAAAGAGCTGTGGCCAAGTTTTCTCAACAAAAGCAAGCTACGTCCACACTTTCATTTTCAGATGAGTCAGAATCAGATGATGAATTTACACCAGAAGCCCCAGAAGGGCCTCGTGATTATGGAACTGTAGTTAATGAAATAGTTCAATGCCTTTCTGTAGCAAAAGCTCAATTAAGTGAGAAATGGGCATACATTATTGATTCTGGTGGTCAACCAGCATTTCAAGAGCTGCTACCAGTGTTTACTAGGGCAGCTTCTCTTAATGTCATCACACTTGACCTTTCTAAAGGTATCGATGATGAGTTTGAGTACACGTACCGAATTAATGGAAAAGAGTTTAAATGCGATGAGAAAATGAAATATTCAAACCGTAAGGTTTTCAATTCTGTCGTTTCAGCAGCATCAGTTCAGAAACCATTAGATATTCCGTATTTGACCAAGCCTTCTCAAGAGGCTACTTTCATTCACTCTATGTCTTTTGTTCTTGGTACTCATTACGATGTGGTGATTAAAAATAGCAAAAATGAAAAAGAGGCATTTGCACAGGTGAAGCAAATGAGCGACGATTTGATGAAACAACTGGATTCTCATTCTAAGAAGTACATTATTCCTGATGTACATGAAGATTCTACGTGTATCATATTTCTGGTTGATACATTAATAAAAGATCGAGGTGAAAGAAAGAGGGTCAGCCAGGAAATTTTTAAAATTGTAGATCGAAGTCAGACTTCTCTTAAAGTAAAAATCCCGATCTGGCTGTTTGTTTTTGAGCTTTGCTTAGAGAAAAAAGCTGAAAGTAATGGTGGTTTTGTTACAAGAGAAGAAGCTGACGACGAAGGTAAGAGACTTCACATGACTCCTAGTGATGTTGAAGATGCTCTAACTTACAGTACCTTCACAATTGCACCATTATTCTATACTATCCTGATATTGAACCTCAATTAGTGTTTGTTGACCCGCAGAAAATTCTTGAAGTACTTTCACAATTATTGGCTCTCACATATGTCAAAAAGGATACTGCACAGAAAGTATTTAAACCAAAATTGAAAATAACTTGGGATGAAATGGCCCTATTAAAAAATCAGGGTCGCTTCAAAAAAGATCTTCTTAAGAAGTTCACTGTATTCACTGGTAAATTTCAGCCAGATTACTTCATCAATTTGCTTAACAAATGCCACATCATTGCTCAACTACAGAAAAACAAAAGTCAAGCTAAAGATGTAGTCTATTTTCTTCCTTCTGCTTTAAGTTCATATGATGATAGCTTTGAAAAGAGCCCTACAGATAGAAAACCTCTACTTTATGTTTGGAGAAAGCAAGTGGCTGGAGAAGATGTAGGAAAAGTCTTTGTCAATGTACCTCAAGGAATCTTCCCTCTGATGATTGTTCGTTTACTCAAGGAAGAAGAATACGTTGTCTGGCTATCTAATCCTGATGACGTCTCACAATTTCGAAATGCAATATCGTTATGGATCTCTTTTGACAAAAATGATGATGACCCAGATGAACGTTTGTACATCATTAATCGTGGGAAGCATATTGAAGTTATTTTTACTGGAAAGAAGGAACATTGTCCAAAAATTAACACACTACTTTGTAAAGTCATCAAAAAGAGTGCAGATGTCATCAACATTTCAGTTAAAGACTTGAACATAGCTTTTGCTTGCCAACGTGACAACAGTGAATACTGTATTATCAAAAATGAAGCAGCTCAAATAATAGGTTGCTGCTCTAAACCTGCTCACACTTGTACTCTTGATGACAGCTATTGGTGCTGGTTCAATACATCAGGTATGTGTAACAACTTTATTATTATTATTATATTATTATTATTATAATTATTGTAAAGGTTCTGCACAAAAATGTGTGTTACTTATACGCATTCATAAAGCCTGTTCTTAATGCTATAACATTGATGAACTTATCTTAGATATACCATATAAAAGTAGACATTATTTTTTTATTGCATGGCCAATTATTCTTTTCGTTTATATATAATGGTTTTTGTTATTCAAAGAATGCATTATGTACATATCAATCAATAAAACATTTTTAAATCCACAGGCCAGGAGCTTAATAATGCAGTAGTCTTGAGGATATTTTCTACTTCTGCTAGTGAGTATAACCTAATAGGGACTGGATTGGGTGTAGATGTGTCTGATCTGACACAGATCCCAGGCCAAGCAATGAATAATCTTATTAAAGTAATTGAAAGGTGGTTCAAAGCCAACAAAGATGTCAGCTGGGATGCATTAAGACAACTTTGTAAATACTTCCCCAAACAACTGGGCCAAGCAGAAGCTAAGCTAGATGAAGTACTTGGTAAAGAAGAAGATTCACCTCCAATTCCAACTGTACCAGAACCTCAACCAGAGACAATTGAAGAAAGACGGAAGCGTATTTTTGCAAAAAGAACTAATGAGGAATCTGCCTTGTCTGAACACTACCTAGCTAGGAAGAAAGTAAAGTTATCTCAGCCTACTGTAATAACAGAAGATGATTAATTTTATTATTAAAAATAATTTTCATTTGTCAGGTCTGTCATAATTTATTAATTTTTGAGGGGTCAGGCCCAATAATTAAATTGTTTACTTAATAATGCAGGCTTGAAAACAGCTAGAAAACAGCTAGATCTATAACGTGACTGAATTTTAATTTGCCATGCATGTAGCAAGTAACTCAAGATACAAGTTTTGAAACTATAAGCAGCCACCAATTGGAATATCAAAAATATAAAATCAAATCTTTTTCAAAAACTCCATTACTTGAACCATAGTAGGACGGTTTCTATGGTTATTGTCAAGTCCTCTTTGTATAAGAGACTTCATATCAGACCAGGAGACACTACCAGATTGTCGTGCTCTCTCTTCAATTGTCCTTTCTGGAAGACAACATAAATTCATTTCCATAAGGAGAACAGAGTAGCTGTAGACATCCATTGCTAGACTGTGTTGCTCAGGATCACGAGCTTCTGGTGCAGCATATGCTAGATTGCCTGGAAAAGCAGTACCAGCACTCTCAGCTTGCACTACTGTAGCTGTACCATAATCTGCTACTTTAGCTTCATAACCAGCAGGTCCAGTGCAAGGCTTTAATAATACGTTAGGACTGCTCACATCTCTGTGAATAATAGGCTGAGGCTTAAACAGGTGAAGGTAGTTGAGGCCTAAAGCTACATCTTGAGCAATACTGAGAATCTGTTGATTGGTTAATCGGTTTCTGCGAAGCTCCTGATTAAGACTAGTACTCATCAGCTCGGTCAAGATGAGGGGATTACCCACTTTAGTTGCACCAATGAACTGGACCAGGTTAGGATGACGTACTCGTGATGCTATACTCATTTCCCTGGAGAACATACCTAGATTATAATCAGAGATGATGATAGTATGAAGTGACTTGACAGCAACTCTTAAACCTCTAAAGATACCAACTGTAACGACAGCATAAGATCCTCTTCCTAGCTCCTCCTTTGTCAAAGTCACCTCATCTTTATCAATAACCCAGTGATCATCAGTAAGCTCTGCTTGTTGCTGGTACCTACGAACTACATCTTGAGACTGACGTAGCTCCCTATCCTTCTCCTTTAGCTCCTTATCTTTCTCCAGTAGTTCCCTATCCTTTTCCTGTAGCTCCCTATCCTTCTCTTGTAGCTGATGACAATATCTTATTATTTCTTGATCTTTCTCTGCTTCTTCTCTTTTCTTCTGTTCCATTTTTTGGCGAAAATCTCCGGCTTCTAACTCCTTTTCTGTTAATTTTTTCTCCTTCTCTTTAAGACTCTTCATAAGAGCTTGTATGGTTTGCTCAATATTGACTGCATCTCCTTTTCTTAGTTTCTGGTAGTCCTCCAAGTGCTCCAACCATACTCCTCTTATGTGCTGATACTTCTTCTTGTAGTATTCGCTAGTCATCCCTTTAGAATCAAATGTATCACCTACAAGACACCCTCCTCTACTGTTGACAACTAATGGATGCAAAAATAATAGTATATGTATACTGAGATTAACTATTAACTCATAATGTAGGGTTAGCTACAGCCAAGGCTGCACATGAATGTAAAATTAAAATGTGCAATTTATTTACTAGACTGACCTAGTTCAGTTATCATTACATTGATATCATCAATTAAGCTCAATTGCTTAATACCACCGAAGTTGTAAGCATATCCTCCAACAGTTATCATCCAGACACAATGAAGACTCATAATGAACACTGAGAGAGAATGACTCCTTCTTTTACTAACAGAATGAGGTGCATCTAACTGTTAATAGAAATAAATTAATAATTTACATGTATTTTACTGTACATACTTTTATCCAGGAATATTGAGTGATCTTAAAGATCCAACAATCATCTAATATGTCGTTATTCTTATTCAACCCACCACTTATCACTAGCATAGGACAGTCTGATCCAGTTATAATAGCACCTGCATGCATGAATCTACCCACTGGCCATTGGTCTATTGCTTCAGGTTTCTTTATACTCTGCCAGAACTAATAAATAAAATAACCACACTCATTAACAATGACATAAAAGTGCATGCATGTGTGTGTGTGTACACATAGTCACATACCACAGTGCTAATTGATATGTGTATCTCTAATACATAAATATTGTTAGCATAAGTATCACGAGTATTATCAACATTCTCTATCCCACCAAACAGGACAGCTCTAGTGTTGCTGATCTTTTCAATGATAAAGCCGCCAGCAGGTGGTATACACTGACCAATGATTGAAGGATGACTCCATTTTTCTAAATTAAAATTATTGACATAATTTCAAAAAAACAATAAAACTTTACTTGATGATATATTATATATTGAGTGCTCATTAGTACGCCATCTTTCACTAGGTAACATAATATATTTATAATGAGGTAGTTGTACAGCTGGTTTAGATCCTTTTCCTCCTATCATTAGTAAATGGTGTACTCCATCATGTTCAAATGATGTCATTCCACAATGACCTCTCCTCATAACTGGTCTAGTTGCATCAGTTGGTTCTAATTCTCTCCATTGAAGATTAACGCTATCCAGTTGTGTAATACTATTGTGAAAGCAGTCACCATGACCACAATAGCCCCCGAAATAGTACAATAGATCATTTATTGCAGTACAGCAGTAACCCAAAATTCCTAATGGAGGAGTACCAGTAGTATCTTTAGTGATCCATTCACCAGTTGAAGGAGTAAAGTGCTGTATATTACTAGTGATCCTTCTCTTCTTTTCACTATCATGTACTTCAGGTAAACCGACCTGATTACCAGCCCACAGGTACAGTGAATCACCTACTAATACAGTTCGGTGACCAGTTCTTCTACTCGGTTGATCTATAGCAATGATTAACAGTGAAGTAGTAACTTCATAGTACGGTACTTGCTTTTAGAAGTACTTGTTTCAAATGCCATTTGTTTTCTTTCCAGATTACCGGTATGCTGATTTTGCAAATAGGCGTAGGCAAACGAATTGACCCACGTGGTAGCACGTGGGTGACTTGAGTGTGAAGCGCCATTTAAAATAGGTGGGGCTACAGTTCTTTAACATTTCTATGCTCTTCAATCATTCTTCTGGGGTAAGATTTCTCTAGTCTTTATCTACATGCTCATATTTTTCTTTCTTTTTAGTAAGAAATTTAATAACAGTTCACAATGGCTGACTACTGGACGCAGTGTAATTACTTTTAACATTTTTCTGGGACTGGGGCTTAGTTTGTAGCCTAAGGGGCTTGGGATTATCTTTATAGGGGTCTGGTACAGGTTTAGAATCTAAATAGGAGAATTGTAATTTTAAATTTGTTTAAATTTGGATTGAGGGTTGATTAAAATTTAATTTATTATTATTATTGTAGGAAGGAGAGCAAGATGAAGGCACTACAGTTGAACGAGATGGTCCACTAACTGTACTATGGAGTAATACTGATAGACTCACTCCATCAACTAGAGTACACTACACTCCACAGAATTCCAGTTTAATATTTGTCATAGATATGGCATCATCAAGTGGTCCAGCCATTTTTTGATACATATTGATGTCCTTATGCTATGTAGAAAGTTTAAGGTGATTCCGACTTCAATTTTTCAAGTTATGGCCATTTTTAAAAAGTAGCAAAATTTCAGAAAAAAGCATGGACTATAGCCCATGGTTTTTTCCAAAATTACCCAAAATTTTTATTACATTTTCTGATGCATATTGATGTTTTTATGCTGTGTAGAAAGTTTGAGCTGTTTCTGACTTCAATTTTTTGAGTTATGACCATTTTAAGAATACGCCAAAATTTTGAAAGAATCTCTGTACTATAGCCCATGGTTTTTTCCAAAAAATGGCTCCAAAATCACTCCAAATTTTTATTACATTTTCTGATACATATTGATGCCCTTATGCTATGTAGAAAGTTTGAGGTGATTCCGACTTTAATTTTTCGAGTTATGGCCATTTTGAAAAAGTAGCAAAATTTCAGAAAAAAGCATGGACTATAGCTCATGGTTTTTTCCAAAAAATGGCTCTAAATTTGCCCCCAATTTTTATTACATTTTCTGATACATATTGATGTCCTTATGCTGTGTAGCAAGTTGGAAGTAATTCTGACTTCAATTTTTTAAATTATGGCCATCTTAAGAAAATGGCAAAATTCTGAAAAGCATCCAAGAAATGGCTCCAAAATCACCCAAAATTTTTATTACATTTTCTGATACATATTTATGTTCTTATGCTGTGTAGAAAGTTTGAGCTGTTTCCGACTTTAATTTTTTGAGTTATGGCCATTTTGAAAAAGTAGCAAAATTTCAGAAAAAAGCATGGACTATATATAGCCTATTTTTTTAATAAAATTTTTTTTTGAAATTATTAGAGAGAGACATGGTTTTTTCCAAAAAATGGCTCTGAATTTGCCCCCAATTTTTATTACATTTTCTAATACATATTGATGTCCTTATGCTGTGTAGCAAGTTTGAGCTGATTCTGACTTCAATTTTTTAAAGTTATGTCTATTTAAAGAAAACGGCAAAATTCTGAAAAATACCCAAGGCTATATAGTCCATGGTTTTTTCCAAAAATTGGCTCCAAAATTTTTATTACATTTTCTGATGCATATTTATGTTCTTATGCTGTGTAGAAAGTTTGAGCTGTTTCTGACTTCAGTTTTTTGAATTACGACCATTTTATGAATACGCCAAAGTTTTGAAAAAGTCTCTGTACTGTAGCCCGTGGTTTTTTCAAAAAATGGTTCCAAAATTGCTCCAAATTTTTATTACATTTTCTGATAAATATTGATGTCCTTATGCTATGTAGAAAGTTTAAGCTGTTTCCAACAAATAATTTTCGAGTCATGAGCATTTTAAGAAATGAGCCAATTCACTTAGCATGCTTTGTGGGAAACCCCTGTTGTATATGTACAAGCATTGCAATGAATCATACATTGGCATGTGGAATTAAAATTGTAGGCTTGGTGGTTTTTGATGAAATATGAAGTTTAATATTTTTGTGTAATTATGTTCAGAAGATGTGACTAAATTTTTCAAATGTAAAATTCGTGAAATCTTTTTCGCGTGTAGTAAATTTTGTTCATGAAATATTTTGAACCTAGTTAAATTGGTGATTAACAAATACTTTTTTTAATTTTTAATATTTATAGACTAAGAGTATAGTGTGTTGCTTTGCTTCATTTATTTATTTTGTCATTTTTTAGAATTAATCAGTGCTCAAATCAGTGTCACAAAGAAAACCAATTTGAGTTGATTCTATCGAAACGTGTTAGAGAGAAAGACAACCAACTGGTGCTCCATCATCTACCACTGAGGAACAAGAATAAGGTAGAGAGAAAGAAGACAACCCAACAGAATGATAATGAGCCTTTACTTAGAGCAAGCCCAGTGGTAGTGAAGATAATGAACCTTTAGATGAAGCTGGTAGTGAAGATGATGAAAGTGGCAATAATGATGAAGGATCTGGTAATGAGGGAAGTCCATCAGAGAAAGAAACTGATGAACTTGATGAGGAAGAGAGACAAGAAGCAAAAGAAGATTCACCTCCTATTCCAACTGTACCAGAACCTCACCAGAGACTATTAAAGAAAGACGAAAGCGTATTTTTGCAAAAAGAACTAATGAGGAATCTGCCTTGTCTGCTAAAGAACGCTACCTGGCTAGGAAGAAAGCAAAGTTATCTCAGCCTACTGTAATAACAGAAGATGATTAATTTTTATTATTGAATCTCTGTCACATTAATTAATTATTTTTGAGGGGCCGGGCCCAATAATTATTTTGTTTACTTAACGCGGGCTTGAAATCACTCAAATCAGCTGGTCTGAAAGAAGTAAACTCGGGTTGAAGTTCATCTGTCTGAAAAATGTCTGGATTAAGTGAATATGAAAAGAAACGACTTGCCAATATCAAAGAAAATAATGAAATTTTGAGAGGCTTAGGTAATAGAAAGCAAAGTCAATTAAATTGAGCCTATTATATATTTCACAGGACTGCTATCCGGCACACAGAAGACTGAGAGAAAGAGACCGAATAAGAGGAGAAAGAGAAAAGATGATAGTGACAGTGAGGATGAATGGTTGCCAGGTCTACCAGAGGAACCAAAGCCATTTTCGAGACAAAAAGGTATTTGATGTTCATGTATCAGCTCAGTGTCCATGCATCATGTCTTTATTTCATTTTCCTTCTTTAGTTACTGTATTGAAACCAGAAGAAAGAAAACCACTTGCTAAAATTGTTTTACAAGCCGTAAGTCTGACAAGTACATGTGCATGTACAACGGAACATATGATGCTGGCATGGTACTGTACTACTGGATAGTTTTCAGCAGCTAGTGTTATAACTATTTGCTGCTTACTGTAGGCAATTTGTTTATACATACATTTATCATTAATGCCATATCATGTGTGGACGTAAAATGTAATATGACCACTATTATGTACTTACATGTTTTTTAATATGCAGAAATTGTCTTATACTGACCATGTTTTTACATCATTGCTGTAGGATGAGAAAGTCACTACTGCTCTTATTAACAGAAAGTCTGTACTACCTGGAAGGAGGTGCAAAAAGTCATCGCAGCAACCGTTACCTGTTAAAGTACCAGTATCTGCCTTACCAGAGTGGCTGCAGTCTGATGATGATCAAAAGATTGATTTTGAAGGTTTTCATTTAGAAGAAGTATTGAAAGAGGAAGCTGAAGCATTGAAGTGTATCTATGAAAAAGATTACAGTCTGTTTTATGAAGGGATGGGAGAGTCAGACAGTGAAGAGTCAGATTTTGGAGGATTTGAATTAAATCAAATGTAAGTACTATTTTTGAGTACTATTTTGTAATACATGTGGACAGACAAAATTTTGTAGCTGTGTACAATGTAGATGCATGTAGTTAATGTGTATTCTATTGTAGCATGAGTGATACAAGCTAGCTGCACAATGTTAGCCACACCCTTACCATAGTGGCAAGAGCAACGGCAGTTACATGTCATATACATGTACATGTATATTGAAACTCTCTATTTCACTATTGTATGCTGGTGATTTTTTAATTATAGTGATGTATTGAGGACAGAGAAAAGACGATATCCAAAAAGATCCACTGCTAAGAAAATATATACAGAAGAAGAATTGTCTGATGAAGATGAATATTTGTGTAAGTGATATCGAAACAAACCTGTTCATGCTTGCAATTAATCAATAATTAATGTTACTAATGAATTGATAGTCATGCAATAATTAAATTTTATTACATTTTTGATTAAAATGCTATGTCCTTTAAATTTTATTTATAGTTTGTGAAGATTGCCAGAAGATACACCATGGAGACTGCCCAGTACATGGTCCACTGGCCACTCTTGATCCTTCCAGTGGCTACAATACAGCATCACTTCAGTATACTAGTGTTCCAGTGCCGAGAGAACTCACTGTGAAAGAGTCAAAGATCCCTAAAGCTGGTCTTGGGGTTTTTGCCACTGAGCTTATTCCTAATGGGGTAAAATTTGGACCGTACAAAGGGCAGAAGGTTTATTATGAAGATATCGATGAAGATGATGACACAAGCTATATGTGGGAGGTAAGAATTATTAACAACAAGTTTTAATTGCCACACCTAATTGTACATGTACATGTACATGTATATGAGTGGTGGAGTGGTGGTACTCTTAATCCTTCACATTTTTTAGTAGTAATAGTGACTTAAAGATCTTTATTTGCAGATAAAGAAGCCAAATGAATCTTATTATATTGACGGTCAAGTGGAGAGTGAGAGCAACTGGATGCGCTACATTAATTGTGCTAGAAATGAGGAAGAACAAAATTTAGTTGCATTCCAGTATCACGGGGAAATATACTACCGGACTTTTAAAGATATCTGCCCTGGAACTGAGCTGTTTGTGTGGTATGGAGACCAGTATGCTAAAGACCTTGGAATAGAAACCACTGTTAATAGTAAGTTGAAAAATTGAACTTAGGAATTTTATACATGTACATGTATGTAGTCATGTATTAGATTATACAACATTGGCTTCATTTCAAAACTGTTATGCATACTTTCACTCCAATAATTTAGCCTGCAATTAGTGTACCTTAGAGTGACTTTAATTACGGGTACTAAATTTTGTGATTTTAGCACGAGGAGATTTTGCTGGTATTAAAAATTACCATTAAGTAATCATTACTAAGAGTTATATGGCATCATGATGTCATTATTAATAATTGCACGTATTAATAATTGCGATTTTAACCCAAACGCAAAATTTGCAATTAATAGTACCCGTATTTAAAAGTAACCTTAAGGTATTAACCTACCCACTTACTACTACATGTACCATATAGCAGGAAATTTTGGAGGGGTTTAAATTTGGCAAATTTGGCATATTACCATTTGCCAAAATAAAGCCCACCATTTTGAGCCATTATATGCATGCCCAATGGTACATGCCCACGAATTCACCAAATTGATATTTTCTAATCATCAAAATTTAGCAATTCACCAAATTTAACTCCCTCCAAAAGTTCTCGCTATACAGTATATCATGTACATCTTATAACAAAATTTACACTTTTAGATTATGGGTTGTTTATCTGTAAAAGATGCAGTAATAGATTCAAGTCAAAGTCAAACTTTAAGACTCATTTGCAGTCCAATAAGGACTGCTTCAAAGCTAACCCTCAGATATTTACTTGCGGTAGATGTCAGGAAAGCTTTTATGCTCTACACAAACTTCAGGATCACATTAGAAAACATGAGGAGGTCAAAACGGAAACTAAAATTCGATTTGTTAAAATTGAAGAGAATGTAACAAACAATGAGGAACGATACCGGGATGGTGCAAAACGTAGACGTAAAGCTGATTGTCAAAGAAGATTTCACTGTGAGTATTGTAATAAATCATTTACTCAGAGGGGTAGCCTCAATACTCACATTAGAATTCATACTGGAGAAACATATCACTGTCAATACTGTGATAAATCATTTACTATAAGGGACAACCTCGATAGACATATTAGAACTCATACTGGAGAAAAACCATATCACTGTGAATACTGTGACGCATCATTTACTACAAGTGGTGACCTCAATAGACACATTAGAATTCATACTGGAGAGAAACCTTATCACTGTGAATACTGTGATGCATCATTTACTGAGAGTGGCACCCTCAATACTCACATTAGAACTCATACTGGAGAGAAACCTTATCACTGTAAATACTGTGACGCATCATTTACTACAAGTGGTCACCTCAATACTCACATTAGAATTCATACTGGAGAAAAACCTTATCACTGTAAATACTGTGATAAATCATTCACTCAAAGTTCCATTCTCACAAGACACATCAGAGCTGTACACAACTAATAACATTATTGGATAATAATTATTTTTATTGATCATAATCTCGTTGCCATGACAACAACATTTGTCCACAATGGACAATGCTGACCTAGAGAAGCTCAAGGTCGCTCCAGGGCGACTGGTACCAAAGTTCCACGCCAAAGTAACAGAATACACTGTGACTGTAGCCAGCAACGTAGAGGAGATAAAACTCACCACTCTTACTAGCGATGGCGGCGCCTCATGCATGATAAAGGTAAACTGATCAAGCATTAGATCTATCGCCTTTTAAACCCATTTATCTTTTAAAGGGTGACGCCACTAGTAAGACAGTTAAACTAGTAGAAGGTACTACGGCTAACATAGAAGTAGTTGTAACGGCTGAAGATGGTCAGACCACTAAAACCTATTCCATATCCATTAAAAGATTATCATCTAGTGATGCCTGTCTCTCTGTCCTAGAAGTCTCTGCTGGAAAGCTTCAGCCATCTTTCTCTCCTTCAGTCCTCACTTATTACTGTGATCTTCCTTCAAACCTCACTACTCTCTCCTTGCGCACAAAGACAGAGGATCCGGGCATGAAAACCAGTCTTGTAGGTGGGGCTCCACTATCCTCCATTACCCTCTCTCCAGGCCTAACAGTTATCGAAGTATCTGTTACATCACCCAGCGGTGCTACAAATACTGTTTATACAATTAATGCCATCAGATTACAGTGCCCTTATGTCATTAACTTAATCGAGCCATCTCCTAAATATACCTGCACAGTATGTGCATCTATTCTTCACTGTCCATGCAATGTTAATGGATCTGATGCCCCTTATTGTCAAAAGTGTCTGCTTGAGCTGTCTCGTATTAATAAAGCTAATCCTCTCACTGGTAGTGCCCTGGGTGAAGGCTGGTTGGTGATTAATAAATCTCTTGATGCAGAGCTGGCAGGTCAAAAAGCAACTTGCCTTACTCCTTGTGGAAAAGCTGAGGGATTGGTTGGTGAGATAGCATCACTGGTAGCCCAGCAAAAGAAAGGAGAGGAAGTAAGAATATTATGCGTTACAATGTATTTCATTATAATTAGTTACATGTAATTCGTGCATTTGCACATGCAGGGTTAAAATCACATTATTATGTACCTGTAATTAAAATAACTAATTTGCTTATTTGATACAGTCAAGTGATTCTTGTGCTGATTGTGGTAAGAAGGTACCAACTGGACTGCTTGATGTTCACAAAGGTTTGAGCTGTTCTTCAAAAATATCAGAGACTCTTTCCAAAGTTGAAGTACGAATCCATTTTACATGTACATGTACATTTATTCTGTCTTATCACGTATACATTTAATACCAATGTAGGTTAACATTTCTGGCTGGCAAAAGAGATATATCAATGTCTCGTTGCCCAATGATTTTGAAATACTTCTGAAAAAGGCTACTGAGCTTGAATCACAGTACCAAACAGCACTAGGTGAATCTTATTTACACTATTTTAAAATTTTAATGTTGTAATTTATTTTGTATTATAGCTCAGTCAAGTTCTGCTGATATACTCGAGCTGTTGTCCAGTATTGCTTCTTGCTATGCTACTGCAATTAATGTTAAACCAAAAAGTACAAAGGGACACATTGGACTTGGACTGGTAATGGAAGAATTATTTTATACAGAAGATCTTTATGGACACAAAGCAGTAACTGTAAGTGGCCTCAAATATATGTATTACTGTGTAATTATTAATAATAATTTTAGGCTGAAGATGATAGTGAAAGTGATGCTGAACGGACATCAAAAGAAGAAGAGTTTCTTGCTATTTGTGAGTTGCATGGAGTAGGAGCCTCAGCCAGTCTGGCACTCCAGTTGAAAGCAGTTGAAGCTGAATACATCTCACTGAAAGAAGCAGGACAGACCCATCGCTCTGAGCATGTACAATCTTTGTATCAGTGGAAATCAAAGAAAGCTTTACAAGTATGCATACACGGTCAATAATAAAATTTCTAAATTAAAATGCAGCAATCAATAATATTTGTTTGCCTAATTTTTCCATTCAAAACTATGTATATGTACCAAAGACAACTGCACATACATATAGTAGTATTACAATTAATTTATTTCTTCATTAGGCCAGTAAAGGTTCGTACTCTGTTGATTCTGAGAGTCCATTGTTCAGAGCTAAAGTAAAATTTGAACATGCTGTAAGTGTTGATCCTACTGACCACATCTCTTGCTATCACTTGGGACGTCTCTCTCTTCTACTCGGTGAAACAGAAACAGCAATAAAATGTCTCAAAGCTGCTTCTTCAATAAAACCAACACACACAGAAACCATTCTATGTTTGGGACTTGCTCTGTCATCTTCCTCAGCTTCAAATGCTAAAGTCTTATTGTCTCATGGCCTAACAAGCTATCTGCAGCAAAGAGAGAATGAAGCTACAGGGGTAACCAATGATTCACAGGCATTTCTTCATGGCAGTAACTTTTGGAGACCATCAAATACTTTGATAGTAAGAAGAACATAAAATAGTTCATTTATAATACATTTTAAATCATAGGGTGAGAGTCTTTTAACATTAGCTAATCTAGGTGGCCAGGGTTTTCTGAGCTCTTCATCTTGTTTAGTCCTTGCTAGTCAGTTATTCTCAGCCACTCCTGGTCTGCAGAAAGGATCAACTATCAAACAGTTATTATGGATCATGCTTAGAGGACGTGCTGCCCTACTGGAGAAATCACTGAAAGAGAAATCATCTCAAGCCAGTACGCTGTGCCAACAGTTGTCAGCTTTAATATCTCATTGTCAGTTGGCACCCAATGAACAACTGAGAGAGTTACAAATGAAAGTAAGCATTGATATTCTTCAAGAAAATACCCCAGAGTCATATCTTAAATCATACACAATAAATGTATGTAGCAGCTGTACACTATGCTACCTTTTTCTTCTTTTCCAACTGATACTTTCATTTGTACTTTTTGTTTTAGGTTTTTGAGAATGGAGTTGTTCTTCAGCCCAGTAATACAATGGCTCTTTGTCATCTTGGGAATGGACAGCTACAGCAATTTGAGGCAACGAGTGCTAATGATTGGCTAAAATTAGCAGAGAAGACATTCAGAGCTGCTCTAGCCTGTGAGGGCAAAGATGCCAATAGCAAAGATCCTCCATCACAGATAACAGAACAGAACTGGTGGAAGAAGAGAACCACACCAGCTCAACCAGCAGCAACAGGAGGAGGAGGAGGGGGAGGAGGAGCAGCAGCAGCTAGTAAAGGAGGGGTACAGCAGTCCAAAAGCTCAACTGGTACTAAAGCAACTCCAGCAGCTACTAAACCTCAAGCAGTTAAACCAGGAGCATCAAAACCAGTCCCTGCTCCAGCTAAAGGACGTCAACCAGTCAAGCCAGCTGGTGCTCCTGTTGCTGGTAGAGGAAGAGGGACTGCACCTTCTGCTGCTAAGACTACTGGCCCTGGGGCTCCTGCAGGGAGAGGTAAAACTGTTGCTACACTGGGGGACCTTAAGAGTGGACAGAAACAACCACAGAAGGCAACTGCTCCCACTGCTAGTGCAGGTGCTAGTAAGCAGCCTACTGATAAACCAACTAGCAGTGAAGCTAAACCTACAGAAACAGTAGCTGAGAACCAACCAAGCAAACCAGCTATACTGAATGAAGTGACATACATACCTAGACTAGGGCTGGCACGGTCTCTAGCAAAGCAGGACTGCCCCAAAGAGGAATGTGTCTCTTTATACGAAGAGGTCATCAAAATGGCTGGTCACATTCATGATGCGTACATTGAGCTAGGTGACTTGCTGTCCAAAGCAGAGCCTATCAAAGCTGTTGATGTATACAACAAATTCCCATTCTCTGATCCGCCATCTTTTGATGATGCATACTTGCACGGAGAAATAGTACGCATCCTAATGAAAGGAACCTTGTATGATGACCCTAGACTGGCCAGTAGTATGATAGCAATGGGACGGGCACTAGGCATTGGTGTATTGGATAGACATGTGAGCACACTGGAGGCAAAGTTTAAGACAGCAATGCTAAAGCAAGTCTATGCTGGAGTGCATGGGAAGTCAGTAGATGATCCTGATCTACAAGCATTCTTTAAATTCAAATGCTGGACATAAAAAACATAGTAGTACCTAAATATAGTTTAAATCCCTTAAGCTGATTGTTACATATATTAGTCCTATTTTTACATTTTTAACATAATTTTTGCTGCACAAAAAAAATTATTCTTTTGCTGCAAATCTAGGTGGGGCTTATTAATTAATTTTAATTAGCCACGCCTTTTATTTCACTCTATTTAATGCCCGCCCATCATGTCCATTGCCAGTACAGGTGATTGGCTTGAAGGCAAATCCTGGGTCACTGCATTACCCGATCATCCTTTATTTGAGGACTTTAAGGACAGCCCTGATAGTCAGTACCTCCTATGTGAGACCAGGGGGGATTTGTTCGTGTGGGACCCCGAGGGATATTGCCTCCGTACTACAAACCTTAAGAAACTCAATGCAGACACTCAGAGCGAGATTAATGAAGGACCAACTGAAGTATATCAAGTAAGAGGAAATGAATTATAGTTTAGTGTATTATTGTCCTTACCATGTTAGTCTAAAAACAGCATGATAATATAAAATAATAATAATAATAGTAATGATAATACAGTGGAACCTCTGTTAGTGAAATTTATCTTTAGCAAAAACTTTTGTATCGAAGAAGTTTATACTCTCTTCTATGCAATGAAAAAAAATTTCTCAATTTTTCCCAAAGTTATTCAAAAGTTCTATTTACATTTATTTATCATTTTATTACTTTACATCTTTAGAAACTTAACCCAACCATAACTCCAGCAACACACCCGCACTCACTTACACCCTCTCCTACTGGACAGCACATTTGCATAGCTGGACCCCAGTATGTCTACATCATGGAGCTACGGAGATCAAGAGGGCCACACGGAGAGTTTAACAGTGGAGTAGAGGAGACAGAGTGTCGCACAGTATCAGTTGGTGATACTATAATAAGAGCACACAGACTTGAAGTTATACAAGTTGAATGGTCTCAAGAAGAAGATGGGATAATTGCTATTTTGACAAATGACGAAATGTTGAGATTTTTCTCAATTTCAGAGCCCAGCGTTCCAAGACTAATACTGAACATTTCAAATAAACCATCAAGCGGCCAGCACTGTGTCACACTCCAGGAAGAAGGAGGGATGATAGGGTTTTCACTATCTGATGGTATAGCATTCTTGTTACAAGATCAACTTGATATCCAGTCCATTCAACTAAGAGAAGGAGCTCTCATATCACCACCTGTACCAATGTACCCGTTTAATGAGGACAACTATAATGGGAATGGACGTGGTTTGCTCCTCCTGCCCACCCAGCCACCTGTATTGGTAGTTGCTAGTAGTAATGGAACTATTCTTCACTGTATTTTTATACAAGAAGTGAGGCCCATATTACATGTTTTTCTCTCTCTTGCATATACATCTACCTGTACAAGTGTACATATATACATACTGTACATCTGCATTTGTTCTCTAGTTTTTACTGTATAGCACTAAATTTTTGCTTGGGAAAATTTTATCATAGTATTTTAATTAAATTAATGATTCACTATGATTTACATACTATATGCATGTAGAATGTGAAAGCCACATAGATATTTCATCAAACAAAAAACCCTGATGAAATTGATGAAATATTAATTGACTGAGGAAAATCTGGTGCTATAGAGTACACTCTCTGCTCTTTCTCCCATAGAGTGATGAAGTAGATGAAGCGATACTGAGTGTAATAGAGATAATATCAATAGCTGACACTGATGACTGCAGTGTTATAAAACTAATAAAAGGTAGTTGATATTATTAATTTATGTTATTAATTAATTTCAGTTTGAATAATAATTTCATTAAAGGATTATTTATGTCTTTTTTAGATCCTGTAGCTCGTAATAATTATTCAATTCAGACTATGACTAGTATCTATTATGTGCACTTACCATGGATTGGTAATTTGGAAAACTTTACTCCTGATGGTAAGCAATTACATGTACATCACTGTTACTGGATGACATGCATGGTTACATGTACATTGTATATTTTTATTACTTACTTAACTGGAGTACTTTAATTAACAGAAATAAAGTATTAATTACTAATTTACTAAAAAATTATCCTACATTATTTGCTATTTCACAAAATTTTTAACTAGCTTTTAAAATTGGTAGTACAGTACAAAAATTTTCAAGGGTTGTAAATTTTGTGGATTTTATCAATTTAATGAAGTAGAGGTTGGCCAGATATTGAAACTTTTTACAATTAAGCTTACAAATTTTTAGGACATTTACAAATTTAAATCCTGATAAAATTTTTCATTTAAGGTTTTCCACAGGATTTTGGCATATTGCATCTTGTCAAAATACCCAAGGATATATAGCCTTGAATTTTTTCCAAAAAATGGCTCCAAAATCACCTAAATTTTTTATTAAATTTTCTGATGCATATTGATGTCCTTATGCTGTGTAGCAAGTTTGAGCTGATTCCGACTTCAATTTTTCAAGTTATGGCCATTTTAAGAAAATGCTAAAATTCTGAAAAATACCCAAGGCTATAGCCCATGTTTTTTTCCAAAAAATGGCTCCAAAATCACCCCAAATTTTATTACACTTTCTGATACATATTGATGCCCTTATGCTGTGTAGAAAGTTTGAACTGATTTCCAACTTCAATTTTTTATGTTAAGGCAATTTTTAAAAGCACCAAAATTTAGAAAAATACTCAAGGCTATTATTAGTTTGTTTTTTTCCAAAAATTGGGTTCAAAATCATCTCAAATTTTTTTATCTACACAGTATAAGGAGGTGTATATGTATCAAAAGAATGTAATAAAAATTTGGGGTAATTTTGAAGCCAATTTTTTTTGGGGGGGGGGATGGGGAAAGCATGTACTATAATAGTTGATGCCTTTTCTTAAAATTTGCTATTTTTTAAAAAGGCTGTAACTCAAAAAATTGGTTGGAATTACTTAAAACTTTCTACATAGCACAATGACATTTTTATGTATCACAAAATGTACTGTAGTAAAAATGGGAGGGTGATTTTATGAAACTGCAATGTACATGTATGTATTGAACATTACTATTTTAAGGGAAATCCTGTTAATTGATTAATTGTTATTTTAGCTCCATCATTCACTGCTACCCCCTCATGCAACCTGGTGCAACTGTGTAGACTAGAAAAAGAGGAGAATAAAGGCATACCTGTGCAGTAAGTATAATTGGGTTGAGCATGAGTGAAGCCCCTCTAAATCCAGTCCCCACGGCTTGTGATATGTATTCCGTATGCCGTCTAATTATAAAATTGGCTGGAAATGCCTCCTCTAATAAAATGCAAAAAGAAATATTGAAATTGAACAGTAGGAGGGTGTGGTCACAATGAACAATGAACAAGATAGTGACGTTGAAAAGAGATACTTTAGGTGGTGTTTGGAGCTACCCAAAGCATCTCTTAACTTCTTAAGGTAGCTTGACCCTGCCTCTAAAGGCTACCCATCTTCAGAACAACTTATCAAGCAATCGCACAATAATTCTCCTTTGTCTGATACTTAAAATAACAAAACAAGCCTTTGAGCACTCATAAGAGCCAGCCACAAAATTGTTTCAGCTCCTATTACAACTACTGATTTTATTGGACAAAAAGCTTATAATGTGTGATGACATCATTCATTGGTATACAGTACCGTATATAATCTTCCTATCCAGTTACGTAGTGTTAATTATCTATGGCATAGATATCAAAGTAAATGAAATTTAATTTAATTTTTAATTTAACAATTTAAGTAAAGTGGCTTAATTTAAGTAAAGAAGCTGTCCACATGACACAATGTGGTTGAAAGTTAAAAATTTAATGTACATGTAGAATAAAACTTTACTACAATAAAGTGGTTTAAGGACTGTCTTTCTCTAATATTCCCTCTATTCTATCAAGTTGAGCTTTTATTTCTTTATCTCTTTCCTTCCTCTGTGCAAGATGAGCCTCCAGCCTCTCTAGTTGAGCTTCAATCACAAATACAGTGTCTGATGAGTTCCTGAGATACCTCGACTGGCGTCTCAAATACGGCCAACAACAGCAACTGAATATAAATAAAAGTATGAGCAATGTAGCTGAAAATTGAGGATAATAGAGAGTATACAATAGTCCTTGGGATATAAGACTGCAGCCAGTAATAAACCAGATAATTATTTGGAGTGGCCCAAATATTCCATGAAGTAGTGCTATGCCAGCATCTAATGTTAATAAACTAAGCAATGAAAAATAATGTATCAGAAAATAATTTATGAACATAACTCCAACTAGTATTGAGACTGATAAAACTTTTGAGCCAACTGCAGTTACTGTGTTATCTAAAAAATGAAAAAGTTATCATTGCTTGCAATTTTACTACCTACAATGTGGTGCATAAGGATATTGGCAAAATAACAGGTGGTATTTTCTCAGGATCTAAATTTTAAAAAATTATGGATAATGACTGTCGTAAATTTTTGGTCATGGAAAGGATTGAAATTAATTTCAACAGTTCCAAAAATACCTGCTGTATCCTACATGTACATGGCGTATATCAACTTATCAACTAAGTCAAGGGATTTATAGAGGATTTTTTGTAGGGGGGGTCACAACAAAAATTAAAGATAAATTTTTATTTTGTAATATTGCGCTAATCAAACAAAAGTTGATTTTATGAGAGCAGGTTGATTTTATATTACACATAATTTCAATTGTGTTCTTTTTGAAATAAACATCAGTCAATTACAGCAAGTTTTAACACTTATTAAATTACCATGACTATTGGGGGGGGGGAATTCCAGGTTCCCACTATACAAATCTCTAAAGTATATGTGAATATGACATACATTGTATGATATTCATTGGGATACAGTAAATGGAAATTTTATTCTAGATAGAGGTATACTTTGTACAGCCTTCAAGGGGGTTTCACTTGTATATACCGCGATTAAATGTTTTGATCTGGATTAAAAGACCTTTGACACCTTGATCTACAGACTTAATTGCCCTTGATGCTTTATTTTGATGATCCCATATGCTTGTACAGCTAATTAAAAATTCATAGATCTGCATGATCAAGGATATACAGAAAATATACAGTACATGTCTTGACGTCTGCTACAGACTGTCTTGATCCCTTAATATCAACCTGACTGTTCCTTTGACACCCCCTCGAACTTTAATGGGGAAAAGGTGTAAATTTACCATTTTTTCAGTTTTTGGAACGATTTGTGGAGTTTACAGCTCAAAAAACTGAACGACTTTCAGCAAGCTTTCTAATAACAATTACCGTAGATCCTCAAATAAAAGCCCAGGCGTCTATTTCTTAAAATGACATTTGGACCTCGAAAAAAGTGATAAAAATTGAGCCAACAGCAGGATTCAAACTCGGGACCTCATGCAAGTGATTTCAGGAAGCTTAACCAAGTATCTACAAGGCATCTACTTGTAAGCTCATTTTATTGCTAATCTGGTATTTATTTGCACCCGGCTTTAATTTGAGGATATACGGTATATTATAGTAAAAATTAAAAGTGTTATTCAAATGCCACACACACCAAACCTCAGAGAGACTAGAAATAAACCCGTAAGTATATAAACAAGTAAGCACTAGTCTATAATGAATACATGGCACTCACTTGAGTCAAAGATCTGACTAAGAGCATCTTTACCAGCACTTATTGTAGCATTCAGTGCCTCTTCATTAATTACAGTTCTTAAAATTTCACCAATATTGTTTGCTACTTCCATCGAAAAATCATGTACTTTATTTATTGCTGCTCTACCAACTTTTTTAAATGCACCCCAAAAACTGAAACCTCCAGTATTGACGGCTGTCTCCTCCTTCTTCAAGCTACCTTTCTTTGAACACGATGATTCATCATGATCATAGCAGTGTCCATCATTATTCTCGCCTTCTACTGGTCTTAATATCAAAAGGATATGGATCAATATTAGAACAGAAAAGTGGCCCATCCTTTTGGTAAATTCAGCTGAGGTGTGGCTAAAACAAAGACACTTAATAATGAACAAAAACTTGCACAAGCACTATAGCTCACCAAAATTAATCTTATAGGGTTTACTTAAGTTTTCAGACTTTGCAGAGCTGATGGAATAGCCTTTAGAGATGCTTGAAATAGCCTTTAGAGATGCTTGAAATAGCTCCTCTCTCTTATCTAGCTTTTAGAAAACTTGGAAGTTTGTCTTGTTTAAACACCGCCATCTTAGATCTTGTTCATTATGACCACGCCCTCCTACTGTCTCATTTCAATATTTCTTTTTAGCCAATGAATAAGAGAACAGTTTTTCTTTCTCATTAGACTAAGAGCAATTAGAATATGCATTTTATTTTATTTTTATTGTTTGAAATTTTTTTAAATGTCATCCGATGGCTCATGCTCGCCCCTTCAATGTTTACATTCACCTAGTTATTAATTAAATAATGGCACCTAATATTTACATATATATTATTATTATTATTACTTGTGGAGTTCAATATTCAGCCATACATTTAAATACATTATATTTTCCTGCCATTATAACTACCAGTCTGCTGTTGTTTTACTTAGTCATGTCTCTTATATTCTTAGTCTTTACTTCTCCAATTTTCTATACATCAACTCTTGCCCCATATTGATCTACATGTATGTTATGTTTTTTAGTATTCACGATACTATAATGGTTTCTGATGGATTGCTAGGAGAGGCTGTTCTTGCTGTTCTTAGCAATGGGAAATGCCTGAGTATGAAGTAAGTCCTTGTACAGCTAAAGCTATTGCTTGAACCCAATCCCTTGTTGATTCAGTCCTAGAGAATATTGCTTCTTAAAGTTTAAACTTTAAAAACACTTCATTACTTCTCTCTCAATTAAAAGTTTACACTTTAGACTTTGTTATCTCTTCTCTCTCTCTCTCTCTCTCTCTCTCTCTCTCTCTCTCTCTCTCTCTCTCTCTCTCTCTCTCTCTCTCTCTCTCTCTTTCTCTCTCTGTTTCTTTCTTATCACAGAAGTCATCAAGATTTCATTCCAATTCCCATTACAAGTAACATTGCTTCTCTGGAGTCTGAAACTGACCTGTCACTGCCAAGTGAGTTTGTGTGTCAGGTCCAGCTTCTTTTTCAAAAAGCATCTGAGCAGCAACTTCAGTTTCCACCTCAAGAGTAAGTACATGTAAACTATTAGTTCACCTAATAATAGTTTTTATTAATTTATTCTTAACAAATAATGTTGTTGTTTATTCCGCGCTTTTTTTTATGCATGTCCTTATGCTGTGTATCAACTTTGAGCTAATTTCAATCAAGTTTGGATTTTTACAAATTTTTAAAGTTGCTCAAAAATTAGACCAAAGTCCCTGTACACCAAATTTTGTTTAAAATGAAAAGAAGAAAATTCACCATTTTAATATTTTTCCTGATACATATACAAGCTCTTATGATGTGTAGAAAATTTCAGTTTTTTCCCATCAAAACTAGATTTTTTATAAATTTTTAAATTTTATCAAAAATTGGGCAAACAAAGGCTATAGCCTTTGGTTTTTGGCCAAATTTTCTCAAAATGGCTATGAAAGAATTCTTCATTTAAAAATTTTTTCTTGATGCATATACACCTGTACATGTACTTACATGTATGTATCAACTTTGAGCTAATTCTGATTAAAATTGGATTTTTTATTTGTTTTTAAAGTTGCTCTAAATACAATGTAGTTGTACTGTATTGTAGTGCCAGTCAGCTCATGAAGCTCATGCTGTTTAGCTAACTTAACGTGCCTTTGTGCGAACCTGCTAATGATATACGTGCAGTTTTGAATCAAAGCTTAAATGTGTTATTCTATTTTGTGTAGTTCATTTAATACAAAACTACAAAAGGATTGCTATGAGTATTTAAAACAATCAGTTGAAGTCCTGAGAGAAAGATACCTAATACCACAATCGAAAGTAAAATCACTTCTTGAAAACAGGTACTGCTCCCTCCTCTCACTCTCTTTTCTTCTCTCTCTCTCTCTCTCTCTCCTAATTATTTTTGTTTTTTTTTTCTTGTTATCTCAGAGTGAAGCTACTAGCTAACAAGAGGGACAGACAAGTGAAGGAGTTACTAAAGATTGGTGATGATGCCAACGAATTACAGAATGACAACCAAATGTTAGACGTCAAAATAAAAAGACTAGAGCAACACTGTGAACAACTGACACAAAAGTAATTATGCTTTACTTTCCAGCTACATGTACATGTATGTGTACAACTGTACATATACATTTATAAAGGCAGAGACCTAAGCTTACATGTAGGAACATATACTATTGGTTGATAGGTGAGCTTTCCTGATTGAGTGATTTTTAGCAATGAGACGTTTACACGCAAATGCACTTTACCTTACTATGACAAGAGGGTCAATAATTTATGCTTTAAAAAGTATTAAATAGAATGAAGAACAAAGGACAATATTTAATGTGATTGTATTTTGTGTTATTATTATTATTATTATTATTATTATTATTATTATTAATAGGGTAGAGATGATTGGGTGTCTAGTATCAAAGGCTTCACCGATTCTATCAGATGCTGAGAAGCTTTTGAGTAAAGACCTTCAAACAATGCAAGAGAATTTAGAAGGACTACGGATACTTTTAAAGAAAGTTAGTAACATCAAAGCAAGGCTGACACTCTTTGTTTGGCATTAAGTATTAAAATGGTACACATACATGTATTGCTTTTTGTAAAACAGGTGCTGTCAGGCACAACAAAATGTACATGTACATGTAATCTTAACCTCACCCATGTTTGCCTCATTCACCAATAAACATACATGTGTACATGTACATGTATTAAACTCAAGCGTAATTTTTAGAATTTTAGATACTAGTCTATTACCTGCCAATTTTGTGATTGTAATAATTATAGTGTCAATATAATCATAGTAATCAAGCAAAATTACATGTATTTATTATATTTTTATAATAATTATTGTTTTATTTGTATTATTAGGCAAGAGCTAAACTTGAAGTTGGTCTGGGTAAAAGTACCAGTCCTAGTAAAACTGGCCTCAGCTCAACCAACATGGAGACTGTACTAGCAACAGTCACAGACAAGTCAGTATATTGTTGGTAATCTCTTTCATATTCTTGTATATCTACAGTGGAAGCAGTATCAAAGAATCTGTGCAGCTTGTAAAAGAATTGGCGGGAGTTATGGATGTAGAGACTGTGAAATAATTAAGTCAAATACGGACATAACGATAATAATAATTACAATAGATAATTAACCTTCATTACATTATATAGTTTCGTGTTGCTTATTATTGCATTGTAAATGATAATGAGCTGAAAAAGAGTCTTTAATCTTTAATCGTCCCATTTCTCCCAATCGGAATCACTCCCTCCAGCCACTTCAACTGTCAACGGAGGAGATTCTCTCTCAGCCAACTCCTTGTTCTGTCCTTCAGATCCTTCTTCACTGATGCAGACAAAACTCTCCGAAGAATCTGCCATTGCTCTATCCATGATCTTTAATTCTTCTCTCAGTTTAAGTGGGTCTTTTTTATCTTCATGATCATCATCTTCATCATCGTCCCAGAGTATCAGTTGACCTTGCGATGAATGGACTCTTGCGACCAGTTGGGCTCGTCTCTCGTCCACCTCTTCTATTAAATGAATCCGATAGAAATAATGAGACCAGAAGGACTCATATGATACTTTACTGGGAACCTGATGAGAGTGTGGGGGAGAAAAGAGAGTAATAAAAATAGGAAGACTGGAGAGATTATAGGATTAAGTAGAAGAGAGAGTAAAATTGCACAAAAATTTGGAAATAAGCCATGCTCACACCTATGAAATGCTTATATCAAAAGCTTGTTTACACTTGAAGATTCAATAGTTTCATTACAAGCTGCTTTATTGTCTGATTTCTTTTATAAAAGTCGTTTTTATTCCATTACCAAATGTCTGCGGCCATACCACGTTGAAAGCACCAGTTCCCATCTGAACACTGAAGTTAAGCAACGTCGGGCCGGCTTAGTACTTGGATGGGTGACCGCCTAGGAATCGCCGGTGTCGCAGACTTTTTTTTTCTTTCACAACCAACAGTGCAGCTCAAATTTTCTGTACAAATTTTTTTTGACAAAGGCTGTCACTTGGTCTTTGCCTCTTTGGCCAAATTTATGAGCAAAATTTCAAAATTTATAAGAATATCATTTTTATGAGAATCAGAAGAGAGTATACATTACCAGTTCTGAGTGGAGTCTCCTGACACTACTTGAAGTCACTAATAGCTTTGATATTTCTTCCTGGATATTTGACACATCAAACCCTTTCTTCCACTTCTCATAATCATCATCTTGACCTTATAAATATAATTCTTTGAATGAACACAACATACATGCTTACTCACCATCAGGTGGTGACTGGTAAGACAATGGATCATTTCGAATGGTCTCAATCAGAGCTTGCGAGCGATCATAAGTACCACTATCAGTGGCTTCAGTTAGAATCATTTGATCTAAATACATAAAAGATCATCAATACTTCTACTGAATATCTTTTAATGTCCCTCCCTTTCTCTCTCCTAGTATCTCTTTTACCTTCTTCATTTGATTTCTGTGTTTGAGGAACTGATGTAGAGGAACTTGTACTATCACCACTGGACACACTCTAACAAGAAATAATATAATCATGCCGATGGACATTATTATTTAATGTGTAGGGTAGCAGGGTTTCCAATAAAGCATGCTACATGTGCTAAATAGGCATGCTCCATAAATTGACAACTAGCCATTTTTGATGAAATTTGGCCAAAGTCCCTGTACTGTAGTACAGTGTAGAAGGGAACTGAGCCCTTAAATAAACAATTTTTTTACAAAATAGATATAACACAGGGATAAATAGCAGGTTAATAAATGAGATAATAATAACGGAAATAAGTGATAGAAAAATAATAAGATAAAATGAATAGGTTAGGTTAGGGTAAGACAAGCTTCTGAGATAGCTCTGCAGAAATCGTTTGAATCGAATGATCTCACTCTTGATCATGATCCTCGTAAGCACCTGATTGCTGCCTTGAGAATAGTGAAAAAGTATCGGCAGCAAATCAGGTTAATGGTGACACTATAGGACCTCTGAAACTTCTCTGAGTGAAGTGTTGCTAGGCGCTTAATAAACAGAGCCGACACAGGGCCAAATCAGTACAGGGACTTTGGTCCAATTTTTGAGTAACTTTAAAAATTCATATTAAATCGAAATTTGGTTGAAATAAGCTCAAAGTTGAAACACAACATTAAAACATATTATGCATCAGAAAAAAATTATTAAAATGGAGAATTCTCTCTTAGCCATTTTTGATGAAATTTGGTCAAAGTCCCTGTACTGTAGTACAGGGGCTTTGGTCCGATTTTTGAGTAACTTTAAAAATTCATAAAAAAATCCAAATTTGGTCAAAATAAGCTCAAAGTTGAAACACAACATTAAAACATAAAAATGGAGAATTCTCTCGTTGTAATTTTTATCAAAATACCCTGTACTATAGTACAGGGTCTTTGGCCTAATTTCTGAGCGACTTAACAATCCACTGACAAGAAGCTGGATGAGCAAAAACCAACATCCTGTGGGAAACCCTGGGCAGCAGGCCACATAGTAGGCTTCTAAATCAACCTCTATCTTTCCTTACTTCTTCTTGTTGTAGGTAAGATTTGACACTATCAGCGACCCCAACAACAGCATTTGAGGTATCCCTCTGAACGGTGCTCATAAATTCTGACAAGTCTCTTTTTGTTGCATTCAAAGCAGAGAGTGACTAGACGTTATAAAGAGAGTAAAGATATAGAATAAGATCCTACGAACCTTTTCTTTAGCTGAAGTGACCCAAGAAGACCACCAAGTATCAGATCTAGCGAAAATAAGAAAGTAAAATAAATTTAGAGGACGAACTTACTCCGCCATCTTGATAAAGGGCGTGGTTAGCATAATTAACACCACACCCACCACAACAACAAAGCCAGCGTGCTGCAGAAGGTCAAAAATGAAAATTGATTGCTATGTGCTAAGAAAATTACCAAGTATTTATCTATTCTATCATGCATTCGATGCATTCATGTATCCTTTCAACAGTCAAGCAGATAAGTCGCTTCAGACTTAACTGGGTCATCATATGGTCAATGACATATCTCACTGGTACAACAAATTACATCACCATCCCCCTACTACACCAGTTCATTACCAGCTCATCAAACACTACTGATTCACAAGTAACTCATTTACTATCACTGCATAAACTTTTGGCTCCCTTGGGTATTTAGATTATCAAATTAATTATAACGATTATGATACTCCTTCAAGCCTGAAGCTTTTTTGAGCTTTTATCCACTTTATTGTTAGTATATTGATATAATAACGGTCTTTATAAGAGGGTATTTAGATGCTATGGTTAGCTAATATAAACTATTATGCATGTTAATGGCTTCATATTACAAATTGGGTTTAGGTTCAAGACAACATTTGAACTGTTACAGTGACAGTTGCAAGTTTGCACTCTCAAATTATCATAATAGGTCGTTCCTGGTCTAGGTTTGAGTGAGACGTGGTATTCCTGGGTCATCAGTGCTCAGAGTATTGGTATATTTGTGGGTGCTCTACTCTTTAGTGTATTTGCTCGCTCATTCTATTACAAATACATCATTATTGGGTCCCTTTTCATTCTCATGCTCTCTGGAATCTTTTTCAGTTTTGCTGTTAATGGCTGGATGGTGATAACAGGTAATCAAAATATGGTCGCGAAACTTTTTCATATTATCATTTTATGCAAGGTCGATTTTTAGCTGGCTTCTACATAGGCATTGGACAGCCCTTAACTAGAACTTATACTGGTGAATCCAGTGATAAAGTTATCCAAATGAGAAAGGAGGCATCTCTCAGACCAACTGAGCAGAATAGTAAAGAAAAATCTTCACTCAAATATACGAATTACTTCATTCAGTTTGCAACGACTGTTACAGGATTAGCTGTTGCTCCAGGTCAGTATAATCTATTAACTTAGGCCACGTTTACACAGCAGCGAAAAACGGTGCAATCAGTATAGTTTTTTGCCTGTTTTATGCTTCTGTTTACACAGAAATGAATGAAACCGTGATAGAATATGGAAACAAAAACGGTGTTCAAAGTGGATACTTTAATTAAACGATGTGTTTTCTATTGCTGTGTAAACATAGCCTTAATCATAATGACTTTGTTTTTATTAGGCCTAGGAGCTCTTGCCTCTCAGATACCTTCTCTAGATCCATTCCGTTGGCCTGGCTACTACCTCATAATACATGGTGGACTACTCAATATATTTGTGATGCTGTTTTTCTCTGAGAAATGGGATGATGTGAACAGAAAGAAAAAGAAAGAGGATGATAGTAAGAGAAAGTGGTTTAAGTTTCAGAAGCCAGATCAACCAATACAGGTAAGTACAAGTACCTATTATCGTGTATATTGTAGATACTCTAAAAGCCTTTTCACACTGGCCAAAATAATGCACATTAATCATGTTCACACTAGAGTGGTTTCAAATTGATGCGCATCACTCTCACTTCACCTCCAGAGGTGGATTGATGTGAAGTGGTGCGCTTTGATCAATGTAAACCCATGGTAAAACCCCCATTCAATAGCATAACACTACTCAAGAAGCCCTGCAAAGATCACCCTATCTACTGTTATCTTGTTACAGATCTTGCCTATCTTGTATACTTATTTACACAAGTATTTACATAATAACTATTATTAGTGGCTGTTTGAATTAGCGTTTTTAAGTACACTCTAAAAACGCTAAAATAAGTGTCGCAATACCCACCCTAAGGTAGTTTGTGCATATCAGAAAGTGTAATAAAAGTGGAAAATTCTCTGTATAATGATTGACATATATTACTATTACATGGAATCACTACTGCATATCTATTACCCCGTGTCTACTATACCTACATTAACTTTTTATGTTAATAGATCACAATGATATTCATATTTGCATTTGTGGTCATTGGCTGGGTCACTGCAATTATGGAGACACTAGAGAATCCTGTATTATCTGGAAACTTTGGATTAACTATAAAATATCAATCGTAC